TTGTTTAATTTCAGTGACATGGAGAGCAGAAATGTTATTCTTAATGCTGGACTTTGGAGGTCTTAAGTTTTGGGACAAATGGTAACTTGATAGCCTGTTTTGGTTTTAAGTTTGATCACTTTGTATCTCGTTTATCTTTCAGCTTTTGCCTCTCCTGTTCCCAATGCATTCATCTCAATTGAATTCAGATGCTTGTTGGCTTCTATTTCATTTCTTAAGATTGAACTCTTTCACTGTATAGTTATAAAGTTTAGTTAAACTTTCTAAATCTTCTTAGAGATGGCATGTTGTATGACATAGCATAAGTAGTGTAGACTGACAGTTTAATGTTTTCTCTTCTAATTTATTGTTATGTATTTCATTTTCTTCATGATTCTTTTCAAGTGCCATAAACTTCCATGATTTAATGAATTTTGCAGATTAATAGAAGCTTCAGCTGAAGTTAAAGCTTTTATATTCTGAGAAGTCAAATTAAATTATGTTTTTCTCTTTATTTAGTGAATGGAGTTGGCTGGATTCTCGTCAGTGTTTCCTCTAATTTATTTTACCTCCAGTTGTAAATTACTACAAATTAGAATATCAACTATTGTAACTAAGTAGATGATAAATGAATAGGCATGTCTATTGTATTTTGTGCATATAGTAGCTGATGCAATTAGCAATTAAGATGAAATACTGGTACACATCAATTTGAGGCTTAATTTGATCTTTACATGTACTTGATTTTCCTTGGTTGATCTGACTGTCAGACCTCTTAAGTTGGAAATTGCAATTTTTAGTTTGAGTGATTTCCTATTTCCTTATAAGTTCTGAATTATTCAAAATTTGAACTTTGTACTTCTAAAAGAATTCTAGAGAATTCTCTAGGATTTCATGGAGGACAAATTTGCACAAGTTAACTATTAAATAGGTTTCCATGGATGTTTAAGGGGAGGAATCCTGAATTCTGGCTTCGTTTCAACTAAAAGGACTGAAAGTGTGTCCTCTTGGTGTGTTGCGTGTGCCTGTGTGTGTGTATATATATACACACACACACACACACACATGAATGTTGTACTGAGCATTTTTCTCTAAGAATTTTACCTGTTCTAGTTGCTATGGTCGCATGATTACATGTCACTTAAGCTATAGTTTGATGGTTGTTTGCAGTGATCCATTCCTTCCTTTGTGGGATGCCCATCCAGCACCAAAGTTCATATATAGCCTGGATTGGCTGCCAGAACCAAGGTAGGCTATACTTGAGATCTTTCCTATTATTTTTGGAATTGATGGTCTTCTCTCCAACTAGATTTGAGGCAACTTTTTATGTCTTTAGGTGTGTCATTCTATCCTTCAATGATGGAAAAATGAAAATGCTCAGCTTAATTCATGCAGCATGTGATGTACCTGTCACTGGAAGACCTTCCACTGGGACCAAGCAACAAGGACTGCACCTTTATAATTGTTCGTCCTTTGCTATCTTGAGTGTAAAAGTGTCACGATTAACAGGTGTGCTAGGCATTGATTTTCTTACATTATTAATGTTGTCTTTTCATGAGAGAAGTAGCCTTCAAACACAAAATATATGTGCACGAAAAATTACAGTTAACTTTGTTTTTCATTAAAATAAAAATTGTAGTGGACCTAATATGCTAGTTAATAACTCAAATTGTAGTTTGTTTTTTAAAAGAAAAATTAAATCTTAGTGTGCATAAACCTGAAAACTTTTTGAAGAACAAGATATGAAACCAAAAGATCAAACAAAAGGTAGCAAAATCAATGAATTTATGTTTAAGTCTGTTTTGACTAGAAATGTGTTCAAAATTGTATGGGCATAGTGTAGAAAGAAATTTTGCTCCTTCGAGGTAGATGCTATATAAAATGGGTTCTACATTCTTTAGATTAAATTGTTTACAAGCATAAAACTGTTCTAAATGTGAAAAATAACTACATTTTCTTTTTAATTTGTGATATGTTCCTTATTGAACTAGTTTTTTTGCTGCAACATTACCAGATAGTCATAAATTCTCTTAGTATTTTGTGTCTTTGCATGTCACTACATATGTTTGTAACTTGATTTTTCAGCGTGTTATTTCAAATATATATTGATTAGTGAATTTATATTTTAGTCATGGTTGCATATTGCAGTGCAGATGGTACTGTTACCCGTTTTCAGGCAAGTTAGTTTACCTTTGTTTACAATGTTTGCTATAATATTTCCCTGACGGACTTTCGGCCCAAAATATAAATATTTTCTTTTCTTTCCCTAGCCTTCAATGAGAATTCCTCTTGGAGATGGTTGAGAATTGTTCTTCCGAGTTCTTTTTGTTGCTTCACGGCTTGCATTTCTCAAGTAATTCATGTTTACTCCATTTCCTAGTAGACAGAGCCTTAGGCTTTAGTTGGTAGTCAACTGGCAATGTAAGCCTTAGTTTGGATTCCACCACAGGTGCAGTGTGGTACAATTGAGCTCACCGTACTACTAGTTGAATCCAAATACTAACACTAGTGAGATCCATTTAGCATAAATTTCTCATTGATTTTTTTTTTTCAATCACAATTACAGTAATTTTTTTTCCAATAACAGTTACAGTAACTTTTATTATTGTTTTCAATTTCACCAAAGATAATCTCATCACCCATCCAAATGGAGCCTAAAACTATTGAAGTCCTTTCATTGATGCTGCATATCATTAAATTATGTGTCATCAATGTTTGAAATTTCTTTCAAAATATAATTTAAAACCATTCACTGTAAATTGGTAAGCTGCTTCTGAGCTTTTGCTTCGATTGATGGTATTGCTTTTATAACCAGCTTACATCAAAAGCAGTGGACAAAGATTTTTCTGGACATCGAGCGCCGCATTTCCCATGCGGATCCTTGACTGAGGAATCCGCTGTAATGGTTAACACTCCATTACCAGATATTCCTATGACATTGAAGAAGCCGAGTAATGATTATGGGGAGGGCCCAAGGTCCATGCGGGCATTCTTAACTGAGTCAAATCAGGGTAAAAATGCAAAGGATAGGAAGGCAAAAGTTCCAGCATCCAATAAGAAAACTTTAGGTAAGCTTGACAATTGGGTTGCTAATCAGATATTCCTAGTCAACTGCTCTGTTTCTTTCTTAACAGCCAACAAGTTCTTAAATCTGTTGCAGCCCTTTTTTATGGCAATGATCCTGGTGTGGAATCTGAATATGAGGAAACATTGGCAGCAATTCAAAGCAAAAGGAAACAAAAATCTAGAAGTAACGGGAAGAAGGAAGCTGACGATGATCAAGTATTGGCAATCAGAACTGAGAACCAACAAGTACACAGAAAGAACAAACTGGAAATGAAAGAGAAGTATTTCCTTCCAAGATCGTGGCAATGCATAGAGTGAGATGGTACATGAACAAGGGCAGTGAGAGATGCCTGTGGTATGGAGGAGCAGCCGGGATTGTTCGATGTCAAGAGATTATAGTTCCTGATGCTGATAAGAAATCAGCTAGAAAAAGTTAAGAACGTTACAAGCTTCAATATTTTGACAATGTCTACATGTAAGGGTAATTTTCCATATTCAATATAATGGCCTTTCCGCTTTATTTTTTAGCCCCAAATTTAGTCAAGAACCTCTCTTTCAAAAGTTTTCACTCCACAGTAACTGAGTTAGCTCAAGTCGAACTTAGTGTGCATGTCTATGTAAGGTCAGAAATAATGTCACATATGCCTTGAAGTGGATGAAAATAATCAAATTAAGAAAACAAAGTAACTGTTTATTAAAGCCTGGATACCATAAATAAACCCAGATACAGCTTCCTTTCATAGAAAAATATTCCATAACATTGTTTGTTTCTTAAAATCTCATCAAGAACAATTACCATCTTCCTTCGGTTTGATTAAATACATTCAAAGCATGCACAAACCAAAAACCATGAAGAATGAGCAATAGGTCAATGCCATTTTCTTCAAAGATTTCACTTCTAAAGCAAGGGATGCGTCTTTCAGTTGGCAAAGCATACTAGTAGTTAAAAAAATGTCACATCTAATATTTATTTTAATTAAACAAATTAAATCATACATGATTGATATATTTTTGTTAAACAAGTTAAATTGGTTTGTTTCAAGTCATTTTGAAATTTTAACTTTTAGATCAAATTAAGTTGGATTTAGAACCAAGTTTTAATACCCTACTTTAGCATTTTTATGGAAACAAAAGAAGATATATTTTCTAAAATTTCTAAATATAAACCATCCGAGTTGGGTAGTTACCACATTAATAATTGGATTCATAAATTTATTGATAGTAAATTTATATTTTTATATTATTTATATTTTTATTATTTATATAATGAGTATTTAAAATTTATTTTTATTTTTATAAATATTTAACATATATGAGTAATTTTCATATTTAAAATTTTTTTTAAAAAAATAAAAATAAAAATAAAATTTTAAATTTTTTATAAATATATATATTAATTTTTTTAATAAAAATATATTCATTTTAATTAATTTAACATAATAACTTATATTGTTTAAAAATTTTTGTTTATTAAATATAAATAAATATACATGTACAGTATGTGTACGAGATAAATACTATATTATCATTCTTATTTTTGTATTTAATAAAAATTTAAATTCATATTTATGTCTATTGCATACCCATAATGAAATATTAATTTATATTTGATATGTTATTAATGTATAAATTTTACACACTATCAATAAATTTATGAATAAATTTCAATTCTTAAAAAAATATATACACAATTTAAAATAACTTAACATTAATGAAATATTAATAAGATATTATAATTTGATTTATTTTATTAATAAATTATAATTTGATTTATTAATAATATATAATATTTTATTTTTAAATAAAAAATCTGATTTTTTATTAATATGAATTAGATTAACTTATCTAAATGCCGCGACGCGAGGACACCGGGAGTGTGAATCGAGAGACTGAAGTCAACTTAGTGGTTTACAGTTGTATATATGGCGTAAAACCAATGGTTTCTCTTCTACCTTTCGAACTGCCCCTTTTAAATCCCTACGCACAAGTACATGAACGGTGACGAGCCCTAAAAGTTAAAAGACAGCGGCACAGTGAAAAATGTCAGCGACAGGAAGCGCAGGCGGCGGAGCTGGTGGCGGAGGACAGGAGGAGGATAAGAAGCTGGCCGATCAATCTGCCCACATTAATCTCAAAGTCAAGGGCCAGGTTTTCCTTTTAGATCATCTCTTTTGTTTTCCTTTTATTTTTAATTTTCTCATTATTTATTCTTTTTGGTGGTTTGTTCGTAGGATGGAAATGAAGTGTTTTTCAGGATTAAGAGAAGCACTCAGCTTAGAAAACTGATGACTGCATATTGCGATAGGCAATCGGTTGATTTGAGCTCAATTGCCTTCTTGTTTGATGGGCGGAGGCTCCGAGGAGAGCAGACTCCCGATGAGGTATAGTTCTTTACTTGTTTCCAAACACCGCTCTACTTGTCTTGATAGTTGCAACTTTTACTTTTGAACTGATAATTTCAACAAGTGCTCTGAGGAGACATCTTAAATGTAAATTGTTTTTTATTTTTTTGAGCTGATAAATCATGGTCATGTGATTTTTTTCTGGATTTTTTCAATGGGTGGTTAGCTCGAGATGGAGGATGGAGATGAAATTGATGCAATGCTGCACCAGACTGGTGGCGGATGTGGAAGCCCATAGCTGCTCATTTAAAATACTCAGGTAGGGAGGGAAGACTGGGAGCAAAGTAGGAGTACCATAATTTGTTATATCAATGTAAATGAAACAGTAGTTTTGTTGGTTAGCTATTCTAGTAGTGAATTTCTTATGCCTAGTCTGGCCTTGTGTTTTAATACTACATGAAGAAGTATATATCGATAAGACGCGTCCAAAAAAATATTGCTCTTGGCTTTGTGGTCATTTTAAGTTTTCTTAAGCAAATCATCGTTGGCTTAGCTTGCAATTTCGATCTTCGAGGTTTATTGAATCACCAAATCTCAATGACCAAGTGCTTTTAGACTCTAACCATATGGTTGGTCATCCAGATAATGTAAAATTCAATCCATGCCGAGACCATGAAGTTAATTGGTAGTCATAGACAGCAAATCTCAAAACAAAGGGATACAATCCGGCAATTCGGATATCTGATTCAGCAATTTGAGCACATAATTAACAATGGAGCAGTTTAATAGATCTTTTGATCTAAAAAGGTATACATCCCTAAATGTAATGTAAAATGTGATGATAGTATAAAAAAATTTAACATAAGTTTAGCTAGAAATTAGCAAATCCCAGGCACTGATATTGATAGGAACTTGGGAATCATTTGCATGTCATGAAGATGAGGAACTCAAGCTGGCAGCTCTAGCTTTTTGTTGTTCTTCCAGCTGCAACCATCAAGAAGCATACGATATAAAAGAGATGATTCAGATTAACAAGCATAACTTCATATATCAAAATTTTAGACTTTCACCTTTCAAAATAATAGTAGAAAAAGTCGGCATAAAGGAGTGTCTGAACGATCCCAGAAATCCAAGCTGCAATAGCCATAAAAGAATGAATGAAAAAGAAATGATGTAAGAAGCAAACGCCTACTGAAGCACACAAGAATATATCAAGAGAAGGTAAAAGCCCATGTGCACAAGGGTAATTGAATAGATCCAAAGTATAGTACTCAAAAGAGTTAAATTTTCTAGAATTAGCTTTATTCAGTATAATAAAGTTGGTCATCAATTTCAACCATTCACAAACCAGGGATAACTTATGAGATGCAAACAGATCTACAAGCCAGAAGATTCCTCCAAAAGTTATTATACCACATACAAAAAGCCAACCTCTTGAGAATGTCAAAGCTAGTACTATCACAATATGCTGTGTTGCTAGTAGCTAACCAACACAACCAGGAAGATGCTAATGATGTTTGCCAAGGTAAATCCATGATCATCACCCTGTCCAGTTTTGTAAAGCAGGGAAAAAGGCTAGGTCCAGAGCCAAGTGAAGCAATTCACGGATTATGCAAACCAAGTGTTTTTTGAGTTACTACTACAGTTATTTCCAGTATTAGATACCAAGAGATGAAAATCATTATTTACAACATTAAAGGAGTGACCATATCAACATATGCACTATGCTACAAACATCAGCTTCATATAATAGCAACATTCTAAATTTTAATTTTTTTAATGGTGTAACAACCACTATTGGCAGACAAAGAGGTCATAGAAATCTTAACAATCAACCATTAAAAAAAATCTGCCATATTGAGCATAAATAGATCAAAAACAAATATTCGGATTTGTATAAACTGGATGTGGAGGCCTCTAGAAACATATGCCAAGGGATGAATTGTCAGGGTTGCTCACCTCTCCCACCAATATTTCAAAGTTTAAAGGGAGAAGAAAAAGGAAAGAGAAGAAAGACCCTCTTTGCAGTTTATAACCTTGTGATGAATGTAGGGCATCCAAAGCAATACATGCTCTGAGAGAAAGAGAGAAGACTTACGTATCCAGTGGACATAGTGTGGTTCAGTGAAGTATCGATAAATCCAGTTAAGAATGTATAATCCTCGATATGCACTGTAATAGAAGAGAAAGACATATAAGCAAATCTGTCCATTACACACATAAACATGCACATGCACATACCAAAAGGAAAATTCAAAGTCCTCTACACATCTCGGAAGGCATCATCAAGTAAATATTCTAAAAAAGAATAAGTAATTTTTGCATTCACAAATTTCATATCATGCTTAATGATGCATTGGTTTTTTGATACCATATTGCATACAATACTTGGAGTTTACATGGGAACCGTATGCAAAACAACTGCTTATAATTTCTATTTTTAGTTAGGTAAAATATTCATTTTATTTAGCTCTCTTCAATTTAAGCTATAGCTTTCTAATTCAGGCCTATCATTCTTTTCTCTTTTGGTCCTATGGCAGAGATGATATCTAACCCTGAAGAAGAGTAACGGTATCAGGCTAAGGGCAGCAAAAATCTTAAGTCATTATCTGTTTTGAAGCTTCAAACTAAACCTTCATAAGTTTGGAGAAATGATAAACTCACAAAGACTCTAAACTTCATTGAGTCCTAAAGAACAACATTAGTTAAGAATCCAAAATGTGACGCAAAGGAAAGCCCCAAGTGTTGATGCTGAGACTGTCAAATGATAAGTCTCCTGTTCAAACTACAGACTTTTAATCGAAAAGATATCGTCTCTAATATATGATTAAAAGTTAAAACATAGTCTTCAGCTTCTTGGCCTAGTGGCCAAGCGAGCCTTAAGAAGACACGAAGACTGGGGTTCGAACCCCAGCCTCTCCCCTTCCCCTTGTTGTAGGGTTCTGCCCCCTTATCAAACCAAAAAAAAAAAAGTTGAAACATAAACAGAACCAATTCAAACAACAAATGCATTAACCTAAAATGAAGCAAACAAAGCACAAAATCTAAGATATTGTCAATTAATTATATAAACAATAGTAGTTTAAGAACATTGGAAAATTTTAAAGTATACCCAAGAAGAAACACATATTGGCCAGTCAAGTTGTCGATGTTTCTAGTCCTTTGCAAGAGTACAAGCTGAGGAAGAATGGCAACAGCTTCTAGATACAACGAAAAGGTCCACATTACCTGGAACCCCATTTTTCATAAATCAAAATAAAAATATAAAATGAATCATAATTGAAAAAAAAAGTTTAAAAAATTAAGAGACCTCCTTGAAGGCGAATTTCTCATGAATGACAAGGGCCAAAAGCACGCAAGGCAATAGAAGAAAATAATGGCGGAAAGTGTCTTGGTCTTTATCATAAGACCTTCGAACAATCTTATGGCCACGCATGTACCAAACAATGGAAAAGGAGCTTCCCAAAAATATTAATTTCATCAAAATGTTGTAAAGAGATATAAAATCAGTAAAAATGTCCAAGTAACGGCTAGCAAAAACGATGGCGTAAAGTTCTTGCGTCTTCAAAGAAATACCTGCCAATTTAGAAAAATAAAAATAAAAATTGAATCTCAAAAACTGAGAAAATCAGCATTGAAAATAAAAAAAAAGAGAGAGAGAGAGAGAGAGAGAGAAGAAATATTACCAGCGCAAGATTTGATAGTGTGGATCTTGAGGAGCAAGACGAGAACGCTGGCCAGGTGAGTCATGTCACCGGCGAATCTGAATATGTTCATTTTCGCTCTTCCAGATCCAAAACCCTAAATTTCCTTCAATTCCCAAATCAAAATGTCAAAACGTTTCCAACGGGTTTTCTTTTTTTTTTGTTTTTGTTCTTTAAAGAGGGAGATCGGGTTAGATTAGATCGTGCAGTTTCCAAGATTTTTCATTTTCATTTGTATTTTTTTATTAATTAAAATCGAACGACTTAACGGAAGAACTGGAGACAACGTTTCTTTACCAATAAGATACTGACACGTCATCACCATTTCCAGACAGGCAGTCAGCGTCCGGTCCTTGCGCGACTGAATTCTTTTTTTTTTCCCCAAGACTGAATTGAGTTGACACTTTTCCAATAAACGGTGAAAAGAGTGAATTCCTGGCGTACTGTCAAAAGAAGTTCACCTTGGAACATTATCGTGACCTACTTTATTAAATTATTCTTTGCCTTCATTTTGGCTTTTGATTCAATGTTAATTTAAATAATAAATTTTTTAATTTTTAATTTACAAATCTATACTTATTTATTGAAAGAATCCCTTACATGTTAATGATTGACACGGGTCTAGTTTTATGAACTGGTTTAATAATTAATTTTTTTTATTGGTTTTGAAGGAAAGTAAATGGCCCGAGACTTTATTTGATCCACTTTAGAAAAACAATTTTTAGCTTGATCTAATCTGAGTATCATCCAATTTATTAGACAATCAATTCCAATATTAAGCTCAAAGCCCCAAACCATATAAAAAATAATTCTTAAAAATTTTTCATTGAGTTATATTTATTATAAAATTTTTATGTTCTTTAATAATTTATTATTATTATTGTGATAATTTATTCAATTATTTTATATAAAATAAAATTGAAAATATATATATATTAAAATGTATAATAAATTAATATTTAAAAATCCAAGGAGTAGACTTCGAATAAAAAACTATAACTTTTCTAAATAAATTTTGAGCTAAAAATAATTATTGGCTCCATAAAAGTGGTTTTAAAATCTTTCAATACGATAATTAATTAAATATACAAAAATATTCGAATACAATGTTGGCACGGGAGTATTGACAGATCTCTCTATCTATGCATCTACTATAAATATCAAATGTTGTAAATATCTATAACTTCTTTTTTTTTAATTTTTCCCATCACAATGATGCAAATTTTCAAATGTATATGTATTTCAACTTTTTTTAAATGATATTTAGATAAGTCCGTAACTCTAAAATATTTAGCTATAATTATAAAATGAATAAAAGATAATCATTAAAAAATAAAAATTAGATTAACATCTAATAAATTATTACAAATATGTATTTATTTATAAAATTTATTTTTTTATTTCAGTTACATATAAAATAAAAAGTAAATATTCATAAATATATATAATCCTGCCACGAAGTGCGGGACACATTCTAGTTCAAATTAAAAGGCTCCTTAAGATGTACTTTCCATAAAAATATATTTAAGAGAGAAAATCATTACATTAGTACTATATTTTTTAAAGGAAAAGATCAATTTATATTGATATAAAATTTTTTAACTGTTGATTTCAATAAATAAAAATATTAAAAAGTTATGTGAAAAAAAAAAAACGAGTCCAGCTTTATTCTTTGAATCTATTAAAATTAATAATTAAAAAAATATAAAAAATTTTAAGTTGATCCTTTTTTATATTTTTAATATTTTATTATTGTGTATATATTTTTAGACATTTTAATTTCTTACAACATTATTTCACATTTATACCAAAATAATTAAAATGTTTAATCGCACACTTATTTAGGAATAGAAGAAAGTGAGGAAAATGAGAAAATGACCATTTCCCTACTAGGGAAAGTTTGAGGTTACTTGCTCTCGTTGTTCTTTATTCTTTCTTTTATTTCCAAAGTAAAATAAATAAGTAAATAAATAATACTTTCAAAAAGTATTCAAGGTATTATGAATTTGATACAGAAAGAAGGAAAAGGGAACACTTGAATTAATAATCCAAGTCATACACGGTACATTCAAACAATCTCGCCATCTCTTTCCCTTAGTAAATTGCAATGCAACCTCAAAACCATGACAAAAGTTAACAAACGGAAAACCAGATGGACAGTCACACATGACAATTATGAACACAGTTTGTTTAGTCCTAGATATCATGTAATGCTGAGAAATGATCCAACAGATTAAAACAAGAGGTTTCAACTCTCATTTGAATACAAATTACACGACAATACCAGAGGATTACATTTACCTGTTCTATTACTGGCGCTTTGGAGCCTTTCTTTTTCATCCAACTGAAGTCAACCTAGCGCCAAACCAAAGAGGTGATGTTCTGAACAATGCCTTCATATAATGCAGTGATCTAATACACGGTCTTATTCTTATGCTGCATTGTCAGTTTAACCATCTATAGGTTGCCATACCTATTATTTCCTCTGCAGGCACTCCTAAGAGTTCATTACATGTCCCAAATCAGAATCAATAAATAAGCAGATATCCAAGTTTGTAGTACACATTCAAGTTGACCATGGATATATTAGCTATTTATACAGACCTTCTCGATTACCTTGATTTAATTTGAATTAGCCGATCATCTGACATCACAAACATCTTCCCTTGCAGCTTCGAACATAAAAGAGTTCGGGTAAAGTTTCATCGAAATTCATTATTTTTCTTTTCGAGATACCATATAATGATAGGAAAGCATGCAACAATGCAAGTTCTTTTCATTGCTACACAATACGAAAGGTATTTAAGATTTTAAAAGCTGGCATTGGGCTACTTCTCATATGTAAAGGAAAGTTACAAAGCATGATTTATCATCAGTTGTGGAGTTGGGAAGCAGCTTTACCACATAAGAATACAGAAGGTCCAACACTTGGGATAAGAAAAGCAATTACCCCTCCTTATTCTAAAAAATTGACTCATCAATCCGAAGATATCCTGGACAAAAATGTTTTGGCCTCTATTGTAGTTCCAATAAAAGATTGTATGAATGCCTCTCTAAACCAATGTGCTCTATCAGATTAATACTATTCAAATCCTCTATCCTTTCATATTCAAAGCTCCTCATCACAACTTTGTTCACTCAATTCCTCATTTCTCATTGCCATCATTTCCATGTCCTTCCTAACCTGTTCTCTTTGCAACCTCAACATCTCCACTCTCTTCTGCCACCCTTCCTCCAACAACTTAACAAACCTATCCTTTATCTCAAGCAATGGATCCTTATCAATCAACTGATCATCCTTATATGTCTCCCTTAGCACTGCAGTCTTTATCCCACCTTTTAATGACATATAGAATATCCCTGAATGCCTAGTAAACACACTAGAAAAAGCATTGGAAAACCTGTAATCATCGGTAAACTTCCCCAAAATTGGCACTGGAACCCTCTTCAACAATGAGAGGGAAAGCAACTCATGCAAAACCCCCACCATTCTCTTCTCCATTTCTCGCGAAGCTTGATCCAAATGTGACACATCCTCATAAGGAGATATATAGTCTAACTCTAACCAATCCCTAACCCACTCCCTCATTTCCTTCCTAAGAAAAAAGCCTGCCGGTAACTTGTAGTTAAAATTCGGCCTAACCCGAATCCCAGTTAACCTTGATTCCTCTTCAGCTCTTTGTTCAATAACAGACTTTGCAAACTCAGGATTCCACTCAACCAATTCCAAAAACGATGGCCCTTCTCCAGGGGACCCGGTTAATCTAAAATAATTCGAGTACTTAGGCACTAAATTAACTAAAAAATCATTAGGCAAACCAAATTCCCTCTTCACATGAACCAATTTATCCACACTAATCACCTTATATCTAGACATCATCAACAGTTTACAAAGCTTAGAAACAACCAACTCCTCATTTTCATTATAAATCCGCTTTTCCTCTTCTAGAAAATTCCTCAGCCTATTACTTGGCCGCAAAAAGGGGACTAGCTCGGATTTGGGTTTAATCCGATCATAATAAGTATCGAAAAGACCTGGGTTATTGTTAATAAAGGTTTGAACTCTAACATTAAGGCGTAATCTCTCTCGCCTTTTGTCTAAGTATCGGAGAGGGATGACTTGACCCGGTTCGTTTAGGACTTCCTTGACGACCCGGGCACAGAGCTTGTATCGTTTATCGTTTTTTATGGCTTGGTCTAACTTCCAATCTTTCCTCCAAATGACTTTGAGACTTGAAATGGGCTTGATTTGGAGGGCGAATTTAGGGTTTAAGAAAGATTTGAAGGTAAGGTTTGGATTGGAAATGGAATAAGAGATGGTTAGGGATTTGAAGAGCATACCTGAGCATTAAAGGAAAACAAACCCCAAAGCAATTGATCAGATTAAAAAAACACAGCAATAATTCTTAGGATTCGCAGTGGGAAGCTGACTTCAGATCAGAATTTGTGAATGAGCAAAATTTTAGGGTTTAGGGTTTTAGAGAGTTAAACGAAACGTAACAAGAGCCAAACCCGAGACCGACGAGGGCGAGACATTGAAGATAGAGGGCGAAAGGATAAAAAAAAAAAAAAAAAGGAGATTGGGTGGCCTCTATGGTAATTTTTCCATTTTGGAAGCAATAGGGAATTGAGACGTTTTTTGGGGTACAATCTTTCAAGAAGTGATTACTGATTTTTCTTTTTTTTGGCTATGAATTGTATTTCAAGAGAAACAAAATAAAATAAGTAAAATAAACTAATTTTTACAATAATATTTTATATTTCTCTAATTAAATTAAAATTTTTTGGGCAATTAATGAAATTAGATTCATCATTTAAGGTGTATACATTAAAAAAATAATTATAAGAATTTGTTAAAGTTAATTAAGATTTTATTTTAAAAATAAATTTTCATTTAATGTATTTTCTTAATCAATTTTATTTTTATATGGTTAGTAAATTGATTACATAAAATATTTATTTAAATATATATCATCTTAATTGAGCAACACTATTTAACACTTCTTCTTTTTTTTTGTCAATTAAAAAAAAGATAAATATATAAATTGCATTGTCAATAATGGTTCTCTGTTATTAAGATGAATATCAAAATATAAAAGGGTAAAATGTCTTCAATGGTGACAAATATGTGCTTCTAAATGCATTTCATTTTTTTTTTCACACCTCATTTTTTAAATTTTTTAAGAATATTTATTTAATTATTTTTTTACAAGTTTTTGGATATTCATATTTGATAAAATCTGTAAATAACCAAAAATAAATTTTCAAAAAATTGTATAATTTGTCATAAATAAATTTTCAAGAAATTATATAACCTTTTAAAATTTGATTTCTGAAGAGTAAGAGAATGAAATTTTAAGAAAAATTATAAAAAATTTATTAGAAAATTTTATTTATTGGTATAATTAGAAAGAGTTGTTGCTAGAAAAAATTCTAATTTTTTAAAATTAATTAAAGAAAGTTAATTTTACTGTTTTAAACTTAAAGAAATAATAAAATCTTATAAGATCCTAATTAAACTAAAGTTAAAATAGTAAATATAAATTTTTATATATTTAAAATTATCATTTATTTTTAATAAATATTTTTTATCAATTATTAATAATTTATAATAATTCTAACTGAACTAAACATTTTTTAGAAGTTTCTCATCTATTTATCACAATGAATTTCTTCAATTAGCATATTAAATTTTAATAAAATTATATAGTATTTAGTAATATTAATTATATAATTTTTAGGGGTTTTAACTTTCGAATATTAATCAAATCTAATAGTTATTTCATCATCTCTTATAATATCAAGAGATAACATGTTTAATTAAGATTTCATAAAATTTGATTATTTCTTTAAGATCAAACTAGTAAAATTGATTTATTTTTATTAATTTTAAATTTTAAGATTTTTCAATAATAAATTTTTTATTACACCAAATAATAAAATTTTTAAAAAAATTTTCTTAAGATTTCAATCTCTAATTTTTCGAAAATTCATTTTAGCAAGTTATATAATTTTAAGAAAATTTATTTTTGATAAATTACAAAATTTGTCATATATGAATATTTAAAAATTTGTAAGACATGATAATTAAATGCATCGTGGTCTAAAGACATGATGGATCGTGTTAAGTGGGTTACATCAAGCTAGGCAAAGTCCAAAATATTTTTATCTTTTTCCATACTTTTTTTTAATTGTTACTTTTTTGTATTTATTATTTCAAATTTAAATTTATAAAAAATAAAATTAAAAAAATTAGACATATAATTTATATGATTTGACTTAAAATGTCTGCATTGACGATAAATTGAAAAAAAAATCACTATGAATAAATAAATTTAAAAATCATTAATTATCTAAAAAACACTAAATTTTACAATATTAAATATAATTAACATATATCTAAATCATTATTTTCATCCAACAAATATTTTGAAATTAGACTAACTATATATTTCTACATACCAATTCTTTTTTTTTTGTTGCAATAATACCCATTCTTTTTCTCTTATTTATAGCAATCTTGTTTTTTTTTTTTTTTTTTTGAGGTAACATTTTGGGATTTTTTAAAAAACTTCTATGATAATCTTGAATGTTAAGTAGATGGATTAAAATATGATTGTGGTAAGATAGATACCACTTAAAATGTGGATATAACACAATGACTTTTACAACAATTCATCATATTTATAAGCACCATTTAAAATATATATATATAGTTATAAATTTCTAGTTAGGCAAAGGTGTTGCTAAGTTCACATACATAGTGGAATACACCATATAAAAGTACATGCAAAATTTTGACTTATTAAGTCAAATACATTGTGTTAGTATAGCAATGTAGAAATGATGACATGGACCACTTGATTTTATATATGGAAATGTAATATAGATTTTTAATGTGTAAGATTTGGACCTTCATAGTTAGGAGGATATTTATTTATTAGTCTTTGAATTGTTTATTTTGTTTAATTTACAAAAAAAAAAGATAAAATAAAAACTTAACATATATCTATAGACACAATTAAAGAACAATCAAAATACAAATTTAAAAAAATTTTAATTTAATACAATGTTTTAAATGAAATTAAAAATAATGCATTAATTAAATATTTATTTTTTAAATATTATCTTAATCAGTGTCGTTGATATTTATTAATATTTTAAAATAAAAAAGAAATGAGTTAATCTTGTTCTTTGACCCAAATGATTAAATTTACAAACAATGTAAGATAACTTGTTACTATCTTATCTAATTTCTGAATGAATCTGAAATTATTCCAATCATAACAAAATCCTTAAATGAATGATTAAGTCATCAAAATTTGTTTTAAACTTATAAATAAAGTCTCAAAAATTGGTAAAACCAATTTAAAAATATCAACATCAAATCAATAGAAATAATAACAAAATAAAAAATTCATAAAAATATACAAAATAAATAAAATAAATTTGTGAATAATTTACTCACCCCCCAACTAAAAACACGACCCTATCTTAATGACATCACCTTGTTTCCCACGTTCATATATCAACACGTCCGTTTTTTTTTTCCAAGCCGACCACCACGCGCCTGATCGAACTGCCACTTTACGGGGAAGGTACACCAAACTTAATCCGGGACATTTTGCTTTCCGCAATTGGACCGTTGACCCACGCCCCTTAAACAATCGCGTGAATCACGCCCCAACCTTCCTACCCGGGAAAAAAACACAGAGTAAAGAAGAAAAATTGCCCTGCCCTTTCCTTTTAAATTTTGGTAGGAAAATCTTACCATAATTAAAAACCCCTTGAAAAAGCCTTCCCTGTTTTGCTTAATGGCTGAATGATGGTGTTAATATATCTTGGAGAGAGTAGTTAAAAACCCAAAAGAAAAAGTTTAAAAAGAAAAGGAAAAGGGGAAAAGAAGAGAGAGAGGGACGGCGCCTTTTTGTTTCAACTAGAGATATTATTAGCACATATCTCAAGTAAAGGCCAAAGGGCAAAGAGTAAGGATGCGGGAAGTTGCTGCTTCCACTGCTTTTTAATAAGTAATATTAGTCTATTTTATTAATATTTTTTTATATGCATTTGTGTTTGTGGATTTGCTTTGATAAATAGTGAAAGAATGAAAAAAATTTGTCTATCTCTATGTAACGGCTACTTTTGATGGTGTTGTTGAAGAATTGAAGACTGAGAAATAAAAAAAAAAAGTGGGTGTGATTTGGTTTAGTCTCGAAGGGAGTCAGCAGAAATGGATTACAACAATGATCAGTAAATTTCTTATTCTCTTTGCTGTCTTTTTTATTTTAAAATGCATGTTTTCCTGATGATTTTTTCTGGGATTTTTTTTATGTATGGTTTTATGACAATTTATTTGCATTTTTTCTGGGATGAATGCTGGTTTTTTCTCAATTTAGTTTTTGCTCGATTTTAAAATTTTTATGGATTAAATGCTGCATATATAAAATGGGTTTGCTTGGATTTTTTTCCTTTAAATTTTGGAGTGGGGATATGTTGGATTTGTAATTTGTACTATAAGCTGTAACCGAAGTGCTGATTGAAAGATCGAAGGTGTGGGCTCTGAATAAAATGGTGGGTCAATTTGTTTTAATTCTTTTTCTCTTTCTTTGTGCTTATTGATTAGCTTAAACATCAATGCTGAAAAACATATAGATTATGATCCCCTTTCCTTGCTGCTAGATCCAAATGGTAAGGGTGTCCCTTTTATTCTACATGTGATGTTTGTTTGGGTCACTACTATTGGATCCAATGTTTCAATTTTACTTTTTTTTCCCTTTTTCTTTTTGTTGTTGTTGTTGTTTTTTTTTGTTTTTTGTGAGGTGGAAATGTTTACTGTTTGATGTTTTTCTGGATAATATTCCATTCCTTTTCCCCCCTTGTGTCTATGTAGTTTTATGGATTATGTTGGTGATTTAATTCCTAACTTATATGGAAACGCTATCTAAGATTTTGCTTAATGCTGGTAAAATGTTGCATGGATTCCACTGTTTGGTAAAGCATTGAATGATTCATTCTTTAGTCCATATACATTGGCTCTTTGCTTTGGCCTGAATACTTTATTTATTTTGTGTTAATCATTTGATTGGTGGCAGTGAGCCTTGGAATTGGCATGAGGAGAATTATGGTCTTCAAAAGAACAACAATTTTGGTAAGTTATTATCCCATATAATGACTTATTTTTAGTCAATATGTTTGAAATAGCCGAGTGAGTAAAATGATTTAAGATAATACAAGTAGTGATGTCTGAATAACATCTAGCAGATGCTTCCCAAGGTGCATGGACTCAAGTGACCTTGAACGAGGAAGATCTTTCCTACATCTTTGATGAAACAACCCCTGTTAAGGAATGTGGGGATCTTTCATTCCATGTTACTCTTAATGGTAAGCTTTGTTCCTTGGTATTCTGTGAAAATTTCTTGTCTTCATAACACTTGTTCTTCTCTTTCCTTTAGAAGTAATAAGATTGTGAGCTTCAGATAATATAAGCAAGGAATCAGAGGATAAGAGGGAGACCTCTTCACAAGTTAAAAGGCGTAGAATGCTTCAATTTGACACTCATGCAGTAGATTCTTCCCTTGTCTGTGATGAAATGCCATCTGCATTCCTAAAATCAAGGGTGAGTGCTGAATAACATTTTTATCCTGAAAACCTGAAGGAAGCATGCCATATTCTTCTACCTGCTATCTGTCTGCTATGTTTTGAAAAGCTGACATGGGTTCATATGCTCGACGTGGAACCTGATGTTAGAAAACATATCAGTTAACCGTAAGTTGTGTTTTATATTGCTGAGAAGGAAAACTCTATCATCCACATCATTTTTGTGCATCCATGTGCAACTAATTTGCACTAGACAACCTTGCTTGGTATATCTACTGGCTAGAGGTTGCTGATATTTTCAAAATTTTATAGTATCTACAATTCATTTGCTATTTATAACAGATTTGGACTTCTGCCTATTCTGGAGCCCTTTGAAATATATGCATGTTGGATCTATGTCGAGTTACTTTCTCATGGATGCAATCAAAACTTTTGAATATTGGTTAAAATGTACCTTGTTTATTACTATGTTTTGTTTATTTGTTTCTTCTTTCCATGCTTAGGAGAGGGATAATTCAATTGAAGAGGTTTTACCTGATGCATCTCAGTGGGTTGCTGGATTTTCAGGTTTCTCTTGCTAGTCCATTTACAAATAATAATCAACTTGAATCAAATGGTACTTGGGTTTTTAATCATAAGAAAATATTTCAGAAAATGCATCAGCTTCCTGGTATGAGGGCCTAGATCACTCATGTGAAGGGTGGCTTGCTGAATATTTTAATGATACGGAGATGCTTCTTAGCTCTGACGATATGTATGCTTCTATGGACTTTCAATGTTTTTGTTTGATCATGATATTAATATGTTCTGATTGTTTTATAATGTGAGATTCAGGAATCTTATTGGGGCAGTTGATGTTCAAAATGATATTTCAGGTACATTAGTCCTTTTCTTCTGATTGTTATCTTCATTTTTTACGTTGAAAACATCTTGTGTGTCATTGTTCCATCTCTCTCTCTCTCTCTCTCTCTCTCTAAGTTGCACATTTTCTTAACTTTATGATGAAACATGAATCTCTGTTCATAGAGTTGTGCAATGCCCAACCAGAGTCTGGGGCTGATGCTGTTCAAAAGCAGGTGACTCAAACTCCTCGAAATATTGTTTTCAAAGGTAACCTATCTATTCTTGTTTATATCTGTTGAATTTTATTTTCCTTCTGATTGTTATGTTTTGGCCTGTTCTATCTCCAGTATCAACCCATAAGAACATCCTCTCTCCCTGCTGTTGTTATGAAGGAAAAATATAAGCTTATATGAATTGTGTGTCTCAATTTCAAATACCATGTCCTTTAAGTAGGAATTAATGACCTACCATTTTTAAACTAAAATTTACCTCTAAGTAAGATTAACACTGTCAGATGGGATTTTGTTAATTTAGGTAGGAAGTCTTTCATTCGCACACCCCCTAAGCAAGCATCTTCTGTTGCCTACCCATTTGCATTCATTAAACCTTGTGGTTTCCATGGAGATGTTACCCTGAAGGATATAAACCAGCGAATCCGAACTCCACCACCATCAAAATCAAAACAAAGCAATGAAGATCTTGGTGATGCTTTTCCAACTTCTGCTTTTTCTGGGAAGCCTGTTGTTGGCAAAACTAAAATTCGTACTGAAGGAGGAAAAGGTAGCATCACAATTATGAGAACCAAAGGGTGAGTAGAGAAGTGTTCTTCTGAACTTCCTCTTTTTGTGGCCCTTTGATCTCCCTCTTGGTTAAATCTGGTGGTTGAGTAACTCTGTAGTATTCCTGGTTCCGACTAGTACAGAGGCTGATACTGCATTTTTTTTTGTTGGAATCTTGGACCCATAATACACATCAAAGTGTTTATATTTCCAAGTAGTATTCTAGGTGTCTAATAGTTGTTTTATACATGGTGGCTTTTATTATTAGGCTATAAATGACATGATGTCAGACATCCACCTATTTTCTTTTGGTTTCTCAAAAGATCTAATTAATGTTTTCGCTAAGCAGAGTTTGTGTATTCACATGGTATATCTAGATGATATATTTAACATGTAGCGGAAGCATAAGCTTGTGCAGTTGTACCGCTTTCTCTCTCTCTCTCAGTCAATGACAATATTATCATATGGCTGTGTAAATGGTTATTAGCATCAAAGTTTATCTTGTCTCGCATCTTTTGCTAATGCATATATATGCTTAAACCTGTATTTGGTATGGTTTATTGTATAGCTGCCTTTGCCTGATATTAGGTTATGATCGGTGGGGTGATTGAATTTAAGTTTTGAAACATTAGATAGTTATTTGTCTGGTGTTAATACCCATGTTTCAGAAGGAATTTTGAGTTCCAAATTCCAACATACATGCAATTTCTTTTCCTTCTTTCCTTCTACCTTGGAGGCCAAGTTCATTATCATGTTGACAAAGTAGGAATCTTATAAACTTCTGTCAGACTCCTTGTTAGTTTCAGTTGTGCATGTTGTTTTCACTTTTCTTTTGCCCTTATTGCACTCAAAGCTAAGGTGAGTTCTTTTCTCTTTCACTTAACCTTGTGCGTTTTGGTTAAAGCTATTCCATCTAATTTGATACCAAATTTGAGCAAGGACTTAAAGTGGAAAGAAATCCTCTTTTTTTTATATAATGCCCTGCACTTTTTCCCCTTAGATATTAATGTTTTTTGGTATAACAGAGAATTTCCCACTTTGGGTTGGGGACTGAATCGAAATATGCTTTGCTTTTAACCTAAAAAGTAAAATTGGGTTCTCTTTCATCACAGTGGCTGTCTCGTAGGAAATTGAATCAAAAGTTGTAGCATGCTTATCTGATCTGAAAAGGCTTTAAGCCGAAAATGACAAAAGCAAAGGACTGTGTAAGAAAGTTGTAAGAAAGTGCTTCACACTTTTCATAGCTGTTGGGTCCAAAAGTTAAGGTTGTAAGGTCCCACGTCCTTAACAACTTTGGGAACTGTATTTTGATGTGGAAAATGTTCACTTTGTTGTGGTTCAGAATGCTTGAAGCTTGTGAAAGCTGCCATAAGCACCCTGGCTTTGAGTTCTTGCATGTTTTCTTGAAATCTAAGCACATCGTGCTCCTAATGAAAAAAAAAAAAAATGGACTGCATTTTGGGCTTGGAGCCTAGACCTTCCTAGATTCGTATTGATGGGACTGAATTTGCTGGAAGTTAATTGGGCTTTTCTTTATTTAAAATAAAATTCGAGAAATAATAGGTTGGTCCAATCTTCATGTTAGGATATACCCTATTAGAATATAGGAAAAGCAAGTCTTCTCCGGGTTTACGTATAACGTATAAAGGCTTATAAGGTCTAGAGTGCCTAAAGTCAACCATTATGAAATAGAAAAGATAGATTTCATAAGCGCTCCTGTAATAGTGCCAGTCTTTCTACGTGAATCTTGGTTCCTTGGTCACCTGTCGAATCTCGTGCTTAAGCAAAGAGACAATTTCCTTATGTTGTAAGTCTCAGGGACATCTCTTGGATAAAGACTAAGAGCAATTCCGTCTTTAAGGGAATTAGGTAATAAAGGACCCACGGAGCGTAGAAGGGAGGAGTTCATACCCGGTTAGGGGATTACTGGCCCAACTTCCCTTTTTGTCTATTTCGCATAGCCGGGCTCTTTTCTAATCCCTTTTCTCTCTCTCGCAATCGGACATGTTGCGGCGTAAACGGTGAACATTTTTGTAGCGCTTGAACGGGGTTCATTTGCAAAAGTTGGGGAAGGAGCTGCTAGTGTTTTCGACAACTCAGCTCTTTGACTTGCCACATCTATTATCTAGATCCAAGCCAAGAATAAGTGAGAGCAAGCTTAAGCACAGAAATCGAATAGGCTGTTCGGGAGCTAAGAGAGATTGGCAATAAGAATACAGAGGTGCCTAGCTTTTTAACAGCAGCAAATCGGCATATCGCTATTTCTATTCTTATCTTAGGCATCCCGACATTCCAGGTCCTTCCCGTCCCGAAATTCCTTCTTCTTGATAAGTTGATCGTTGAAATGATAATTTATACAACAGAAGTAGAAGATATCAATTCCTTTTACAGCCGCTGAAGCAGCTATTGGATCAGCTATTGTTTCCTCAATTTATCGTAACAGAAAATCAACTTTGTTGAATAAGTAATATTAATAATATTAAATTATAAGATTCACCAATTTGAATTAGCATGTCCAATATGTTGGAATCTACATCATGTTTTCGAAAACGTAAGAAATCAAAGTATCTTGGTCCTTTCTTATGAGTTGATCCCGAAGGAAATTGATTAGAAAATTTCTGGTAAATCGTTGATTCATCTGGTGTTTAACTATAATGATTCATTTACAAGTTTACTAGATTGAAATTTTATGATGTTCAAAAAATTATAGATCCCATGTCACATTCAGTAAAAATTTATGATACATGTATAGGGTGTACTCAATGTGTCCGAGCCTGCCCCACCGATGTGTTAGAAATGATACCTTGGGATGGATGTAAAGCTAAGCAAATTGCTTCCGCTCCAAGAACAGAAGACTGTGTTGGTTGTAAGAGATGTGAATCCGCTTGTCCAACAGATTTCTTGAGCGTTCGAGTTTATTTATGGCATGAAACAACTCGAAGTATGGGTCTAGCTTATTGATACGTTCCCGAAAACCCCACTTGAATACATTTTGAATCCATTTGAGCACGGGTTTTTCTGATTCAAGTGCATCTTGTCTGATATTTATGATCTTAAGATAGATTAATGTGTAAGGTTCAAACTTATAAATTACTTATGTCGAGACGAATAATTTTATTAATTTAGTCATAGTAAGTAAAGTTTAATTACACAAACAATCTTACCAATTAAACAATCATATTTAAAGAAAATTTTATCAATCTAAGTATTCAACCAACTTATAGATATGGTCATTTTACAAAAATAATATGAAAAAAAAAAAACCCAGACTGTTTTAAATTTTAAAAAAATCATATGGTTTTACTTAAAAAAATTTATATTTAATATACAGTAAATGGATAATATTATATATTATTAATAAACTAGTATTTTTACTTGTGCCATGCACAGAATTTTTTCGTAATTTAAAATTTTAATTCATACTAATTTTTATATTATATATAGATACATAAAAATATTTTTAATCATCTATAATTTGTACTTTTAAAATTATAAAAACAGTTTATATATAAATTATTATGAAAAAATTTAAATAAGTATTATGAAAATTTTGAATTATAAAAATAAAATTACGTATAAATCTCAATGAAAAAAATCAATTTCTTGTTTACAATTACATATATTTTTAAAAGTATATATTATTTTAGTACGAAAACTAAAATTTATAAATATGATATGTCATGAAAGATTTTTTCATGTTTGATTTTAAAACTTTATCATGTCAAACTTTTATAATAAAAATCTAATTGTTCTATCTTTTATAAAGAAGAAAATATTGATTGTAAGAATAAATCATAAATATGTATTTGATAATTATTTAATTTTAAAAAATTTTTAAATTTTTAAAAATATAGTTTTTCTAAGTTTAATTTTAAATTAAGATAAAAGATATTAGTATAATTTTAATTTTAGATATGGGTTTAATTTTAAATTGAGATAAAATATCTATATTTTATTTTAAATTAAAAAAATAATGTTTCCAAAAAATATTAAGAAAAATAAAGACAAAAATTTTGGTAAACAACTGTGGTTTAACCACAAATTAAATTTATATGAATATTAATTTAGATAAGTGTTTTTTTTTTATGATCCCTACGATTTAAGAATTTAACCTTTAAATTTTATTTGAATTTTATATTTCATATATATGTAAGAGTAAAGTATATGATATGTTTTTTTCAAATTTAAATTAGGATAAAACTTATATATTTTAAAAGATTTGGATAAATGTAAATTATGAAAATTTAAAATTTTTAAAAATTGAATAATTGATTAAATAAAGTTATTTAAAATTATCCTATGTGTCAATAATATAGGTTATCTATCTAAACGTCCACATAAATAAATTTTATTAGATTTTTATGTATATTATAATATAATATTATATATGTTACATAAGAACACAAAAAAAAAATTAAATATGTTTCATGTTTTATTTTTAAAAATTTATTTTATATTAAACTTGTTTATATAAATTATAACATAATAAATTTTTATATTTTACATATATTTAACACAATCACAAGAGACACAACATGCGAATTACCAAATTTATTATTGTATTATTATTAGTTGAGGTTTATTTTCCTTGAGCAAGTGCTTAAGAAAAGCTTTCATCAAATACAACACTATATTTGTAATAGAAAATGAAAGAAATTTGTCCTTTTTGCTTATATTGTTATTCTTTGGTGTCTAAAATTTAATTACTGGTATTTGTAAATAACTTATTTTTGAAAAAAAAATGAAGACAAGTGGTCCTAATACAACGGTCACTAACTGTCAACAAAATCCAGACTGTCAGTTTCTTTTTTTTTTTCCATCATCCATCATTAATATTCCTTTCTTCTCGTACGTTCCCTCTCTCTCAATGGAAAATTTAAGCGGTTTTAAAGGATGACGGTTTGTTGGTCCTTCGCTTTCGCACTCTCCATCATCGCCATCAACGTCGCCTTTACCGACTCCGAGAGAATTCCCTCCACTCTCGACGGCCCTTTCGACCCCGTAACCGTCCCCTACGATGTCAGCTTGCGCGGTAACGCTGTCGATTTGCCCGACACTGATCCCCGTGTGCGCCGCAGCGTCAGAGGATTCGAGCCCGAGCAGATTTCGGTCTCTCTCTCCGTCAATTACGACTCTGTTTGGATCTCATGGGTCACCGGTTGGTCCTCCAAATCTTCCCATAATTCGCTATACTTCTTTATTAATTATTGTATATTTCTATTTTTTTATTCTTATTATTTTGCGTTCCTGGTTTTTTTGCTGCCCATAAAATACAAATTTTTAGATTACTGTATACACTACAGAATCATAAATATAAAAATTATATATATTTTTCATTTGATATTATAATTTAGCGACGTATTTGCTTTATCTCTGTGTATGTTTGTGTTGTTATTAGTCTATTGCTTGATTACATGTGACTGTGGGTTAGATATTGGGAATGTTTTGCAGGGGAATTCCAAATTGGTAACAACATAAAGCCATTGGATCCTAATACTGTTGCGAGTTTGGTTCGTTATGGGAGGTCAAGGTTTCCATTAACTCGTGAAGCCATTGGCTATTCTTTGGTGTACAATCAGCTTTACCCCTTTGAAGGCCTTCAGAATTATACTTCTGGAATCATCCACCACGTTCGTCTAACAGGTTTGATGGATTATCTTAGTTTAACTCAGTGTCATAGATTTTAAATTGAAATCCAGTATATTTGGTTCCACTGAATTTTAATCGGGGACAACAAAGTGATCATTATACTTGATGAGATCCACTGATAGGAAAAAGTTATAAATTTAATAAGACATAACAAAGACAAGCCTAATTAAAATTTTTTTGGCCTTATTCTTGTTTTATTTGATTGATATAGTGTTTGCCTTTTGATGGAGGAGTTGTCTCATTCAATTTATAGTTTCTACCATGCAGTTTGCTTTTGAAGCAACAAAGTTGGTATGACCATCGTTCTAATTTGAACAAACATTTGGGCCAAAGATAATGCATGAATTCTGCTAAGAAACTTGGATAAGGATAACTCTTGATTATTGGAAGCTATTAGGTGATGAAAAGTGATATTTTTTCAAACATTCATCTCTTGAGAAAATGTCATTTTTTAAATACCCTCACCAGACATTTTTCTCCCCTATTTTGCTGAATACTTCCCAACCAATTTAATTGCATACTAGTAACTTAATCAATTTGATTGTTTCCTACCTGCCCTTGTTTATAACCACTGTGAGGACTTGTGATTTGAGTCATTTGATGAGTGTTATGCTTTTGTTACTTATGTAGGACTGAAACCCAGCACACTATATTATTATAGATGTGGAGATCCTTCAATACCGGCCATGAGTGATATCTATCACTTCAGGACTATGCCAGTTTCTAGTCCCAGGAGCTACCCAAAGAGAATAGCAGTTGTTGGAGATCTTGGACTAACATATAATACAACTGACACAATCAGCCATTTAACAACGAACAATCCTGATCTAGTTCTATTGATCGGTGATGTAACTTATGCAAACCTGTACCTCACAAATGGTACTGGTTCAGACTGCTATGATTGCTCATTTCCATATACTCCAATACATGAGACCTATCAACCTCGTTGGGATTACTGGGGGAGGTCAGATAATTCACTATTGCCGTTTTTTGTCTTTATCTTTTCTATTTTTGGTTCTGTTTTGGAAGCAGAAGACTTTGTTGAGATGCCTTCATTAAGTCTGAGTTTAACCAAAAAAATGCTGAAGTTTTGTTAATTGAATGTTCTCTGCAGGTTTATGCAGAGTTTAATTTCTAAAACTCCAATAATGGTGGTAGAAGGGAACCATGAAATAGAGGAGCAAGCTGGGAACCAGAAATTTGCAGCATACAGTTCTCGATTTGCATTCCCTTCTAAAGAAAGTGAATCTTCGTCCACATTCTACTACTCCTTCAATGCAGGGGGGATACATTTTATCATGCTTGGAGCATATATTGCTTATACTAAATCAGGTCTACTATCTGTCAAATATAATCATTTTCTAGAAAGCATTTTTATAATGATATCAAGCATGGTATTCTGTTACTTATCAGTCTTGATGGCGAGCTTCTTCTTAGTGTAGGTTTCTGAATACCCTCACTGTTTAATTCCTTTCAATGGTTTATATAAACCAATGATATGAAAGACTATCTAGGGTTTCAGGCATTTAATCTCTCTGAAATAAATCAAGCAGCGATAGAAATTTTCTAGTCTACATTGTTATGGGAGTAACAATTTGTAGGATTTTAAAATTGATAATTTGGATCTTCCCCTTCCTCTTTCAAATTATTGCGTAAACTACTTGCTAAGGCATTCTATTTATTTCTTCTGCAGCGGAGCAATACAGTTGGCTGGTGAGGGACTTAGCTAACGTGGATAGATCCGTGACTCCATGGCTGGTAGCTGCTTGGCACCCACCATGGTACAGTTCTTATAAAGCCCATTATAAAGAAGCAGAATGTATGAGGGTGGCAATGGAAGAATTACTATACAGTTATGGTGTTGATATAGTCTATAATGGACATGTAAGTCATGAAAACCAACTAGTATTTATGTTTGCATATGGGAAATGAGGGACCAAGGTTATAACATCAAAGCAGTAAAAGAATATGACGCATTGGAGGGCAAGAGTTAATAATTTTACATTTTAATGAAATCAGCTCAATTGACAGATTGAATCACCAAGATATAAGTCATACGTTTTTTTTTTTTTTTTTTCCGTTTCATTTCTTTGGGGGTTTGGAGGGAGAATCTGCTTCTAAATGTTTATTATTTCCTAGTGATATCAAACTATATTCTGCTCAAAATATGTTGCTAGGTTCATGCCTATGAAAGGTCCAATCGAGTTTACAATTATACATTAGATCCATGTGGACCAGTACATATCACCATAGGAGATGGGGGAAATCGTGAAAAGATGGCAATTGAACATGCTGACGACCCTGGTAACTGTCCCGAGCCATCATCAACCTATGACGTGGCTATTGGTGGATTTTGTGCAACAAACTTCACAAGTGGTCCAGCAGCTGGAAAGTTTTGTTGGGATCGGCAACCTGATTACAGTGCCTTCAGAGAAAGTAGCTTTGGCCATGGGATCCTTGAGGTATTCTTTTTCTGTGCATCTCTTTCTCTCTGCTTGTGTATGTTCAACAGCCTAAGCATCATAGTAGAGTCAATATATTCTCATATATGGAATTTGAACTTTTAATTTTGCCATGTGCTGTGTTGCTTAATTATCAATTTTAAGAAGGCACTTGAGGAAACTTTGATTTGAAGTATGCCAGTCATCAAAATTATTATGGTGCCCTTAATCGCATATGTACCTTGTAGGAATAGTTTTTCTATGCTTATTTCATGATGTTTTGCATTGATGGAAAATTTGTAGACATTGGCTGAAATGTAGAGAGCAACTTCTGATAGGTGTTGAATTCCCACCATCCTTCTATGTCTTTGATTGGAAATGGCAATTAGTCCTTAAATTGAGTTCAATTTCAAACCGTCGTCATTCAACTCAAATGTCATATAAGACAATTAGATGCAAAATGTGACCTAACAATATTTTTCCCCCTTTTTTTTTTTTTGAATTTTATGATGAGTATTTGATTTGCTGGTCCTAACCTGTAACACATGAATTGTAGGTGAAGAATGAGACTTGGGCTTTATGGACCTGGTATCGAAACCAGGACTCGAACACTAAGGTTGGTGATCAAATTTACATAGTGAGGCAACCTGATATGTGTCCTGTCCCTCACAAACTACCAAAAAGTTGGTTTGCAGACAGTTAAATGACGTTACAAAAGAAATTCACTGTGCTTTGTGTGGGCTTTACTGAAGATCCAGGTAGTTTAGGGAAAAAAAAAACCGTATCTAACAGCTCTCTTGCCCTGGCTCTCTCCCCTGACTTTCTTTATATGATAGCTGTAGTTATATATGTGATACAGCTCTTGAAATGAAATGTGTGCAAAGAGAAACAAGATGTCATAATATTCCTCGCAGTTTTCTCACACATCACTAACTTTCCTGGACACCTAGCCCACAAATTGCGGACAACTGGGTATGATGATGTTTCTTTATATCATTTTACACCATAAAACAAACACAAAAAGCCAAAATTTTGACAAACAGTAGCCGTTTGTATCAGAATCTAGCCAAGTGATTGCTTGCTACTAAAGCCGAAAGCCTATTTTAGCTTTTTTTCCTTTTTGTAGAAAGAGAGTGGCCTCCACAATAATGGGAAATCATGGTTCATTAATGCTCCCGTGGCTTCTCTCAAGTAGCAAGCAAATATATCCAACTTCTGAGCATGGCTTAGACTGGTATTTAGAATTGTCTTTCTTGGTCAACAGACTTGAGTCACATGGCTCTGGTTGAAATTGAGTCTGAGACAGACTGCTATAGCATACAGCTTCTGCCCCACCTCATTAAACATAAGCAACAGAGGCTTTCCTGAACAGTCGTGTGTTCGATGCCTTGTGTACCAAAACAAATATCAGGTCTGCAAGTTGTTAACAATTGATGGTGGTGGCTATAATGTTTTGCCCGGGATTTTTGGGTTTAGTAGTTGCATTTCATTATAAGAGGATAACCCTTTGGTCTTCATATTTTACGATGTTATTTGTTTATCTGCACCTTGATGCTATCATTTATTAGCTTTCTAATTGTGAATTAGTCATATAAATGTGTAACAACAAATGCGATTATGTAGCAAAAACAAAATGATTGAACTGAGAGTGTAAAATTTATAGGAAGAAAAGGAGTTTGAACCCAAATTTTTAAGTGAAATTTTATATGCTTACCTTATCGAACTAAATGCTTATGTACATCACTGTCATCATTGTTAATTAAAATTGTGTTAAAATTTTGATCCAAGGACAAAGTTGTATTATTAAGAAGTTGACGCCCAAAAAAAAAAAAGAAGAGAAATTATTAAATTCAGTTCATAAAAAGTTGGATAAGTCCTTTGATTGCTTCACCGTCTCAAGTTCTCAACCACTTTAGCATATAATTTGAGATGACATTAATCCGTTTACGTGATGAAAGCTATTAAGATTATTTATGTAAATCGCTCACCTTTCTTATGGTTTTTATCCGGAGCAATAGGAGAGGAAGAGTGTAATTTTTTTTTTTTACAAATATATTGTAGTTGTTTTAATTTTAATATAAAAAATTATAAATATTAAAATTTGAATGTTAAATCCGTTAAATATTATTCAAGAATGGATGAATAAATTAAAAGGGTCAAGCATCTGGTTCAACGAAGTGCTTAATCTAATTAAATTACCAGCCCTAAAATTCCCACCAAAGTAGATAGAGATGATTCTTGACCCACACCTTAAAGCATCCATCACCTTTAACTCTCAACCAACAAATCTCTAAAGTGTTTATATGCTTCAACAATCAACAGAACTGAATTAAAAAAATAAAATCTTAATTGCTAATAAAAATTAAGTTTTGATTATTAAAATTAAGAATTCAATATTTTATTATTCATCCTACTTTGAGCACTCATTTCTTTAGAAAAAAAAAAAAAAGATTAGAAATTGGAGGTTTGGTGCGTCCGTTCGGCTAACCCCTTAAACAAGGTTCTAAGGTTGAGGCAGGAAGGGGTTGGTTTGAATTTTCTTCCCTTTTTCTCATTTTGCTATACATTTTAATGCGTAAATTCTATTACACTCATGTGATGAAAATAATAGTAGCAGCATTTCCCTATACTAAAGCCCGTTACCTCTTCAATTCTAATTATGTTCATTGATTTGCGAAAATACTGTAAAACGTAGGACGTCTTTCTGCAGTTTAAGCGATGAAAGTGAGAGATTGCCGATGCATAAGCTCACAGAGAAACAAGCTTTCTATTCTAGAAGACAATTGGTGCTTTTCTGTTTCCATTCAGAAGCTTACCACTCCTCTTCTCCAAAAACTAAAAACACTAAAGCCTCTCTCTCTGAAAATGAATCAAAGTTGGCAAAATTGATGTTGTTACTATTGAGAGATTCTCACATTCAGAATAAAAAATCATACCAAGCACCTGTCCCCTCAACCTCGTGCTCTTTTTAACAGCTCCAAAAGCCAGAGACAGCTTTGCTTTTCACCCAACCGATTCATCACATCACCATCACTTTGCCAATTAGTTTCTTCTAAAAATATATATAAAGAAAGAACCCATCGTCAGGCTCACTGGTCCCACATCTTCTTCTTTACCTCTATTCGTTTTGGAACATACAGACAAGAGAATGATAGTAAGACCATTAAGCAATTCCCTTCCCCCAGCTCTATCCACTGTTCTACCAATGTTTCTTTAGCAAAAAAAAAAACAAAAACCCCTTTGCAATTTCCAGGGTAACAAAAAAAAAAAAAGAAAGAGAAGTCTGGGTCATTCATGGTCATGAATCAAGATTGTCAAGTTGTCAACCACCTAGTAATGATAATCATTCTTTGCAATCTCAGAAGCGACAACTCTAAAATGAATCACTGAAACTTGCTTCTTTTACCATGTCAAAGATCAAACAAAACTAACCAAAAATTGAAAAAAGAAGAAGCCGAGAAGAGAAGAACTATTGCCTTTCACAATTTCTACATAATCAGAGATGGGAGATGATTTGAACCTTACTGACATTGAAAAGAAGAAGAAGCAAAAGCAAGAACTAGAATAAGATATATATATATATATATTAAAAGATATCAAGAATTTCCAAGATGAAGCCATTGCAAAGAGGGCAGTTACCTCGCTGAACCCAAAGCTCCCTTGAACAAAGCCGACAAAACGTATGGCCGCAGGGAATAAACGCTGAACCTTTGTGCCTAACCATGCAGACGCAACACGTGTACTCGATCCCACTGCTCGCTTCCACTATTTCTTCTTCTACCTCCTCCACCTCCTCCTCCGCCTCTGCCTCGTATTCCCCATCGTCGTCTCCCATCGTGTATCTTGATCCGGTCAGCCCCATTTGTCGGTCTGTTTCTTCTAATAAATCCATCAATGACATCCTCACCGGCTCCTCAGCCGCAACCGTTGGCGGAGCATTGTTCTCTGCCGCTGCAGCTTGTTCAACTTCGGCCGCGGCGGCTGCAGCTGCAGCAGCCGCTTCCGCTGCTTCCTGTGCCGCAACTGCTTCTCTCGCAGACAATGCCCTCTCCTCCGCCAATGCCGCTCCTAGTTGGCGCGTTTCATCACGCGCCACAGGAGAATCGTCTTCGTCGCTGCTGTCAACGTCATTTCTGGCAGTGTTAGAGGAAGGAATTCGAGTCGAACGAAGACGGGTATTTTGTGGCCTAAAGCTTCTCGAGGGTGGAGCATCGCTAGGCATGCTGACATCAGCAGAATCATCGTGATCGGTCCGAACCTGATTGTTCCCGAACAGAACCGAACCCCTCCCCGCCAATTCCAACCGAGAGTTCACAACTGGTGGGTCAGAAACAGGGGCACGTTCAACTCCATCCCCAACGCGAGTCGAGTCAGACGAGTTAGAACGAAAAGAACCGCGCCCCGAGAATTGTGATCTGTTACTATGAACATTAACATCCGAAGCCGGGATAGGAACCGAGGAGGTCCAAGCAGAGCCCGCTCGCTTGAGGCGGAGCTTCTTCCGAAACGTTTTCCAAGTCTTCTTGTCTTTGTTGGACCCATCGTCTCGTATAATCTCCAGAAGCGTACGGTTCTGAGCCGCCGGTTGTTCAGTCCGCTTAGCATTGCCTAAAACCGCATCGAGAGTCAAACCGGCCAGAGAATTCCGGCCGTTATCAACCACTGACATTTGCTCAAAAAGCGTAAGCCTCCGGTTACCACTTTCCATTGCATTACAGTTACACAAGAAAAAAATTTCACTCGTTTAAGACTATTAATATAAAATAAAATTTATTGGGAAAGTGAAGGGAAGAGAGAAAGAGAGTTCTTAGATTTCTTGGAAATGAAAGACCATAGAAAAAATGGGAGAGTTTGCTTGGTTTAAAACTTGTACAATAAAAATATCCAATTGGAACAAGGAAATTAAAATGCAAAAAATGTAATTAATAGTTGAAATGATGATTATAACAGATTTAAATAATAAATAAATGAATAAACATCGGATACCTTGAGATTGGCGTGCCAGTTTGTTGGGTTGTACAGAAACAACTGTGGTGAAAATATTTTTTCACAGCTTTCAATTATTCACCTGTAAAAAGAAAACAAAAGTACAACTAATATTTATTTTCATAATATGAGACAACAATCATATTTTCCCAGCTTTTCTTTTTATATTTCTAAATAAATAATTTTATCATTAAAAAAGAAGAATTTTATTATTATTAAATAAAGTGATAAAATAAAAAGATAAGATGAGGTACGCACCATAAAGGATTTCCTTTCTCTAAACAAATTATCTTTCTCTTTCTCTTTTTCCTTTTTCCTTTTTCCTTTTTCTTTTTCTTTACTTTTTTTTTTTTTTAAGTTTATATGTTTTGTGTTTTGTTTCTTCAATCAAGGAGTTTGGAGGGGAAAAGGAAGAAAGAGGAGAGAGCTTGGACAATTGAGCGAGTCCTATGCGGAACATGAGTGGTTTTTTTATTTAATTTCCCGGTTCTCCAAAATTAAAGGAAACTAGAAGTTTACTATTAAAAAAATATAAAATTTAAATTTTGATAATCTCGAATATAAAAAAAAATAGATAACGCTAGTGGTAGTGTTTTAGAATATATCTAAAAATTAATAATAAAATTAAAAATTTTTACTTTGATGTATAAAATAATAATTTTTTAATCATTATTTAATGAAATTAAGAAATATTTATATGAAACGGTTGATAGAGTATTACTTTTTTAAATTGAATAATCACAATTCAACTTTTAATATTTTCAAATATCAATGAGATTAAAGTATATATGATTCAAGTAAATAAAATTATCAATAAAATAAATTAGAGACTTGAACTCAAATTTAATATTGTATAATTCAACTATATCCTTAAACAAGAGTGTTTTTTTCTTTTATTTTTGTTTATCAATAATTCTTAATTATTCAAATCATTATTTTTTTAATTAATTATATTTAAGACGAAATTTTTAAAAAATATATATGTAATAATTGAAGAATCATTAATGTTGTATATAAATTTTCTTATAAATGCTGAGTTGGTTGTTGTTGCTACAGAATGTGCAATCTTTCTGGGACAAAACCACGGAATTATTGGCGGCCGCAAATACAAAATTCAATTCGGCAAATGATTCAAAGTGAACCGTTAGGTGGCTAGCTGCCAAAATCTAAAACCCATTGGTGTTGACCAACTTTACCATATAATATTACATTATTGGCATTCAACCATTTCATAACGTAACTTGCCTTCAACTAGATAAATTTATTCAGTTATTTTAAAACCGATTTTTTATGCAACGGATGATTATTGTTGGATTATTTTATCTTTTGAAAAAAAAAATTACCTAGAATGATAATCATTGTTTATAAAATCACACTCTAATTTTTTATTTTTTAATTCTTAATTTATCTTTAAATTTTTTACTAAAAAAAATTATTACGTTTCTAAATTCTTTTAAAATACATGTATAATTATGAAAAAAAATGTGTATGCTAATATACCTAAAAATTAGAGATGTAATCGAGTCGAGTCGAGCTGATACAGTCTGAAGTCGAACTCGAGTTCGACTCACAATTCGCGACTCGATATTCGGCTCGAACTCGATTGAGTTTTATTTTTCAAGCTCGAACTTGATTCGTTATCGAATTCGAGTTACTCGAGCTCACTCGATTAAGTCGATTAATATGTAAAAATAAGTCGATTTATACTCGATAAGAGTTCGATTATTTATGTTTGAGCTCAAACTCAAATTCAAAATAATTTATTAATTAAAATAATAAAAATATATTTAAATATAAAAACTCGATTAAGTTCGTAAGTTACTCGAGTCGGATATAATAATACTCGAATTCGACTTGATCGATAAGTCGAATTATTATAGTTCGAACTCGACTTGATAATAATCAAATCGAATTCGAGTTTTTTTCGAATCGAACTCGAGTAGCTTATGAGTACTAATATATCATTTATACCTATACTATAAACTAAAAGGAAATGTTTATATAGATGAGAATGATTAAGCATAAGTTGTGACTTGACGCGTATGTTATCTCTTCTTTATAGTTATCTAATATTGATGAGCTCACATGTATCACCATTATTATTCCAGAGCTTAACGGACCACCCATATTCTTAATGTTCTTTTGTTTCTATATGATTTGAAGGAATCGAATTAGACTTCACGGCAAGCTTATGAGTTTTAATCTCCAACTTGCAAAATTTTTTTATTATATGTCTTGGTTCATCGATATTTTTATTTTAAAATATTATTTTTAATTTATTTACTATAGCTATTTTATTATATAAAATATATAAAATAATATAAAATTAATAAAATTAATTCAATTTAATTTGAACAGAATATATTTTCATAATCAAAACTGAAATAAAATTGGATATAAGAAAATCTAAACTTAACATTAAGATTCAAAATTCGTATCAATTTTTAGTTTTTTATTTATTTATTTCTCATTCTTAAATTAATCTCTCAGCTCAAAAAATTAAATTTAATTCTGTCATTCTTAAATCAAATAAAAAAAGAAGTTAATAAAAATGGGTATTTATCTAGAATTAGCTTGTTTTGTGTATTTTGGCCTCCAATACTCCAATGTTATCTTTTTCTCGAGTCATTGTTATTTTGCCTTGTCTTTTTTATTTAAAAATAAAAAATTTGACTCTCCATTTCAAAAAAGAAAAAAGACATGCTTGAAAGAGATCTCCATGTGCTTGGTTGCCAGTCCATATCAGCCAGTCTTTTTCTGAACAAGATTAGGACGATTTTGTTTGGTTTTTTTTTAAGAGATATTCAAAATTAATTTTCTGAACAATATATACATATGCCCACTATAATGTTTGGTTTTTTTTTTTTTTTTTTATTTGTGTTACATTTAGACTAATTTATAGAATTAAAATTATATGGGTTAAAACTGAAAAAAAAAAAAAAACAAATTCTAAGTAATTTCAATCCAAACAATTGTTTTAGTGTTTTATTTATCTACACTTTATTGTAGACTATATTATATCAAATATAAGGATGTAGATAATATATTAATATTCGTAAATTATTCGAGTTCGATTCAAATAAAATTTAAATTCGATCAGTTATTATTTAATTGAGCTTGAACTCGAATAATTTTATTTATCGATCAAGTTAAGTTTGAATATTTTATATCCGGCTCGAATAGCTTACTAATTTAAACTAAATTTTTTAAAATTATTTTTTATTATTTTAATTAATAAAATATATCGAATTCAAACTCGAGTTCGAATACAAATAATTGAGTTTTTATTTGATATAAGAATCGAACTTATTTTTATATATTAGTCGAGTTTAATCAAATAAATTTGAATAGTTCGATTTTTATCTTTAGTCAAATTTAAGTTAAAAAAATAAAATTCGATATAATTCAAATCTCAAATTTTGAGTTAAATTCAAATTTAATATTATATCGGTTCAAATTCGATCGATTACAATTATAATCAAATCCCCTGTATGATTGAAAGAAAAAAATAAGTACAAAAATTTTTAAAAATGAAAAAAAGGTAAAGTAAAAATAAGTTATGTAATTTAAAAAATATTGGATAGTTCTTTTAGTTGAATGTATGAATAATTTTTAAAAACTAAATAATTTTAAAATTTAAAATTTCATTGTAAATAACAATTATTTATTTATTTTATATGGGTTGTTTTTGTTTAGTTTAATACAAAAATACTAAAGATTAATAAAAACATATTCTTAATTTTTTTTAAATGTAACCTAGATGAATTTAAGTTGTATCATTTATAAAATAAAAGCGAATTTGAAGAAATTTTGAAGATTGAATTGTCGAATTAGGTTAAACTTTAAAAAAATACATAAATTAATATCATATCGAAATTAAATCAGATCTGTGGATATTTCTATTTACATATCATAAAAACGAAATTTTAAATACTTTTGGTAGGTCATATATAATTTTTTTGGTAATTTGCAGGCTAATGTATTTGGGCGTTTTTAGCTGTCCAATATAACAAAAGTATTATTTCTCTTTTTCTTATTTGGTAATGCCGAAAGGCACGTATTAATCTTTATAATTTGTTTAAAAAATATTTATGACAAATGCTATTTTATCATTTTGATGAATAGAGGTTTATTTATATTAGTATAAAATTAACTTAATTTTATATAATTTTATATTTTATATTTGATTTATATTTTACTAATAAAATCATTAAATTTTATATTTTATTCACTTAAATCATATATGTTAAATTTTAATTTTCTTTTAACATGTCTAATTATTTGTTTGACAATAACAAAATTTAAATTGTTAATATATATTAAAAAGTTATTGTTTTTTATTGAAATGATACAAATTCATAGACTTAAAATTTTGTTTATAATGAATACAAGCAAATTATTAAATTTAACGATGGATTCAAAAAAATATTAATAATATATAAAATTATTAAAAATAAAAAATAAAAAAATTTAAGAAATTATTTTTTTTTTGAAAAAAAAAATCTAGTAACTAATAAGTTGGCATTCGATATAAGAGAAGAAAGGTACATTCTATACAATTTAATTGATTGCAATCACTTTACAGCATTTGGTTAATAATATTATTGGCAATAAAAGTTTTGCAATGATAATCATTTTGCCGGTACACATCGTAACCATATTACAACTACAAACCTATGCAAAGTTACTTTGTTATTATTTGGTGAAGTCTTATATATAATATATCTAAAATATTCTTCTAACTCGGATCCTTAAAAGAAATGAAAACTTTTCTTCTTTTTTCCCGATTAAAGTTAAGAGATAACAACGGAAAGAGATGGGATGAGTTATTGCTTGTATCAAATTTGACTTTTTTTATTTTTAAAATATTTTAATCCTATGATTTTTTTATTTTTTATATTTAAATTTAATTTAATATTATGTAAAATTATATAAAATTTGATTTAAATTTAATAAAAAAAATATATAATAAAAATTAAATAATTAATTAAAAAATAATCATATATATATACATCAAATCAAATCAAGATAAAAAATACTTAAAATCCGATTTTAATTTTACTTTACAATTATCTAAACCAAAAACCAACTCTAAAAAACTGAATCAAATTAAAATTCATGGAATAGAATTCATCTATCATCTCTAACCATACCCCGAAATCTAAGTACTCCATTGAAGTCGCATCGCGCCGCCTCCACTCCTCATTAAAGCCCCATAATTGCTATGGCCTTCGCATATTTTGTCGTATATCAGCCACTTATGTACTAATCTTCAATTTTTTTTAATGTTCTATTATATAATGCTGGTGTCGGTCTTGAATGCATGCTGCTTTACTTGGTGGCTTTATTGCCTTGCTGTTATAGGAAATTAATTGCTTTTAAACTCTGTACGAATCATGTGATACAAGTAAAAAGGTCAGGAACTAGATGGATTATAAAAAAAAAAAAATTATTATTTTATTATTTTAAATAAATAATAACGTAGACACACTATTATGAAATTATCGTTTAAATTAAATATTATAATATAATTATTTTGATGCATAAAAGTAATTTAAAAAATTTGCACTACATTTTCGATAAAATGCTAATTTACCAAACACTATTATATTACATTCTTTGATTTTAATAAGCATTTTATCATTATACAAAACGCTCTTGCAATGTTATTTTTTGCACATTTGTAAGATTAATTTTTGTTTGTTTTTCGTTTTCGAGAAATCTGGATCAAAACAAATTTTTTGCCACATCTGGATCCAAACTTTAGTCAAGATCAAATAATAATAAGTCTAAGCAAGAGAGGAGTCGATGAAAATAGGCCCAATACAAAATGGCCCACATCCAAAATTCAGTAATATATAATATAAAAAAAAGGCGGTTTAGGAAAAGTATCCTTGAAATCGGACGGTGAGGACGAGATTACTCACACACGTGGGAATCAAAATTTCTACAAATCGAAGGGCTGGAAATTGGCATCCAGCTAATTAATCACAACAATAATATCAACTAGTATTAAATTTTTTTGTTTATTCCGATTGGTGGTTTGTCTCGTCTTTCACATCTCCATTGGCTCACAGCACATCTCTTTCTTTCTTTTTCTAGTCCTTTCGCATCTTTCGCAAAGTGTACTCCTTTCTTCTTCACAGAAAAATTCAATTTCCTTATTCGTTCCTCTTTTGCCTCAATCGAGGTAATTTTTCCCTTATCTTTCTTTCGATCAGTTCATTTCTTTAACCCCAATTTTGTTGTTTTAATTGTTTAATTGATTTATCTATCGCTTGAATTTTTCAGGGCTTAACCTTTGCTGATCCTTGTTTGGTTTCCGAGAATCAACCATGACTCATATCCTTCTAATTTTCTTGACTATTGAAAAGTTCGTGATTTTTTGGGATTAATTGAGAATAAAATAATTGGGTATTTCTATTTTTGTTGATTCTTTAACAAAAGCTAACGCGGTAACCAGAGAGACCGAGATCGCGAAAGGGCTCAAGCCAGATCTACCAACAAAGGCAACAGTGCCAAGGACGATGGTTTAACCCCTGAACAACGCCGTGAAAGGTTTCCTTTGTTTCTATTTTTTAAAAAATTCATAATTTTGTAAAATTCAGTCTAATTTTGCTTTTTTTTTTTTTGTTGTTGTTCTTCTGATTTTGGTAATTGTGTCCTTTTGAATGGGTAGAGATGCAAAGGCCTTGCAAGAAAAGGCGGCAAAGAAGGCGGCACAGGCGGCGGCTGGAGGAAACACTGCGGGCGGTGGTGGTGGAAGTAAAAACAAGAAATAATGATGTAATAATGGTGAGATGATTTAGCGTGGAGGGTAAAGATAGTGTTATCAATTATTATGTTGATTGGGGAATCAGATCTTTGGGTTTCTTGTTTGTTTTCTGAGTCTTTGCCTATGTCGTTTTAAAGTTAAAAAACTATTGAGGTGCTTGCTTAATTGGCATTGATGTTGACTCTTAAATGTTCTATCTGATTTGGAATGGAATTGATTTCCTATGTAGCATTATACAATTCATGTTTAATTTTTTTTTAACTGTAATTATCGATTCCCCGTTAATCAAACCCCTTTCTGTTTTGATCATCTTGTTGGTTTTACTGTTTTCCCTTTATTTGCATAGTGCTGACTGCTGATATGTAATTCTTTTGGGATGGTTGGGGCATTGAGGCTGAATTTTACTGTTAAAGTTGTTTGTATATTACTTTAAAATAGCTACTTATGGAGAAATTATGGATAAATGCTTTGTAATTTTCACAGGATTATGATCAATAAACTGTTTTTGATGACAGTGAACTGATTAGTTTTGTTTTGGAGAGTAGAACTTCTGTATTTGGATACATTTTCTCTTCTCCTTGAAACAGATTGATCCTTTATACAATTTCTATTTTTCTAGTAGTTGGAAATCAAATTCAAGTGTTAAAATCTAGTTTACTACATATGCTGGCTTTAGCGTGCTTGCTAGGTCACATAATTGAAACATATCTCCATGTGCTTTATCTCCTATTCGGTTTGACTCTACTTTCTCAATTTGTTGTTGTGGTCATGACGGCCTGGCTGCATATCAAGTATCATTGTGTCATCTTGTTCAAGAATTAGCTAAGTTTGAGCATTGGTCATAAACTTTGAGATTGATGAGAATTACATATCTGTGTAACCAGTGTCCATCTGTGGTCTATTCGGTAGTTTTATTGACTCCTGTGTAGTTCTGAAATGGTTGCATCCGGTAATTGAGAATCGATAACCAGGACAGATTTTGCTTCCCAAGCATATACTGCTCTTGGTTTTCATCATCTGGTTTTACTATTTTGATATATCTGCAAATATTTCCTATTTAGAGCTGTATGATTCTGTCATCGCTCTTCTTGTGTTTGTGGTTACTGTGTTATAAACATGTCATCCTGACCAATACAATCTATGTTTTTATAAAAACTCGCTATTGGTTAATGAAACACTCGACTGTCTAATCATGCAGTTGCATGTGCTTGTCCGAGCTTTTTGTGTGTTTCTACTTCACCCAAGTCCCTTCGTCTAGGGGTTGTGATCATGTCCTTGTTGCCTTTTGCCAAGTTGGCAGTCCCTTAATTTTATCATGATGCGCAAAAAATTAGAGGTTGGTGAAGGTCAAGGTTAGCTACTCTTATAGCGTCTAGATTTCCTTAAACAGTCTTCTGTGTCACCTTTGTCTGTCATTTGGATTCATTTTGCTTTGCTTGTGGCGTTCATTTCTGGTATACTGTGACACGGTTTTTAATCTTTTGCGTTATTGGTGTACTGGGACATAGTGAACCTGTCTTGTTCTGTCTGCAATGTATCACCGTATTAATATTTTCGACAGATTCCACCGGTAGTCAATCAGGATAATGCTGTGAAAAGTTACCGGTCAAACTGCCAATTATGACACCCATCAGCTACAGGAAAAGTAATCCTCGGTCAGAGTTTAACTTCTTGTTGTATGGGCATGGCATTTACAAGCATTTAAATTTCTTCAATTTCAACAACAATTAAAAATTTTTTTTTATATAAAACGATATGAAAATTTGAATTTTAAATTTGTAAGACGTCATAACTTAAAATTTTTTGCATAAATTAATTAAATTAAATTTAAAAATATCAATCTATAACAATATATTAAAATTATTTTCAAATGTGAGATTCCTCAAATCTAAAGATATTTAAGATGAAACATAAAAACTGATTAGATGGTTAATTAATGTATAAAATAAATTAATTGGAGGTGATCTGAACAACGAACTTTTTGTCTTTGTTTTGGACGCATGTCAATCAAAATTTTTTGGTTTTTTTTTTTCTAATTTGGTATTTTATTTTTATTTTTTTGTTTTCGTTTTCATTTTAGTTTATTTTTTATTTTTTATTTATTGCTTTTCTTATTTGTTTGTTTATTTTAATTTATATACATATTAAAAATTTTATATAAACAATATGTTTTAATCATTTGACAACATAAAAAAATCTAAAAATATGTGTTAGATAAAAAAATTTGTAAAATTTTTAATAATTATATTTATTTATTTGTATTATGTAAATTTAAAAATAGAAATAAATGAAAAATTTTTCAGTGATGAAATTAAAAGAAAATTTCAAGCGGTGCTTGAAATTCCTAGATGATGAATTTTCTTAGAACCTTTCCAAAAGTGTTTGAAAGATTTTGAAAGAATTTCAATAAATCTATTTTATTTTTATGTTAATAAAATATTTAGTAAAATAAAAATAAACATTTTTGACCAAATTTAAAATTAATTGGATGACAGAATATTTGCGGGAAAATAAATAGATTTATTGAATACTTTTGAATTTAGAAAATTTTCTCGAAATTTATCCAAATATTGTAGAAAATCTAAAAACTTTCTAATATTGTAAATAATATGATTTAATTAAAAATAAAAGAACATTTAGATAATTTTTTTAAAGATAATATAAGATTAATTGGTATATTCTTTGGATGGACATTATAAGGATGTTAATATCTTATCTACATATAGATTAATCAATAATATATAATAAAAGTTGATCCCAAGTGGAGATTACTCTAAATTAAAGGGTAGCTTACAATATAGCTATAAAATTACGTTTCATTGGTTGATAAAAAAGTTTAATAAGTTATTGGGTATGGCATGTCATAGTGTGTTGGATTTTAATTGGATTGAAATATGATGAGTTAAATCCAATGTTAGAATGTAATTATTCATAATAAATACATAAAATATAATAATAATGATAAATATAAACACAAAATGATATAAAAATAAAAAAATAAAAACTAAGTTACTTTTCTTTTGCTTTTTTTTAAAAAAATGTTTTTATAAAAAAATTTATAATCTACAAAAAGTAAAAAAAAATCATACATTTTCATTAAATAATTAATAAAAAATACAACACTTGTAACATAATATGAAAAAATAATAAAAAATAAAATCATAATATATAAAATAATATATAAATTTTTAATTTTAATATTTTTATATTAAAATAATTAGTTTGTGGGGACTAATTCTCTATATATATATATATATGTATGTATTAATTATATGTTAACATTCGGTTTCAACTGAGTGCATGGGTGAATTGTGCCCAAGAGGGCGATGGCTCAAGATCAAACACCATCTGTAAATTAGGCCTTTTAATAAGTTTTAATTAGCCCAGCCTATTACTATTAGTCCAAAAAACCCAAATACCTGGTTTAAGGAGCCCGTAGAAACTCCAACTTAAATATCTGGTCCTCAAACATTCAGAAAAGAAATCTGGATGGCGACACTCTCAAGTCACCGCTATGCATTTCCTCCTCCTGTCAATCGGCTAACGGCGCCTAACCTTAAGCCCATCCGGGTTTCGACCGTATCCGCCTCCAAATCCGAAACATCTGCTTCAAACAAAAATGCAGAAGAGGAAACGAGAAGCTTAACAGTGACTGAGAGAAGAAGAGAAAACAGAGGGCTCGTAAATGCAGATGAGCTGAAGCAGAGAGAGGCAAGGGAGAGGCGAGAGGAGGTGAACAGGAAGATAGCTTCAAGGAAGGCTATTTCTGTCATTCTGCGGAGAGAGGCCACCAAAGCTTTGATTGAAAAGAAGAGAGGACCCAACAATTCCAAGAAGTTGCTTCCTAGGACTGTGCTTGAAGCCCTTCATGAGAGAATCACTGCTTTGCGTTGGGAGTCTGCTCTCAAGGTTTTTTTTTTTTTTTTTTCTGTTTTGCTTTTATTTTTATTTGATTAAGATTTCGAGTTTTCATCTTGGTCTTCATTTCTGGAGATATGATTTTTTTGGTGGGTACGTTTTGCTGATGGGAAATTCTGAATATTGTGTTTTAGCTTTTGGTCTTTTTTTTTTTTATTGAGTGACAGAATGTATTTGATCTTTTGCCTTTCAAAAGAAAGAAAGAAAGAAAGAAAGTGTAAATAAAAGATAAAAAATAAAAAAAATTATTTTGATTGCAAAATACATGTATTTTTTTTCCCTTTTATAGTACATAAAAATTATATTCATTTTTAATCGAGTTACAAAGTACTTTAAGTGCCTGCAAATAATTTACGGATGGGAATCATGCTCTATATCCAATTAAATTTTGATTTGGCTCAGTCATCATTGTAAGTTCTATATGTCAAGAAAAAGAAGGGCACCTAAGTATTTAAAAAAATATTTTGTAGTCTGGGATTCAATTTAATTTTGGAATTATTTTCAACTTTGAGCTCTTGCTTTTCCATATATGGTTGTCAGTGTTCTCTAATCTCTATTCCTTTTCATTGTTATCTTTAGAAACAATTTTAGCTTTCTGGAGCGCATACTCAAATAATACCAGTGTCATCTCAAGGTTTTGTATCTCTATTTTTTCAGGTTTTTGAGCTACTACGGGAGCAGCTTTGGTACAGACCCAACGCTGCTGTATACGTCAAGCTTATTGTCATGCTTGGGAAATGTAAGCAGCCTGAAAAAGCACATGATCTCTTTCAGGCTATGATTGATGAAGGTTGTGTTATGAACCATGAAGTCTACACTGCCCTCTTGTCTGCCTACAGTAGGAGTGCTCTTTTTGATAAAGCATTTTCCCTTCTGGAGGAGATGAAAGACACTCCTAATTGTCGTCCTGATGTGCAGACTTACTCAATCCTCATTAAATCATGCCTGCAGGTTTTTGCCTTTGACAAAGCACAGGCTCTGCTTTCTGACATGGCAAGTCAGGGAATCAGACCCAACACGGTTACATACAACACCCTTATTGATGCCTACGGCAAAGCAAAAATGTATCTTGTTAATCCCTCACAATCATTTTAGGAATGCTCCATCTGGTTGCCATGATTATATGCAATAGAGTAGTGTAAATCAAAACTTTTTGATGATACACGGATCTGCACAATAAAGAAAATAGGCTTAGAATTTGTGACTAGATGGAGCGATTGAAGTTCACTTACAGGGAAGTAACTCATTATTTTCATTTCCTGGAAGGTTTCAAGAGATGGAAATGACACTCGTGGAGATGCTTCGGGAGAAGGTTTGTCAACCGGACGTTTGGACGATGAACTCCACAATAAGAGCCTTTGGTAGCAGTGAGCAAATTGAAACAATGGAGAAGTGCTACGAGAAGTTTCAGAGTGCTGGTATCCGGCCCAACATTAAGACCTTCAACATTCTGCTAGATTCATATGGGAAAACTGGAAACTATGAAAAGATGAGTGCTGTGATGGAATATATGCAAAAATACCATTACTCGTGGACAATTGTTACCTACAACGTGGTGATAGATGCCTTTGGAAAGGCTGGTGATTTAAAACAGATGGAGTATTTGTTTAGGCTAATGCGGTCAGAGAGAATCAAGCCTAGTTGCGTCACCCTTTGCTCTCTGGTAAAGGCTTATGGTCAAGCAGGAAAAGCTGAAAAAATTGCCGGTGTGTTGCGGTTCATTGAGAATTCGGATGTAACATTGGACATTGTGTTTTTTAATTGTCTGGTGGATGCTTATGGTAGGATGGGGTGCTTTGCAGAGATGAAGGGGGTGCTTGAAATGATGAAGCAAAAAGGATATAAGCCTGATAAGATTACATATAGAACCATGATTAAGGCTTACTCGATCGGTGGGATGACCAGCCATGCAAAGGAGCTTCGGGATCTTGTTGAGTCGGCAACAGGTGCTCCTTTGGGGATGCCAAAGCCCGATTTCCAGAAACCAGAATATTACAGGTCACATATCCCTGACCCTAGCCCTGAGATCTAATTTGTATTTTTCGTTTGTATCTTATGTTGTAAATGTATATCAGCAAAATGAGAGAAATGAAATAAAAAAGTTTGCTAACTTGCGTTTATGTTTCTGTTGTAGATACCTTATCGTTACTATCTATCCCTGTTTCTACTTCCAATACTTGAACATGATAATTCGTGTTTTCACGTTGTATCTCGAGTTGTGATTGATATATATAATAATATGAATTATTAAAATACAAATACGTCATGAATTATAAAACGTGTATAAATTTTAAACACAAACATGATACATTTATTATATGTGTTACATGCGATACGATACGATTAATGTATGTATAATAAATTTATTTAAATATGACATAAATAAACGTGAATAATACAGATATATGTGAATAAACATGATTAATACGAATATATACAAAAAAAATTAAAATAATAAATAACTATAATCTATAAATCATTTATAACTTAATAAAGTTAACATATTACTTACATATTAAAAAGAATAAAAAAACTTGGATACCCATATAATATGTATTTAATATATATATATATATATTAAATTTTAATACATATTACATAATTATATTAATTTTTAGTATCAAATTCAAAATGATAAATTATTAAAGATTAAAAAATAAAAAATTATGTATAGAACTAGTATTAATATTTATATTATTAATAAAACAAATAATTTTATAATAATTATTAAAGAACTATCATAATTAAATGTATAAAATAATTTTTATATGGTATTGAAAAATTAATTAAATACCATAATAATTAAAAATTTTAAAATTAAAATAATCTATATATATTTATATTAAATTAAAATAAATATAAAAAAATGTGTCAAATATGTTAAATGTGTACTCGTATGATAAAATTAATTAAACGTATTTTTTGTATCATGTCATATATTAAACGCGTATTTGTATAACATATTTTATTTAAATGTGTTTTTCATATCTTATATATGTTTAGATATGTCAATACGTATAAAACATAAATTGTGTTGTATCGAAATTCATATTGACACAAATAAATATGAAACATATTTTTTAAAAATATATCGTATTTGAAATTATCAGGTTTATCAATACTCACAAAAAGTCTTCAAAGTAATTAAGGTTTTTCTTGATAGAAAATATGAAAAGAGGTGTACATAAAAAATTTGATAATCCAATAACTAAAATTTGTAATCATTTTTAGATTAATAAGGTTTTTATCTTTTATCTTTTTCCGTCCTTTTTATCTATCAAAGCCTAAAGCTTCAGCAACTAACCAAGAAAAGCTGTGCAATCGATAAGAAATTTCATCTCCATCAGTATTCAGCATGGGTAATGATTTGTGTAATAAATAGTTGCTCAATATCATGTGACATGTTTGTTTACCATCTACTGTGAACATAACTAAGAATGAAACACGTCCAAATATAAAGAGTGCTTATACCTTGCTTGTCTGAAAAAGTGAAAAGGCCGTGCAGAATTAGCTTGTATGTTCCTCTAGCTAGAAGGAGAGGATTTGTTCATCTCTCTTGTAAGGTATTATGAAATGTTGATAGTAACTTAGAACACATTTTTTTTTTTTTTTTATAGAATAAATCGTATTTTAAGATAAAAATATTACAACTATTAAAATTTGAATCTTAAATTTATTTGTTTGGTTTTTCGAATCTTAAAATTAGTATATTCTTTTAAATTTGTTTGGAAATTAGATTTTAATATATTCATTGATATTATATGAAAATTTAGGGTAGAAAATCATTTTTTGAACTAAATAGAGTAATAGTCAAATAGACAAACTCTTTTTATGGGCAAGAAAGAAATTAATAGCCGAACGAAAAAGCCCAAAGTGGAGCAAAAACCGGGAAGCCCTTTTAGAGTCGTCGTCCTCCTCAGGTTAAAACCCAAGCCCACTACTCACTGGGAGGAGTCGCATAGTAACCCCGAAAAGCAGCCAAGCCAAACAAAACCTAAACACTGAAAAAAGCCTAAAAAAAAAAAAAACACCAAAAAAACCAAATTTTTTTGGAGAGCGAAAACGAAAAATATTACACAAAGGGCTCTTAATAGAGAGGGACTCGACAACGAGTTCATGGCTTGCATTTGCAGGGAGGTGTCGTATTTTAGGGTTAATTCATGTCGTTTTGATTGAGGTCAAAGACGTTGAGGGAGGGTTCGAAGCTTCAAAACCCTAGGAGAGAGATAGAGAGGTAACGAGAGTGTTAAAAAGAGCGGGAACGTTTCAGGTGTTCTCCGGTTTTTTTCCCCTAGCTCCCAATTGTTCGACTCCCTAACCCAATTTAGGTTTTTTTCGTGCTAAATTTTTGTTTTGGAAAACCTAGAATTTGAGTAATGCTTGCAATTAGGGCACAATTTCCGTGATTCAATGCGTTTAGGGTTTCCGTTTGTTTCTCTTGTGGTATTCTATACGCATTTGGATTGAATGCTTGTGGATTTACGTGGTAAGTGGTCTTCTTATGTGTTTATTTGCATCAATTAGATGTTAAATGCCGGGGAAGCTCATTAGGCTCACGTTGCGTTGTTTAGCTACTGATTTTCGACTTCTAGTGGTTATTTTCCTGGAATTTGAAGAGAATTTCTGGTGCCAAGCTCTTTGCATGCTATCATTTGCTTCTATTTGTTTGCATATATGATATACAGTATGCCTATTGGGTGGCGGTGATAGAATCTTAAATTACTATAATTCAGCATTGCTTTTGGTGTTCCAATTAATGGCGGGCTACGCTGGCCATGCATTTCCTTTATCGAGCTTTTTAACTGTCCAAAACTTAGTGGCAACCTCTCCCCATGCAAGGTTTTTTTTTTTTTTTTTAAATCAATATAAGATGGTGAGATGAGTGAACTTTTATTGGTTTTTGAGATAATTTGGTTATATTCAGTTGCTGTGAAACTACCGTGCAGGAGTGGGAAATTAAGATGTGAGAGATATGCAATCAATGTGTCATTGATGATCTATTTATGTGACTCCTTTTTTCACCTTCTGGCAACTCATTGTGGAAAAGAATAAAAAAAAAAAAAAGTAGGAAACACCTTTATTTGCCAGAAAGTAACTCATTTGGAATAGTATTACTGCTCCTTACTCTAGTTCAAGTCATTCTATGCATGCGTTTTGTTCTTTTCCAGGAAAAAATTTTCTACAGTGATCCTTCTTATGGTAAACAATGTATGCGCACTGCATTCATAATTCTTCTCTTTCATGTATTGTTGTCCATTTGTTGGGAGTTTCTACCCTGTTTTTTGGTGTTGGTTTAATACATATCTGAGCTTCTGGAAAACTTCCTATTTTTTGATTATCTTGAGTGAGTTTGATGATAAGAGTTTGCAATCGAGTTTGTACAATTTTGAGTTGTTACCATCTTGAATCTTTATTGAATGAAGTAAATTATATTAATGTGGCTATGAAGGTGTCTGCATTGCAATGAGGGGAAAATACTTATCATTGTTGTTTGTTGCTTCTTTTCAATTTATTATTTGCCTTAGTTTCTATTTATTCTAGTTGTTATTCTGAGTTTTTCTTTTCCATCTTTTTTCAAACATCTTTTTTAGGTATTCACCAATATCTTCTTTTTGCATCAATGGGAAAGGCCAGCCTGTAGACTTTTAGGTAGGGATGCATGGATGTAACTCAGGATCTGCTCTCTTAGTAAATGCTGAGGTTGATTCCATGGGAGGGGTTGTTGACAGCGGAGTTGGGATTGGTGTCAAAACCTCTCCGCGCAGAGCAGCTATTGAGAAGGCTCAAGCAGAGCTTAGGTGATACTTACATCCGCTTTTGTTCACTCATATCATTTTAACTTTCCAGAATAATGCACTTGTTTCACATCTCTAAGTGCAGGCGACTTATTTTCTTTTATTTTTTTACTCTTGTCTATAACAGGCAGGAGTATGATGTTCGCGAGGAAAGGAGAAGGGAACTAGAGTTTCTTGAGAAAGTAAGCATTTTTATCTTCTCTTGCTATTTTGATTTCTTATAGATTATTATTCACCATAAAACACATTGCTGTCAGGGTGGCAATCCCTTGGATTTCAAATTTGGCAATGCAGCTTCAGTTAGTGTCCAGTCTACTTCTCTCACTGATCAGCAAGCAGAACATTTTGTTACCAGGTATATTCTTTTTACTGTTGTTTGTTACGTAACTATGGTTGTAAATTGTATTGGAGTAACTAGCTGATGCTTCCCTGTCCATTATTATTACAGTGAAGCAAAAGGTAGTTTTTCACTGACTGCCTCACCTCATGGTGATTCTGTAGAGAGTAGTGGTAGACCAGGGGTTCCTGCAGTTTGTGAACCCAATAGTGCTGATAATCTCTTACTTTTTGATGGTGAAAATGAGTTTCCTGAAGGTGAAAGGAAGCCTACGCATCCTCGTAAGAGGAATACTGTTGTTCCATCAGAGCAATCTTCTCAGATGGATGGGACTCAAAATGCCAAGGAATCAGAAGATTCTGCTATTTTTCGCCCATATGCTCGAAGGAACAGGTCCAAAATAAATCGAGATGGGGCTCGATCAAGTTCAACAGATATGGTTCAAGGTCGAGGTGGTCATGGCTCTTCTTTACCTGCTCGTGTAGCATCAAAGGATGTGAAGGCTATGACATCTGAAACAAATAACCAAAAGGACAAGAACATACCCTCTGTTAATACCACAAAACCTGCAACATCAAATGGTGATTTGGCTTCAAAGTTGATAACTTCTGATAATCAGTTGAATATGGAGTTGGATGGTGGGCAGGGTGCTGAAGAAACAACTGACCCATCAAAAGGTGATCTATCTGAAAGCAAGGTTGATGTTACAGTTTCAAAAAGCTTGATAGATGACCTGCCTAATGAATCTGCTCAAGTGGAGGCTAATAAATGTCCAGTTAACTTGTCTTTTGAGGAACCTGATCTTGTCGGAGGGAAGGAGCAGGTGGTTTCAACTGGTCTTCAATGTCCACCTGGTACAGGTGCAACAAAAGCTGAAAATGAAACTAGTTCTAATCAGCTAAATGGGCTTGGTGATGCTAAAAGTGATCAGAAAAACATACCAAATGAAGGGCAAAATAGCAGTGTGGCAATGGGGACGAAGGGATTAGATTCGGTGTCCTCCTGCACTCAAAACGGCTTAAGCTTAGATGTAAATAATGATAATGATGTGTGTATTAATCCTAAAAATGTTGATTCTAATGGAAAGCTCATGGAGCAAACATCAGAAAAAGATGAGTTGGTAAACATAGCTGTTGGTGAATTGGCAAAAGAAAACAATGAGATCAAGGCTGTTGATAATGGTGCTATTTTTCTTGATACTTCTGTGAATCAAAATCACTCTCTGAATGATTCTATTGTCAAAGTCGAGGAAGAAAATAGATCTGTATTTCACAATGAGGCGAGTTGTCCTTTCAACAATGGGGCGCAACAAAGCATTCATGCTTTATCAGAAGCTGATAGGAAAGTTAGTACTGTGCTGGGTGATAATTCTAACTCCAACAAGGAAAATTTTTCTGCTAGTAGGCCTCAAGGTACAATGGATAACAATATTTGTGAGATTGCTGAGACAACTTTGTCTGGAAGGACCTCTACTGCTAATGCTGATACTGAAATTAGTTCAGATAATCATATGAAAGTGGCGGACAAGGCACATGAAGATTCCATCTTGGAAGAGGCACGGATTATAGAGGTGGTTTTATCTTTTTGATGGATATATGCACAGTGATTTCTTAAATTTAGATTTAAGTTTTTTGTCTTTAAAAAACTTAAAAGGTCTGGTATTATGGTAAACAGGCTAAGCAGAATAGGATTGCAGAGCTATCTGTTGGTACCTTTCCTTTGGAGAATCGCCGAAAATCTCAGTGGGACTTTGTCCTTGAGGAAATGGCATGGTTGGCAAATGATTTTGCTCAGGTATTATTTTATTAGAGAATATAAATTAAATTCATCTTATGCATTCTTCTTGTTCTTTTTATTCCTTCTTGTTGAGAGCTTTTTTATATATCAGCTTTACTTAGCTAGTGTACCTGTATATGAAGTTGGCTAGATAACATAATTGACAAAATTTTCATATTAGCTTCCTTTTTTTTTTGTTGTCTTTTATGTACTTATAGGAGCGCCTTTGGAAGATGACTGCTGCAGCTCAAATATGTCGACGTGTTGTTTTTACTTTGCGATTGAAATTCGAAGAACAAAATCAGCATCGGAAACTTAAAAGAGTAGCTTTAACCATTGCTAATGCTGTTATGGACTTTTGGCATTCAGCAGAGGTGCTTCTAAATAGTAAGGTTGCAAGTTTTGGTCCAAAAAACTGTAGCCATGATTTGGTGGTATCACAGGCTAGTGAAGTTCTTAAGAAGACTGCTGAACTTGATATGGTACTGGTATATTATGGGACTTTTATTGGTCTTTACTTTTAATCAGTTTACGCATTTCTTTCTATGTGATGACAGTGATGATTATAATTTTTTATGTTTAATTTTCTTATTTAAGTTTGGTGGTCATTTCTTCTATATTCTTCAAAGTCAATTACTGGTGTTTATGGTTATTCTTGTTGATTATCTGCTTATAAGTTCTGTTCTTCAGTAAATGGTATCTCTAATTTGCTGTGAAAGTAATTTTACTTGATCTGGGAGGAGTTGACTTATTTTAAAAATGTAGAGAAGATGTTACAGAGATCTTAGGTATTTATATGGATTGTAGTCTTCTTTTAATTGTAACCTTTTTGGATCTTAATTGTGATTTCTAGTAAATATGATTTCCATGGTCTGGAGTTGTGGGATTATTTGATGATTGAGTTCATAGGCACTGGATGATTAGTTAAAATTTAATTGAAAATGCATAAAGGCCTTTGAATTCCAGAACTAGAATCCAGAATATCCACTTGAATGTTGGATTTGAGTTATAGCTCTAGAGCTGTTTGGGCTCTTTCTCCTTGCCTTCAGTTCCTTTCTCTTGTGAAAATTGCTGAATACTTCATATTTATGTTCTAGATTGTATCAGATCCTTGAAATATTGTACCTCATGTCTTATCTTTGGGTGCAAAATGTTATGGAGCAGGATATGAATAAGGAGCAGCAGCAGCACCACCCTGGAAATAAGTATGAACTTGCTATTCAGGCATATGCTCTTAGATTTTTGAAGTATAGCAGCTCCCCTGTTCCATCACTTCAAGCTGAAGCACCAGCAACTCCAGACAGGATGTCTGACTCAGGCATGATGGACATTTCTTGGGATGAACACCTAACAGAAGTATGGCTTAATTTTTTCTTAGCTTTTCGGGTTTATTTACACATTATTGTTGGGTTTTGAATATAGAGTTTTGATCTATCTCTTTTAATAGGTTGTATCTGTTTAACCATGCATGCTCAGTTCTGGAGTTCTTATCTTGTTCTGTTTACATTCTTTGCTCAAACTTTTTATGTACTTTATTTTCAGGAAAGTCTCTTCTATGCAGTTCCTTCAGTTGCTATGGAAACCTACCGAAGATCTATTGAATCTTATTTGGTACAGACAGAGGTAAGTGTTGGTCTTTTAATGAGTTTATACATGCCCTTTCTGTTTGATTCCCCTATATTTAACAAGGGAGAGTATTTTATAAAAATCTGAAGAACAGAGTACTGGAATGATGTAATTCGTCTGAAAATACATCAGTGAAGTTATCATGGTGAACATATATACATTTACAATTCTATGCTAATTTGCCTGAGTGCAGCTGTTGGAACTTTTCTGCTAAATCTTGCTTATTATTGAACCTTTTTCAGAAAACTGGGAGTAGCGTGCAAGAGGAGATTGAAACATCTGTTTATGATGCTGGAGCTGGTAATCATGACACCTTTTTTTTTTTATTTTATTTCTTAGTCGTTGAATAGTCTTCTATTCCTTACAACATCTTTTTCAAATTCAGAGTTTGGATATGATGACTTTGTGTATGATGAGGATGAAGGAGAAACAAGTACGTATTATTTGCCTGGAGCCTTTGAAGATAGCAAACCATCAAAATTAAACCAGAAGCGGAAGAACCCAATGAAATTATATCCTGCAATACCATATGAAATGGGTGCTGATTTGCCATATGGAAACTGTTCTCAACAGTCCATGTTGATAGGTAAAAGGCCTGCCAGTAGTCTAAATGTCGGTCCAATTCCAACGAAACGTGTACGTACTGGTTCCAGGCAGAGGGTCTTAAGTCCTTTTAGCAGTGCAGCTGCTGCTGGGGGTTTACAGGCTCCAACAAAAACTGATGCTTCCAGTGGAGATACTAATTCTTTTCAGGATGATCAGAGTACTTTGCATGGAGGATTCCAGATCCAGAAAAGCATGGAGGTTGAATCAGTTGGGGACTTTGAAAGGCAGCTACCATATGACTGTGCAGAAACACCAACAAAACCTAAAAAGAAGAAAAAACCCAAGAACTTCGTACGTAGGAATTCTTCTGTATTAAATGACACGGGTTTGTTTAAGCCCTGGAATGGTATGGGATAGTTTCCTTATTTGCCTTCATAGTTTCTAAAGGTGCCTGAATTGTGTTTTTGGTAGGGTTCTGCATACGATCATGGTTGGCAGCTGGAATCTACAGTTCATAATGAACAGGTGAATTTTGTTATCTTTATCATTCCAAGTTCCTTATCTTGATATTGATTAACTTTTTTCTTTTATTTTGCTTCATTATTTTCTTCCTATTTTAAAAAAATTAGTATACTCATTTTATCGTTAGGAATTTTAAATATTTTCTGCCTGGATGAGTAAATACTTTTTTTAGGTTCATGTGTGTCTTACTCTTGAAAGTGTAATTTTACTGAGCATGAGATTGATTTTTCAAAGGTATTACGGGTTCTTAAGTTGATTTCCGAATATCCTCAGTTGGATTTGTTCAATTTTCTTGATTAAGGAAACTTTTAAAGCTTTAAGGTCATTTTAGTATTTTCAATTTTACATCAGACCAAGTAGTACGCAGACGAAATTGACATCCTGCTTCCCATGATAGATATGAGAGTATCATATCTCATAAGTTTGTTATGCAGCATTGAACTTTATCTGCATGTTCTTTTGTTCTTCTCTTGTGTTTGCCAATTTTTTTTTTTTTCTATGTGCTTCTTTTGCAGAGGGAGTATTCCAAAAAGAGACCGAAGAGTCATCGTTTTGGTTCTAGTGGGACTAGTGGTAAAGCTCTTTTCTTCTCATATTTGATTTAATTGTTGGTTACTTGGTTGGATATATCTATTTTATGTTGTGTTCTTCATCCTTCACGTTGTCAATTGTCTTTTTAATAGTTTTATATGGGCAACATAATTCCAAGAAGCCAAAGATTATGAAGAAACAGTCAGATAACGCTTTTGACATTGCTCCAAGTGGATCTATTCCTTCACCTGTAGGGTCCCAAATGAGTAATATGTCCAACCCTGGCAAAATTATTAGAGTAATTCATAGTCTTGACAGAGGTAGAAAAGCCAAAACACCTAAGGTATTTTTTTCTTCACCTGTTTGTTGAGAGTCTGGTTGATCATTTGCTTCGTACTTGTCTTAGCTCTGGTGTAATTATTAAAACCATGTAAACTTCTTTCAGATGTCTGCTGGTCAGCCTGGTTATGGTAGTCCCTGGTCATTATTTGAAGATCAGGTTAACTCTTGTTATTTTTTTGTGAAATTATTCTTCAATTGCTGTTAGCATTTCAACCAGGTCCTTGAGATGTTACTGTATTTATGCTCAGGCACTTGTTGTCCTTGTACATGACATGGGTCCAAATTGGGAGCTTGTAAGTGATGCCATCAACAGTACCCTTCAATTTAAGGTTAGTGCATGTGCAAAGTGTCCATACAAACATATTCTGTTATGTAGGGTTTCCTTCTAATGTGTTTCAACTAATTCTAAATTACCACTAATGATGTGTCTATTGCTCTAAAAGTCCTACTTGTTCTTTCATTCGTCTATAATTTCTTTCTATATGTACAGCAGCCTTATATTTGTCTTGTCGCCCTCACCTTGCTCCTCCTTCCACTTTTAAACTTTCTCCATTGGGCAATAATCTCATGAACTTTTCAACATGTACAGTGCATATTTCGCAAGCCTAAAGAATGTAAGGAACGCCATAAGATTTTAATGGATAGGAGTGGAGATGGAGCTGACAGTGCTGATGATTCAGGGTCTTCTCAGTCATATCCGTCCACATTACCTGGCATTCCAAAGGTTCTCTCTCTTCCCAAAAGCTAGTAGATTCATATTTTTGTTAATGTATTCATTGGGGGACATTTTTCATGAAGCTAATTTTATCATCTATGATTGGCTTCTACTGCTTTATTTCTTGCAGGGAAGTGCCAGACAGTTGTTTCAATGTTTGCAAGGGCCGGTGGAAGAGGATACTCTTAAGTCTCATTTTGAAAAAATTATACTTATTGGCAAGAAACTGCACTACCGGCGGACTCAGGTACATTTGTGAATTTTTGAGTACATTTATCTAATCTCTAGAGATCTTGGCATGTTTGTAGCTTTAAGCACAAATCGGTCTGGTTTAATCAACTAGTTGAAGGTAGTCTTTTTGGTATCTTCAGTAATTTCAATTTTGCAATTTCTTTTATGAGTTTGATGCAAATTCTGACTATGGACATTTTAAAAAGACTTTTGTGCATTATTAATTTAATTTCTGAAGGTGCATGGAACTTGATTAAAATATACTAGGTATGCCGTACTCCTGCCTTTTTGAAATATTTGAATCTATGCTTCAAGGAAATAGGTTAACTGGCACTATGCAGGATACTATTTGTTATACAAATATGCCACTTGATCAACAGCAGTGTACTGTCATCCTTCTTTTGAAGTAAAGAATTATGTGGATGATGTTTCGCATCTTGTAGTTGGGGTTGTTTGTGCCCCGAGACTGAAATGAAAATACTGAATTTCCAGAAAACTATTTGAAAATTATGAAATGAGCAGACCGGTAGTCCCATTATCCTCTAACTGCAACTTCGTTAAAATGTTTCCATTAACACTTCTCGGATAAGCTGGAAGAGCAATAAAAGAAGTGTTCCATTGGTTGAAGGTGACCTCTTCTCTGCTTCCACTCATAGAATAGAGGCTTTAGAGGCTTGCTCTGAATCCATTGTATCCTTTGCATTTTTTGCTACACTTCGTCTGAGCCATTCATGTAGCGCCTGAGTAGTAGTATAAAACATTATTAAATAGTGATATACTAGTTGAGTTACACAATTAAAGGAGATTTTGGAATTTTAGATTTACTTTGAAAACATTGAATTAGCTGTCTTTGAACTTGAGATGTTGTACCCCACTGTATGATGCTCTTTGTTTAACATCAGATTGTGCTCTTAAAAGAATTTTCAAATTAAATTTCCACCTAAATTTATTGTCCTGTCAGAGAATTTTCACCTTTTGTTTCTCAATTGTGTTATAATTCAGTGGTGTGGCAAAAAGTATGGAGTTGAACAAAACCTACAGTCATAGTACTTGAAAGCATCCTAAATTCTCTTTGTTTCATTCACCTTGATTCTTCGGACTTTCCTGACTTGTCCTTTCTTTCTTCTTGTGTATTGTAAAGCATGATAACCAGGATCCGAAGCAGATAGTGCCAGTCCACAATTCTCATGTTATTGCTCTTTCACAAGTCTGCCCAAATAACCTAAATGGAGGGGTCCTAACGTAAGCTTTTCTGTCCCATTTTAATTAATGTTTTAGCTTGTTAATTCATTCATCTTTATTATTTTTTCGTTGTTCTTGCTATTATATTGTTGCCTTTATCGCAATGCACTGCAATATCATTTTTATTTTTCATCATTTGGATAAAGGCCTCTTGATCTTTGTGATGCCATTGCATCAAGCCAAGACGCACCCCTTGGATATCAAGATTCTCATGCTAGTGGTTTAGCAATATCGAATCAAGGAGCTGTGGGATCAATGCTTCCTGCCTCTGGAGCAAATTCATCTCTGCAGGGATCTTCTGGCATGGTTCTTGGCAGTAATCTATCATCACCGTCTGCCCCACTCAATGCATCTGTGAGGTATTAAGCTAATGTGTAGCTTGCATTCTCTATGTGTGCATACTTTCACATACTAATGTCACAAATTTTGGGTCATATTTGCTCTCAGGGATGGTAGATATGGTGTTCCAAGAACATCTTTGCCTGCTGATGAGCAGCATAGAATGCAACAATATAATAAAATGTTATCTGGCAGGAATATTCAGCAGTCCAATTTGTCTCTCCCTGGGGCTGTTTCTGGATCAGATCGCGGTGTTCGTATGCTATCAGGTGGAAATGGTATGGGCATGATGTGTGGGATAAATAGAAGCATGCCAATGTCAAGGCCAGGCTTCCAAGGAATGGCATCGTCGGCAATGCTAAATTCTGGCAGCATGCTCTCCTCCAATATGGTGGGAATTTCAAACCCTGTAAATATGCACTCTGGACCAGGTTCTGGTAAAGGAAACTCGATGTTGAGGCCTCGGGACACCATGCACATGATGCGTGTAAGTTATTTACTTTTCAAACAGCAGCATGATTTAGTCTATGCTTCAACATACTATTGCGGTTTAGGCTTCTTATTTTATTCCATATAAATCGTTAATTGTTATATACCAATAAATCAGCATGGATATTTCCCCCAATGATTAACGTATATTATTGCTGATGCCAGTTTCAGAATGCGGGGACTTCTTTTTTTTTTGGATAAATCAGATTTGTATTCATTTAAAGCATTAGGCAAGCCTGCTACAAAGTGAACAATCTGCATATTGCAGTATTACAAATTAGAACTAACAATAACATCAACAGCAAAGAAAACAAAACAAAACAAATTGCTAAATAAGCATGTCATCTGCCAATCCCCAATTATGCAGAAGTTTCCTATTTATCCTATCCCCCGCAATACTCCTTAGACCTTGAAGCCTGCATCTAATGACCTTAATTCGATTAATGAGAGCTGAATCAGAATTAGCTCTGCTGCCATGAAGGCTTCTATTTCTCTCATTCCAAACAAAATAAAGATAGGCACTCCACGCTAATCTGAGAATAACTGCAATCAAAGCCTTCCCCTTGAGCTTTCGCTGCACCCATCTAAATTCAGAATGCGGGGACTTCAATCCTACATGTTCTAATCATATGGCTTTTCATTGTTAATTATGGAGAATTCTATTGGAAGTGTAAAGAAATAGATGTTCATCAAATGCTTTGTGATAGTTTATTAATCTTGTAACTTTCAATGACTGAGGATTACTTGCTGCAAAAAATCACATCAAAATTTTCCTTTACCTTAGTTCTTTGGCTAACAAGCAGAAAGAATGAACTGTGGATATCTTAATTATCACTTTCTTTAGATGTAACAACTTTCAATTCTGGAATTTAATATAGGCTGGATAATAGGGTTTTGTAGACCTCAATGCCTTAAAGTTGGATGGCATTGTGGCTGATCGACAAGCAATTTTCATTCTGCAATCAATTGTTGTTATGTGAAACCTTTCTTTAGTATTGATTTTGATTAACTATTATTCTCATCTCTTAAGCTTGAGTATTCCTCTTGGAATAGAAATGTGGTTGATTTGGCATTTGTGTACTTTATTTAAAGTTACATTGAACTTCTAGATAATCAATGACTTTGAACACTATAATTCTTGTGCATTATGGTGATGTACAACGACTTTCAAACTAAGATGACTTTCTTTTTTTCTTTTTTTGTTTGATAGCCTGGCCACAATCCAGAGCATCAAAGGCAATTAATGGTACCTGAGCAGCAAATGCAGGCTCAAGGGAACAGCCAGGCAATTCCTGCTTTCAATGGGTTGAGTTCTGCTTACCCTAATCAATCAACTGCACCACCTGTTCAGTCGTCTCAAGGTCATCCCCAGCAGCAGCAGCAAATGCCTTCACAGCAGTCTCATATGTTGAGCAACTCTCATCATGCTCATCTTCAGGGTTCCAATGGGTCACAGCAGCAAGCATATGGCATGCGCTTTGCTAAAGAATGGCAAATGCAGCAGCAGCAGCAGCAGCAGCAGCAGCGTCTTATGCATCAGCAACAGCCACAGCAACAGTTTGCTGCATCTAGTGCTTTGATGCCACAAGTCCAACCTCAGACCCAACTTCCCATATCTTCTTCTCTCCAGAATAGTTCTCAGATTCAATCTCAAGCTTCTACTCAGCCAGTGTCACTCCCCCCTCTAACACCATCTTCACCAATGACTCCTATGTCATTGCAGCACAAACAGAAACATCATTTGGCCCCTCACGGGCTTGGTAGGAATCCCCAACCTGGTGCTAGTGGGTTGAACAATCAGATAGGCAAGCAACGGCAGCGGCAGCCCCAGCAGCAGCAGCAGTTTCAACAATCTGGCAGGCACCATCCTCAGCAACGGCAACAAACACAGTCTCAACAGCAAGCTAAACTTTTGAAGGGAGCTGGAAGAGGGAACATGCTGGTGCATCAGAACCTTTCTGTTGATCCTGCTCATCTGAATGTCCTTAACATGGCCCCTGGGAACCAAGCTGCTGAGAAAGGAGAGCAAATGATGCACCTGATGCAAGGTCAAGGCTTGTATTCTGGGTCTGGTACGAGCCATGTTCAACCATCTAAATCTCTAGTTTCTTCTGAGTCTTCAAATCATTCCCTGCCACAGCAAAAGCTATTTTCTGGGGCAGCAACCCCTTCTACAAAGCAACTCCAGCAGATGGCTTCCCTTTCTGATAATAGTTCTCAAGGTCAGGTGTCCACAGTGCATTCTGGTCATACACTATCAGCTGTGCATCAATCCATCCTGCCAGCAGCTACGGGTCCAAACCACCAGCATTTGCAGCTACATTCACAGGCACACCAAAAGCAGGTTAATCAAAACCAACCTACCAGTCAAAGGATGCTTCAACAGAATCGACAATTGAATTCTGATCCTCCCAGCAAATCTCAAGCTGAGCCAGCCCAAGCTGACCAACAGCCCATGAACAATACTTCACAGATGGGTACAACCACAACCATGGCAATGTCTCAGGCCGCCATTGATTCACCTAACAGCACTGTATTGGTTGTTTCTCCTTCTGTTGGTTCTCAGTGGAAATCATCAGAGCCAGTGTATGATCCTGGTATCCCAAATACGGCCACTCAAGTGGGACCCATAGGAAGCCTTCCTCTTACAAATTCAGCTGGTCGCGATCCAGTACCTTCTGTCAGCCAAGGGTTAGGGCAGAGACAATTATCAGGTGGCTTACCCCCTCATGGAAATAATGCTGGGGCACAGTGGCTGCAACAGCCACAGATACAACGATCTCCCACACCGCCACCATCTCAACAACATTATCAGCCTCAAGAGCAATTAAAACAAGATCAGCATAATTCACCCCCACAACAGCTGCCATTGCAGCAGCAGTCACAACAGCAAACTCCTCATCTGCAAGCAGTACAGGGCAGCTTTTGTCACAGGCCTTCTAATTCTAAGCTGGAATGAAGCAATCTAGTGGATGGAGCAGTTCCAACAGCAATGGCCCCCGCTAGGATTGGGTTTTCATGCCCTTGTGACAGCAGTGTACAGGTAATAACTATTTACAGATTTAGGCAGGTGTGATATAGTGTTATTATATGATAGGTTGGCGTTACTAGGCAAAATTAATGCATGTAGAATTATGGTACTGTTGTAATATTAGAATGATGATAAATGATACCTCTGTCCCTCTCTGTCTCATTGTTGCTTAATTGGTTTGTTAAAGCTTTTCTCTGACTATTTCCCTCCCAACACATCCTCTCTTGATTGAAGGCCCAAGAAGAACAGCAACAACACACTAAGTCTTATATCTCATATTCTGGGGTTGGCTGTACAAAAAACTAAATAAGAGAATCAAATTAAGTTATAATTTTAATCTTCTTACGCCACTCATTTCTATCAACAACAACCTTTTCATCTAATTCCTTAACCATTGAAAGTCCAAATCTCAAATTATTTATTGATGGTTACTTTTTGTAGCTAGCTGTCTATGGTTGCTTGGCCATGTATACTATTTGGATTGTGCAAACCTGTTGCATTTTCTTTTCCTTTTTGTTCCTTTCTTTGGTATCTAAATTTTCTTTAACTTGAATGGAGAGTGGACACTAATCGGACTGTTGACCTTTATGCAGATGAAGCTGGTTAATCCATTAAGGCATTGCAACGTGGAAAGAGGTGGTTGATATTTGCAGGTTAGAAATACACAGAAAAAGTGTTGGACCTTTTTTTTTTTGTTTCTATTTTCTTTTTGGGTTTTGGGGGATTATGTATATTACCACTGGTTTAGAGCATTGGGAAGATGGAGACAGATATAGAGGCCATGTACATAGGTCACATCTCCCTTTTCTTCTACTTTCCTCCCTTCCTTTTCCATGGTCTCCCTGCTCGTGCAGAGGGGCCCTATTTCTTTTTTGCCCCAGTAGATTAGTGCATGAATTATTACCCTTTCAGATCAAGTGGGTAGCAATCATTTTTATGGGCCAAAGCCTTCGGAAATTTTGTGAATATAAGGTTTCTGGTGTACACACTGGTCACTGGTAGTGGAATGAACGGCACCTGTCAACGCCATGGGCACCCAATGAATTTCTGTAATTAGTAACAGTCCTAAGATTTTGATAATGCAACAGCCCTTTAATCACTGCATTCCCTTCATTTCCATTTGCTTCTGGGTCTACAAAAATACTAATCACAAACCTTTTGTTTTTATTACTTGGAAGTATTGTAGTCGAATTTCACTGTCATGTCAAATATCTTACTGTGACATTGATCTGCGTTCACGGTTATGTTTAAGCATACTACTTGAATGGCTCATACATGGAGAAACACTTGATTGTTCAGTTCAGTTAAACAAGGAAATTAAATTAGATAAAATTGCAAGGGCCAAGCAAAGAAAGCAAGAGAATGAGATGCATTACAGCTTTCTGGGCATTGTAAACACAATGTTGATAGCAATACCACCATACCACCATACCACAACTGCTTTAACAATAATCAGCCAATGCTTCAAATTAAATCTCTTGTAAACAAACGTCAAAGTGGCACCTAATGAAACACTCTTGAAAAGGAACGTCCAAGCATACAAAGATCACGCATTTATTATAGTTATAAACCGCTTCTGTTTTAGTTGCACTCTCGGCTTCGATTCTGTTTTAGGCATCTGATTTCAAGCTTACGAGTGGATGTTGAAATCTCCGGTCAAGACTTGATAGCAATTAAAAATCATAAATATCTTGTATGTTCACTAGCCTCTAAGTACAAAAACGCTGTGACATAACCTCTTCTTTTCAATGTATGTATTTACTGTTATAAATGAGTGAGCTCAATTATTTGTTCTTTATAACAGCCCGAGTAAACAAAGGGGGAAAAAAATTCATACTATGTACAGTAACTAGACAACTATCAGCACAACTTCATCTATTTCCATTTATCTCACAGCTGTCACTCATCAACCCCGACTGCCAATTCCAAGAACCAAAAAAAAAAAAAGCCAGAAATGAGATAGAATATTGAAAATAATATGGATAGTGAGACCGATGTAAAGAGCTAGTCAACCTGCTTGAATTGGGCGATAGATTTCCAAATCCTGCTTTTGTAGGATTGTTGAGAGACGACAGAAGATATGAATTGGCTACCTCAGCACAATCAAGCAAACAAGCAACTTCATCTTCCTGGGTTCAAAGGTTTGTAGTTTCTTCGCCAACATGAATATGTCCCCTGCTAATGCCATACCCAATACCATCAGAATGTGTGCTTTATTCAAAGATATCCAAAGCACTCATTACTTAATCAATTCCTTATTTGGGGGTAAATAAGAAAAAAAAAATACAGAAAGCATTTGAACTAAAATTAGCTCAAGTAATTAAAGCCAATGCATTTCCGTGAATGACGTACAAAATTGTATATGCTAGAGATTAATATACCGGCAATCCACCTTAAATTTCAGCCAATTCATAAGAAAATCATGAACGTAGTTAAGGGGTTGTTTAGGAAGTCCCCAGTAAGCAGGCATATATTGTGACTCTGAACGGCACCAAAAAAATTCGCCTAAGTCGAAGAAAGAGAAATTTCAGTTATAAGACACAACTTTTGTGTTTTTTTTTTTCTTTAGCAGGGGGGTTGGATTTGGTAGGCATAAGCTGCACCTATTGGTAACATATATGACTCTTAATAATCTGAGATAGCATGGTGAAACTTTCCAGGTTTGTTTTTCTTTTCCTTTTTTTATTTTAATTATAAATTGGTTCAAATGTTCATCACATAGGTTATAGACCTTGCCATCTAGATGGATGGACAGTACTTGGGTATGCAATCAGAATACAGACTTGTGTCACCAACTTACTTTACTACACTTAACAGTTAAAACCCATTCTTATATCCCAAATGAAGTAGTACCAGAAGAAAAAAGGAACTTACAGCTAAGTTGCTTTCTTTTAAATGTTCCAATGACTCAGCAAGCTCTACTTGCTTTGATGCAGTTGCAAGCAATGCCTACAAAAAATAAGTCAGAATTATTTAACTAGAATGTACAAAGGAACAAAAACCAGTTGCAATAAAGACTAATTGTAGAAACAGGTCTTACTTTCTTTGTTCTCTGTAAATCTTGTTCGATAGATTTAATACGATTCAATGACTCAAGAAGCATGTCCTCTTTTTCAGGAGGAATTTTTGTGGGTTTGTTATAAAGCTCAGTTACCAAGTTTTCTAAATGTTGTAGCCTCTGCCAACATGGATGAAGTGAGACCTCTTCTGCATCTGTCAAAGTACCATTTTCCAGAGACCCTGAACCTGCCATCTGGCAGTTGGACTGGTTTTCTGTTTGTTTTTTTGAATCTTGAGCTTCCAGAAATCTTCCCAGTCCAGGGACCAAGAAATATATACATGCTAATAATTTGAGTACAAAGTGAACCACAAAACTTATTACATGTTGAACAAACTTCTTCCCTGGATTTCTTGGAGTAATATCCCTAGTTACATCATCTGTCAACAGCAGCAAATTAAGATGTAAAAGCTAACTTACAGGAGAAAAAAAATTAGCATAGCCTATAAGAAGTTCTAGTGCTGAGAAAGAGGAGATAATGTTCTAATGCAATAATGACAAGTCAGCTTCATTAAAAGTCTAAGAGTCAAAACTTGAAATTTTGATTATGAATACAACTATACAAGTTCAAACCCAGAATCACCAGTGAAATCAGATTGATAACTACAGGCTTCTATATCTTAATCAAGAATGGCTGATTGAGAAAGTTTATCCTACACATGGAAGCAGATATTAGGGCTACTAGTTATGCTTTTATGCTGCCTTTATTGGTCTATATGATGGTCATTTACTATGATATAGGAGCAACAAAATCTGTTAAAGGTTTAAGAGTCACACTTCAAAATTTGATTGCACATACAAGTATGGAGAAAGAAACCACACAAAACCACCAACTTCTGTATACTAATAGTCTTGTACCTTCCAGAGATTAATTATTGCTACTAGTTATGCTTTAACGGCCCCTTTATTGGTCTACATGATGGTATTTACCATAATATAGCTGGAACAACTATCTCACAAGGAAATGTTAGAAAACTACCACAACATGCATTGATAATGGATTGAATGATCTGATTTAAGTGAACAACATAAACAAAAATATGATGTTCAATTAGGTCCACGGAGTCATCGCTCACTTGTTGAACTAGCTTCTTCAATTCTTGCAGAATTTTCTGGTTCGATAATGCCGTGCATAGAATTATGACCACTCATCCATCCCTGACACAAGGATAAAAAAATATTAAATAATATTTTTGCAGAGTAGCACAAAAAGAAACAAGGATTATAAAGTCTGATGACTAAAATCTTAAATGGAATAAATTCATAACCAAAGTTAAAAGGGAAGCCAGAAAGGTGGGGCAAATGCAATTACTTTGTCAGGGAATGACACTAACTGCATGATATCTGAAGTATCTGGCCTCACATCGGAAGCATAAGTTATTTCGCTACTTGCAACATGCCAAATGAACCAATTAACATGGAACATGATGCTTAGCGAAATAATGATAAATTGACAGTAGACAAAGGAAACTTGATTAATAAAGAAGGCAGCGGGAGTAACCTTAGTAGAGAAAATTTTGACTTCCAAATTATCATTCTCAGAAGAACTTTCTGTTTTCCTCAGGTACAAGGCATCCCCCGAGTGCATCAACTGCAAATGGAATACAGGCAATGACTTTTAGTTTAGCGCATAAAATAATAATCAGGAAATTTCTCAAACATCAATATGTGTGAATAGAGAGGAGTGCTACTAAATGCTACAACAATTTATTCATTTTCCTTTAAATACTGACTAGGATCCTACCTTCATCATTTCTGGGGTATTCCAGGGTCCTTTGTCAGATCTAAGACACCCACCATCATTAGGGCATGAGCAAGTTCCACCAAGAAACTCTGGCAATTGGCTGATTGGGAGATTTTTCACAAACAAGTTTAGTTAGAAAAGTCCAAAAACAAGCAGGCAGTAAGACATTTCATTAATAATACAGAAGAAATCACAACCTTGGATCAATAATCTCCAATAATTTATTATGGAATTTGTTGCCAAGAACCTGTATGATCAAATAACACTTACTGATTAGTTGAAACACAACCCTCAAAACAAAAGCATGCATCAAACATATTTATTTCTTCATGATCACATGTTTCAAAATTCTTGTACATGAATCTTTGCAGTAGTCCTTGGATCAAGAAAGCCTTTTGCTGTGTTCCATAGTAGTTTGAATCCACTTCCAGCATTAACTATGTACATTTGATGTAAAGTCTGTGAAGAAAATGCTGATGTTAGTAACACTTGAGGAATTTATACATGAATAATTCAGATATATATTTTTTCATTTCGCTTGATAAAACAATTAAGCCACCTCAGGATAGTTGTCACCATCAATTTTCTGCATGCGCATCACAAGATCATGTGCAACCTTACCGAAGCTCATCCAGTTCTGCATAAAGAAGGAAATGATGAGAAATACGACATGTCATGAATGCATATGTTCTGTAATTTATGAACACTGACCAACCCCTGTACATCTAATATTGTCGTAGTACAATCTATATGCCTCTTGGCAGCAATAGAACTGGCAGGAAACTTCTCCATGAAAGCCTTCTCGAAGCCCTGCACGTGATATTTTAAAAATCTTTCCACTGTAGTGACCTTCATCAGCTTGGCAGGGTCAATTTTACCAATTCTTTCAATATAAACAGGGTGGCCCTGTTTGTCCACACCATGGTAACCGTGGGGGTAACAGTGCTGAACTTCTTCGTATTCATCATATACAAAATCCTGCATATGCATCACAAAATATGTTAAAACTATGAAATATAAACTATTACCAACAGTGAAGACAGGCAGCACATCTTTTATGAACAACAAGATAAACAAAATTGCTAAAGTCCATCACCTAAACATAAGGAGTGCAGTAGAAATTTAAATAATCCAAGTTTAAAGATGATAAGAGGAGCATTTTTACCTGTATAATGGTATCTACTCGACACTCTTTCCTCCAGTTCAGCATATCTTCCCACATCTGGATAGTTTTATCAAGGACAAATTTCCTTGCTTTCAAAAATCTGCAAAAACAAATTCCAGGATTTTGAAATGAATGAAGATAGTTGAATGGAGATTTTTGAATATAGGATTTTTTGTTGTTGATAAGCTAAAATAAATAGTTTCTTCAAAAATTATAATTTAAAGTGGAGCTCAGTTTCCACTTCCACGACTAATGGTTCAGCATGTCTCGCCTAGAGTTAAATCACTGAATAAGTAGGGAAGTCACCAGCTCAACAAAGCAAAATCAGTTATCACATGCTTCACTACAATTCCGGCAGAGAAAATTTGCGTAATGTCTATCAAGGTGCACAAAATTCCAAGTTACAAATCTTAGCTTTATTAGAATAAGAGTCTACTCATAAATCATTTGAGTTAGATCGTAAAATTTTAAATAATTCACTTTATATAGAGACTAGAGAGATACATTTCTCAAATTCTTGCTGCTAAAGATTTGATGATGAAAACTAGTACAATGCCCAAAACCCAATAAAGGGAGCAGTTGAAGTTCATGAAATAAGTACACTGAAGATGATATGATATGGTACACCATGAATCTACTCTTTGTAATCAATGGACCACAGACTTAGCAGCCAAGAAAGGTTTCTGATATTTTTCTTTAAAACTCCAATAAATTTCTTTTCTGGAAAACCTACACATCCTATACATGTCATGCTTAAATAAACAATCCAAATATTGCCTTCTAGATTACAGATTATGAAATAATTACGAATTTCTAAGAAAGGACAAGAAAATTTTAAAAATTTGAGAACGAATAGAAATCTTGTTTTCAGAAATAAACATATATAAATTCTCCCTAAAGTCAGTTGTAAACAATTCAAAGCTTAAGATGGGTCGCATTATTCATCGGTACCTTGTCATTCAAGCTATCCCTGGTAATTTAAAACAGCACAGGTTTGCTTCGATGGATTGGTTTCATTCTCTTATCAACATAGTTTAATGTTAACTAGCCACGCAAATGAATGGCATAACTTTCTCTCAAGAACTACAATAAAAAGTCTGGTGGTCGGTTATATTACCTTAACAAAGTGTGGTAATCATCATGACGTAGGAGGAGCTGATCTTTCGCAAGCAATGCCTGGCGAAAAGCTCTGACTGCCTTTTCCTCCTCTGCGTCCCTAACATCCTCGATCGAAATTGCCGCGTATTTGCAATCAGCCACGCGTTTGCCACGCTTCCTTAGACCGTGTGTTAGCTTCGTCGAAGCAGTCATCGCTTTCTTCTTCGGAGATTTCCCTCTCGCGGTTCTTCTTTTCTCGTCCTCAGACGTCTCGAAATCCAAATTCTCTTCCTTTCTAAACCTTTCATTTTCTTGAAATGCAATTACCTCTCCTGATATCATTAAAAACGAAAAAGAAAATCAGAAACAAAAATTAATCGACGAATCACCCTTTTGATCCCGATTTCGATCAAAAGTCAGCACAGTTAGGCATAATTTACCAGGCATTGTAATACTTATCCGAGATCGTGATCAGAATTGTATTTGCAACCAAACAGACACAGAAAATCTCAGAAATAATGAGACGCCGTTACTTTTATATGCCAGCAGATCCTCCAGACCTGTACGATTCTCTGTTACAGCTCGTTGCTGTTTAAAAACGACAAAATTGACCAGAAATTCAAGCAGAAGTGGACAAAAAGGGACATGAAAAAGATTATTACAGAAAAAAGGTCAAAAAAGAAAGAGAACCGAAATTAAACCGCGTCAGATCCAAAAAAACACAATTAAAAGATTAAAAACAGCCTCCATTGTCATCATTAATGCATAAATAAATAACAACATAATAAACAAAAAAGGAAACGTATCCAAATATACCTTGAAAAAAACCGCATTCATTTCACACGAATTGAGCGAAATTAAATTCACGAAAAATGGATGATTGAATTTTCATTTTATGTCTTTATTTCTTTATATATAATAATCAAAGCCAGAGCTATGAGGTAAGGAAAAAAAAAAAAGCTATTGCTTTAGGTTACGAGGCGAGCTTTTCTCTCTCCAAACACTCTTCTCTCTCTATCGATTCTCGTATAAAATAAAATAATAAAAGTATTGTATTTTTAAAAAATCTTTTGGGGTCAGTTAGCTGAGGAAGGCGTGTCGTTGTCAAAAAACCCTTAAAAAAAAAAAAAAGAAAATTTCATTTTCGGAGAGCGAAATCGTAACTAGCGTGAAACCGCCGCTTCAGCTACTCAAGTAGTGGTGGTGGTGGTGGTTCCGTTGACGACTTAATACTTTTTTTCGTTGCTTTGGCCTCTTTTCTGGAGAGAGAATGGGGTTTCGCCGTCAGCCGCCGTAAGTTAATGGAGATGGGAATCAGAGACTATTAGATGTCGTGGAGTCCAGAGTTCTCGTAAAGCAACAAGCCAATAACAAACTAATTTTCTTTTGCTTTGTTTATTTATTTATATAATAAAGGAAACCCAACGGAAAACTGTTTGGTATGCACCACGTCATATGCATCGAGGTAGTGCCACGTGGAGATGGTTGGCAGGCGGACTATAGGGTGCTTAAATGAAATGTAAAAATAAACTGAAATTACGTATACAAGAGAGGCGGTGACACATTTGGTCATAATTTTTGTCGGCATTTGATTTACTTATTAAAATTGGTAGTTATTGGCTATAAATTATAATCAACGTGGTTTGCGGCGTTGGCATTGCTTCAATGAACTCTACAACGGCGAAGACCGTATCTTCCTTTCAAGAGTTAAAAATATAACGCCTCAAATCTTACAAAATATTGTGAAAATTAATTTAAATTCATTCTTAATAAACTTTTTTATAAAATAAAAATATAAAATTTTCGACTCAAAATTAATAATATTTCATAAAATAAGCATGAATCTTTACGCAAAATTTAGGGATTTAAACGAATCCCTAATTTTGAATCAAAACAAATAAGTACATACTGATTGAAATTAAGAATACATCAAGGAGATGGTGGCCCCAATGTTCATTTCGCACAATAATTACAGCCATTAGGCAGCCCTCGGCCTAACCCTTTGCACTCGGAGAGAGGAATGACAAACAAGTGATTAAAGTTGGCTTTGATTATTATTTATTTATAGGGGATCGACAATGGACGCCTAGAGACAACTTTGAAGCTACTCGATTTAATAGAAACTAAAACATTAAAGGGTTTGTATACAAGTTTTCAACAGGCAAAAGACACCAACTACATCAACTAACTTGTTTGGACTTTACAGGATTTATCAACAAATTTCTAACAAACAATCTGAAAAGGGACTGGACACAAACCTAGAGCAAAACGAAAGATTTTTCCCGAATTTGATAAACTACTGTACGTGGCTTAGGCACTATCACAGAATTCATCTGATGCACTTCGGCAGCGTCGCCTATCGGAGCTGACCTGAAAATAGAGGGATTATCATTAGTAAATGTGAAAGAAACATTAACGGACAAGAATACATTAACAAAGATGTAAAATATGGGTCCTCAACAGAGATGGAACCCTAATTGGACTCAGTTCCGACCACCTAGATAAATGTCCATCAACTCCAAGGAGCAACAAAATCATTTAAAGTACTTTCCAAATCACCAAATGAATATGGCATATTTTTCTCAATTGAAGGTTGACATCTAAATAATAAGAAAATTCTCAATTTTGGCAAAATTATATACAGATACAGCTGCTCGAGCCCACCCTGAAATCCAAATTTCTAATAATCTGCTAATTATAAGATATTAAAAATTATTATTAAACATATAATTATGTTACTCCTGCTGCATTAGCTTCACAGGGTGATGATATGGTCCCTTTCTATCATTGTAACAGCTTTGATACAAAGCTGCCTTAACATTATCCCAACAATACATGATTTAGTTGACTTTTGAGCTATTTTGACAAGAAAAACTAGTTATTATCTTGAAACAAGCAGAAATATATATAATGTTAAAATCCTCACAACAAAGTTCCCTATGGTGTGGAAAAGGACACTACACTTCGTGATATTAGCATCAAGCCTCAAAAGACACATCCGTGCTACCTAAAAAGCAGTACTGAAGTAAGTTCTAAGTAAGGAATGGTGTAAAGGCCCCCTAACTGTTAATAAGTTCTGTGAGAAAATAGTAGTGGAAAATGGAAAACAACTTTCTTCAAAATCTACTTTCCAATCATTATCATGTGATTAATCAACAGAGTTAGACATGAAGGAAAAAGTTGCTTGTGTATAATGTTATATTGATTTTCAAAGAGTTCCTTTTTCACTTCGACTCAAGGAAGCATAAGAAACACTTTTGAAACGCTTAAAGAATTAGCTTACTAAGGAAATAATAACACATGCAGAAGGATCATGCAATTGACATAACAGAAAAATTGCAGCTGTCATTTGTTACTATCTGAAAACTATGATCAGTTTTGTTTTACACGTACACTACTTGAACTCAGTGGACATTCACTCACTTGAGTTGTCCACTTTCCATGCAGACATGGAACTCCTAATTTACAAAGATTCTGCATCAACACAAATAATCATGTCATCGTTGTTTTTATAGGAGAAAAACCAGACTCCAGATTGCTCCCTTTCAGGAACTGAAAAATGGAAATTTACTGCAAGAATAACAGCATAAAGCTATCATGACCAGAAGATAGCTAAACAAGCATGCAAACAATACTTTGCCCTTGATTTATAAATTAAAGACAGCCAAATTGAATTGTGACACACCTTAGAAGACGAAGATAAAGGAGGTAAAGAATTCTGTCGAACAGGATCTTTTAGCTGCTGAAATTCTTTAAGCTGGTCCACCAGCTCCTCAATGAGTTTCAAATGGGTATCTACCCTTTTCCTCTGATCTGCAGAGAAAGTTAGCTTCTCTTTTTCTCCTCGCACTATTCGCAGCCTTTCTCTAAGACATTCAATTTCAGCATCAATCCCCAACCTTTCATTACTGACTGCAGAAGAGCTCCTCCCCGAGTCATATAGCAAGTTTTCGTGATCTAATGCAGAACCAGTTGGCAGTTTACTTTCTTTTTTATTCTCCTCCTTCAGAATGTCCATTTTATCATCAACAACATGGACATCATAAATAGCTGGTTCCATATCAAACGTGGAATCATGCAGATTGCTGCCTAGTGGTTCACCAAATTCTACATTTCTCTCAAGCTCTTCTCTAGTTAAAGAAGTTTTCTCAATGCCACCAAAATTTTGGGCTGTTTTGGTTGCTATTGCTTGGCATGCTATGGCATCATCATCTTGTCCCTCTACTTTCCCAGCTAAATAAACTGCTGCAGTATGACTTCGTTTCCCAGATGATGGAGTCTTATTTTTTGAAGGCCAAGAACAACCTTTTCCCACTTCCTTCTTTCCAGTGGATCCACTATTCCCCACCTGTTTCACCATTAGCAGTGGATCTTCATCTAGATGAAGTGAAACCGAAGGCCTTTCTCCCCCTGTACTCAAAGTATAACTAAAATCACACTCCTGCTCATCTCCTAGAGTATTCATCAGCCTGTAAGCTTCAACTTCTTTCTCCAAAAGGTGATTCTCCTTCTCCCTTCTAACAAGGATCTCTTTCAGAATGTTCATCTCTTCTTCGTCATAAGCAAATTTTTCTTCTATCATCCTTTGATATTGCCTTGCTTCCATTTCTATTGATGCCTTATCCTCTTGTAGACGCAAAATCATTGCCATGGCTTCATCAGCAGCAGAAGCAGCAGCAGCCCTTTCTTTCTCCAACTCTAGGTATAGAGCAGCATGGGTAGCTTTTTCTTCTTCAAGAGCTTGTTCCAACATTCTGATCCGATTTGCTTCATCTCCAGTAAACCCTAATTTTTCATTAGTGTTACAAGTGGATTTTTTTATAAAAGTTGAACCTTTTCCCTCTCCATTGCTTAATTCAAAACCATGCCAGGTAGCCTCATCCATATTAGTGCCAGTTTGAGTATTTTTATCATCTAAAATGGAATGTTCACATAGGTCAATACACATGAAATGCTAATACAATACATAAGAGTTCAAAATGCAATGAATATTTCAACTCCATGAATGATTTCCTTAACTTGGGAAACAAAACCTGTCTAAATTGGTTAAAAATCATAAATCTTCTATCAGTTTTAGAATAAGCATTTAAAATTTTAGCAGAAAAATTTCATAATATTCTCAATAATGCATTCCTATAAATGAGCAGAAACTCACATAAAAATTTGCCACTTGAAGCTAAAAATATCAATTTAGAAAAAAGATTACAATAGAAAGATTTCACATTGGATACGTTTAACTTACCAGGAAAACTATCTTCTATTTCAGTAGCTGGACCCAAATTTTCACTAATTTCACTTCTTGTTTCACCGCCATTAATATAAGAGGAACATGAAACACCTGCAACAGCAGGTGAGAAATTGCCAGAAAATAACACTGGAGAAGATTTTCCATAACCAAAAGCAGCTCTCCTACGTCGCCGAATTCCAGACTTCTGCTTCAGATTTATAATTTTCTTTCCCTTGGCATCATATCCACTCTCCTTATCCACCGTAGTTTGCAATCTTAAACCTAAAGTTGAACTAGAACATGCATCACCTTCCAATTCAATGATCCCATTGCCAAATCTACCATCTTTAATGGAATTAGCATTGGAATTCCACTCTTGATCGTTGAACCAAACTAAGATAAAAGGGAACCTATTCAAAGCTAGCTTTTGAACAGAATGAATCTTTTTTCTTGGCCATTGAATAAGCAGCTTATGCCAGCAGAGGTTCCTATTTTGGTACCCAAAAAACCCAGAACAAGGACAAGGCAAGAAAAGTCCAAAAACATTATAAAATTTCCAAGCAAAAAACCCCAAGGTTGATCCACATAGAAGGAAATAAGCTAGAGCAAGGTCAAGAAAGGCTCTTATAAGACCAATTAAGGTCCATGAAGGAATTGTACGGGAAACCATTACAATTTGAAGAGCTCAAAATCCGCAGAGAAATCCAATTTTACTAGTAAATGAAATTTTGAGTAAAACCCAAGAAAAGTAAAAAAGTAATAACAATTTGGTGCCAATAATTAGCCCTGGAAAACAACCACCATGAGAAATACAATAACAACAAGGAATTCAATTCTAGTTCAACTTCCTGAATAGTACATGAAGACAAAGGAAAGAAAATAATGAATTCCAAAACTCAAGAACTTTCATGGAAAAAAAATAGTGGAAATTCCTTAGGATCAAAAGAAGTAGCTTAGTTTCCAGGAAAAGCTGATAAAAAACCTGGGTTTTTACAGGGAATTGAGTTGATCAGCCGTAGAGATGAAGTGGGAAATTAGGCGCTAAGGAAACAAGAGAAGTCAGGTTCCGGAATCCCAAAGTTAGGAAAGACGAGAATCAAAGCTCGGAGAAATTTCTTGGCATCAGACAAGAGTGAAAGAGCCGTCGGTTTCCAAGGTTATAATAGTTACGGTTTTGTCAAAGTGGTTGTCTATCTTTATCGGAAAGTGGAAAGTGGAAGTGGTAAGTCACCGACTTACACTTCTGTTGGCGATTTTTGTCCTAAGTCTGAACAAAGATTACTGCTGTCAACTGTTTATGTGCTACGTCATTTTGTACTTCGTTACAAGACCAACGGTGCCGCTTAGACCATGTCAAAAAAATGTTTTTGGATGAGTATGTCCACATTTTACCAAGTCTCAGACTTTCCCTTCTAAGAAGAACATAGAAGCCTATTTTATGTGATTTCAAAAAAAAAAAAAAAGCCTATTTTTTTTATGTTAAGTCAATCAATTGGATAAAAACCAAAATTTATTTTTTTTAAGTCTTTTAAAATTGATTTCAATACCGATTAATTAACCGCTCATGATAAAATCTTTGTTTGCTATGCCTGTATAGTGGTTCTAATTAACTTTCGAATTCTGAATGGTCAGGGATTTTTTTTTCTAATTTTTTGGTCGAATGAATAATCAACTTTCTTATTCTATCAAAATCAAAAAAGTTTTAAAAAATAAATGGCTGAAAAACAAGATCCATTTTCCAAGCAGAGAAATGATAGAATCTCACATGTGAAGGCAGTTATGTAATAAAAAAGGTTTATCCCATTATTCCTGTAAACCACCATTCAAACTAAGCCACATGCACCCCTTGAACCCGACCCTTCACCTCACAAAATTTCTTATCAGATTTCATTTCCAGGCCTAGCATCTGTTTCAACAGCTTCCAAGAATGTATATCATGGCAGTTTTCTCCAATGGCTACTCCTTACACCCTTCAAAACCAGTCCCCAGCTCATTCCATCGACGACCTCTCGAGCAGCCGGGTTGCTTCAGTGTTCTTCCTTTCTTAGTTTTCTCTGATAATGCCAGAGCCAGACAGTTATCAGCTTTACAATTCTTTAGACAGTCAACTTTCAGGTTACTTTCAGTTGTTTGCTTTTGGTTTTAATTTTTTGGTTTTTAAGAGTTTGTTATGGCATAGTTATATCTGGCATGCTCAAGCTCAAGGATTCTACCGGTTACAACTTCATTCTTGATTATTAGTTAATCTACTTGATTTTATGGAGCCATTACTATAACTCAACCAGTTATCCAATTACATCATTTACTGACTATATAGATTAAGGGTTAATGTTTGTTGACCAGTGGCTGGCTGATAGGTCAATGCCTCAATGCTAATAGTTTAGTTTAGCAAGAGTAATTGTTTTTATGGAGGTAGATAATTCATAGATATGGTTAGATGGTAAATTTGTTGGGTAGTTTGAGTACCAGTACCATTTTTCTTGGGCAAGGGCTTCTCTGAAATATGAACTACTATTTTATGCTAGTTTAAATTGGATCTCAATGGCCACTTCACCAAGACATCTCAGATTTATGTATGCAATACTTCTCCATCCTTGCTATCACTTGACATGCTCTAATTTATGGGTTTCCCTCACGAGGCCCCATTTTTCTTGTCTTAAAAGGTTTTGCAGTATATGCCAAAGTGCAGTCACCATCAAATGAGAGAAATAATGTTTCTCACCAATGTTACTCTGTCAATTCATTTTTTATTCTAGAGAGCAAGAGTCATGCTTTATCCAACTAGTTCATGGAGATGATGCATGACAAATGATGCATTTCACATTATTGCAAACAGGATTAGGAGTTTTCGGCATGAAGATAGAGAAAATATTAGTGCTGCAGAACCTAAAGATAAGCTAGAGCAAGGAGATAGAGCTGCTGATGAGGTACTTGTAAATCAAAACAGTGGGACTGCTGGGAAAGGAAGTTCATTTCTGCTAAAATTAGGGGTAGCATTAGGTGCAGCTGCAGCTCTTACTGCCATATCGTTTGGCCTCAAGGGAGCTAGTTTTGGATCATTGATAGGAGTTCAACGGGTGGTTGAAGGTGCATCCTCATCGATTATGGATTCCTCTGTTGGTTTCACTTTCAAAGCTTTTGGGTACAGGTTTATACTTCCAGAATATGCACCAGGGTATGCCTCCTGAGCTTGAATGATCATCAAAAGCCATAACTCTTTCCAGCTTTTTGACCACGTTTTATTATAAGAAACAGCAATTCTAAAATTTCTCCTTCCTTGTAGTTTGCATTGTTAACCACACCTTAGTCTTAAAAGGAGAGAAAAGTGGGAGGATAGAAATGGCAGGGTTAGGGAGGAAAAAATTAGTGGGGGGATGGAATCTATAGGCGGAAGCATTTTCCTACTAAACCTACGGAGATTTGACACTAGAGGTTGATGGAATCTATTGGTGGAAGCAAGTAAAGACTGAATGGTGGTGCATTTCCTTTCTGTTTATATGTGTGTGTTCATTCATATTGTGGTTCGAAAGATTAGGCAAGAATGGATTGTCTTCTCAGCAGAGGTGGAACTAGCTTTTCGGGATTCTTTTTTGGGGCGGGGGAATACGGGGGAGGAGGCTTTTTTCCTGAAACTTGTCTGGGCTATGCCTCTGCTTCTCAAGTATGTATGTCACTGAATAAAATGGTTCTGAAGTTTTTCCCTAAATGCCATGTTTCAGATGGATTTACTTTTGGTTGCTTATGGCTGCTGGTTGTGGACTTTTCATTAGTGAAGAGGCTTTAAATATCTGGGTCTGTCCTTTGCTCTGGTACTTATGTTTCACTGACTCAAAAATTTGCTGGCTTTCGTTGTTTTTGTTAGGTTTCTGGTTTTAACTAAGCACTTCCTTTTAAATTTTAAATTTTGTTTGCAAAATCTAGGTTGGCATAACTTTGGCACGGATGCTGTCATTGGATGGAACATGGCATTCCTTTGTTGAATCTCTCTCAAGAAATGCTCCCTACATGATATCCACGGTTCTCTGGGTATACTGGTTAGTGGCTGCTCACTCAATCTTATTATTTATTGCATTTTACTTTGTAAAATGATAATTAACTTAGATAAGCACGCATTGTTTGAATGACAATGTGCTTAAATTTTAACCTAAGGCTTTTAGGTTTTGAGGCTTACACCATGAAGGTAAAGATATTAAGGATGAAAGGAAAAGCCTTGAGCCAGAATCCCAAGGAGGTTGAGGCTTAAGTAGTCCGAGGCAGAGAACTCTCAGGGATAATCTACCTTTAACCACTAATTTTACCACTTTAAAATCATTGTGTCTAAATTTGTGCCTGACATTATAGGTAGTCCTTTAAATATTAACCTAGTTATGGCATGTTCTTTATTCCTTTTCTATGACATTATTGCTTATGATTCTCTAATTTTTCTCTTCTTCATTGTACATGGCAACTTGAAAATTTAGGGGAGTTTGCATCAGTGATATGATACCATTTTACCTTGGTAGTCTGTTTAGACAAAGTGGAGCATCTGATGATGTTTGTTCAAAGGTTTGTTGTGTTCCTTCTGATCAGGTCTTAAGGATTTCTATGCATGCTTGCACATATTTATGGGCAAATACATTAATTTATTGCTTGGCTATGATTTAGCTCATTCTATTTTGAGAATCTACCTTTTCTGCATTTGCAAGGTAATGATTTATTTCTTTTGTTAATATTGATGCTGACTACAGGTAGGGATCAGTGAAGAGAAGTTGTTGCATATCACATGTGTTGTTCAAAAATATGGCAATCTCATAGGCTTCAGTGAGTTACAAGAGCTTCATTACCATGCTTTTTTGCATGATTAACGTGGAAATATCTAATTCGATTCACAGTGACCAGAAGTCAATTCAAATATAATGATCTTTTAGATTGACAGTATTCAATAGGCTTTTACAAATTTCTTTGACCTTATACCAAATGCAATGAGTAAACTGCCATGTAAATGACTAGGAAATGATATAACACCTGCATAGCCTTGCCTATCAAAATTCTGGTAATGATTACAGTTCTCTTAAATATGCATGTTGATGGACTTGTTCGTAAACTTTTATGGTTCTGATTCTTTAGACAAGGGTTTTCAGTAATGCTGAAATCAATAGGACTATCTTGTCGTCCAACTTCTGTAGAACAAATTTAGGATATCTCAATCAGGGATATTCATTTATAATCATCTTATATTGTGTTCTACTGAAACTAGAACATCTTGCTTTCCCCGAAAATGAGTTGGAATGCTCAATTTAAGTTGTTTAATTTTATTATCATGCTTCTCTCAACACGTATGTAAGTTACAACTGAAATGTTTTTCACCATTAGCCCTTATAGAGAAGGTAGGTGATTTTTTCTAAAAATGGATTTGCATACTCTTCATATTTTAATTTTGTTTTTAACATTTTAGAATATTTGTAATCGTATGAGACAAATTTCTTCAATTATTAATATTGATGAATTGTGCTTGAGCTTTAATATACTTGTTTCTCGTAGTTAGTTTACCCTTTCTACTGGTCTTGTATTCTGATCTGCAGTAGAGCGATTTTCCCTAGGAGTAAGAAATCCCACAGCTTTCCTAGCAGGGTCCCTGGTTAGTAACTACTTTTATTTCTCTCTGCATGGTAACAGTGACTTTTTATTTCGCTTAATGTAAATCTGTTAATTAAACATGATCCATCATTATGCTATCACTAGTTCACAACCAGATGTTTTAGGAAACACGAATTAATGATCTATATACCCATTAAGCAGCATCTTACATGTGGAGGATGTATTGCTGGTGATTCGATAGCAATGCCGGTGGTCAGGAATGAAGTTTACTTGCTTTTACTGCAAAACATGCCCATTTCAATGCTTAAAAGATGATAAGACTGATAAGAGATGTAAAAGATGCTGGAAAGTGGAAACTAACATAAGAATGTGTTTGGTCCTTACTGAGGTGTGACATGAACTGATAAGTGAGTGGAATGATGGTGTGCTATACTTTCTCATATAAAGACTGATCAGATACATGGTGGTAAGAAAAAATCTGGAGCATACATAATTTGGAATTGAGAATCTGGAATAATAAAAATTGCAAGGAGTAACTATATATTATGCAATCAAGAGGAACCTGAGTTATTAAATGAATATGAAGCTGATAGGTAATTCAGTGCGGATGGCTGGAAGTATTATCTAATGATTTCATTGCTGCATATGTTTCATATATATGTCTGCGTTAGTTTAACATGGCCTTTCATTTCCTTTGTAATATGTACCATATATATCTATTGCCTGGCTGTCAATCATGTTGATAATTGAGGTGATGATATGCTTTTACAATAATGAAGGGAATATCTCCTGAATTCTTCTTTGCTGGAGTTTGTTGCGGTGGCTTGGTCACTCTTCCAATTCAGGTTAAGTCATTTTCAGCCGACAATAATTTGCGATTTTGCACATTCACATATTCTTGAATGGACCATTGTGTTATAGTCTTTTCGTGTCTTTGACTCTTTTTTTTTTTCAAATCACAGTTAAATTAAGCAATAATCTATTAACCTTTTCTAGTATAAAACTTTGATAGAGTTCTCTTGAAAAATATAGGTATTGTAAATTGGAATAGCACATGGAAAAGTATTTGAACTTGCTATTCCTTGGAACTGATGCTATGTTCTCTTCTTTTTCTGGAGTCCAGCTAGGAATTGGATTTTTGATGAGGAAACGCCCTGTCTTTGCCCTTGCAACTGTTGCCACAGTAGTGGTAAGGAGGTTCTTGTGCTTCATGAACATTTGATTTTTTAAACAGAGATATCTAATGTATAAAATCATACAGGGAATTTGGACTGTGTTTCCATATGTTGCGGCTGCTTCAACTGCATTATTTCTTTACCTACAGCGCCGCTACTCAGCCTAGCTCTGTCAAATTGCTTAACCGTAGTTCTATAAATAGAGGATAGAAGCTATCAGATTCAGAAATGCAGAGGGCATACGACTAATTTTTGATTGGATGGTTGTTCCAACTTTTAGTTGAGTATCCATCCCCGTTCAACGTTTTCAATTTAAATACTTACTAATTTTCCATATGGCGGGGACAGAAAATATATAAATTTCACACAATGAGAATTGCTGTAAAGATAATGGAACATAACTGAGGGCTGCTGCCCTTTGCCTTGCAAGTTATATCCATGAAACATTGCAACATGTGCTATGTTTTAAAGAGATTTATTCGGACAAAATTGTTTGTTGGTATCCTGGTGCTTGCTAACAAAATTTATGTCCATTTGTGAGTGCTTTGCGCTTATTAGTTTATCCCAACTTCCAGTGCAGATTTCCATTACTCATAAGCCGGTTCAAACATTCAGTGAAAAATCACCCTCTGGTAACTTGCATTATATCCTATTGAAATTGCATTATATTCAGGGAAAGTAAAGAGCAGATAGGGATCATGATGACACTATTGAGATTGCAACTTCCTGGAGTGCCAAAATAAGCAATAAAGATAATAAGATTATTTGAAGCTAGTCCCCTTACTGAACCATAATGGAGACGGCAATGAATGTAGCAGTTCTTCATGTTTTTCCCCTCCATTGCTGGATGGTTGGCAAATTCTCAAACAAAAGAAACTTATTATTGCTTGCCATTGACAGAATAGACACATATACACTCTTGTAAATACTCTGAAATAACCTTGTGCTCAATAACTTACTCTTCATTTCCCTCATATAAGGCCTCTTCTGAAAATAGTTATGCCAAAAACCAACTCTCTTTTTACATGCTCTGTAGGAAAAGTTGTCAAAGTTCTAATATAAATTTAAACATTCTTTTATCTTTCATTTGCTTGCTCAACCTGAGTGTCCCAAAGATGCCAAATATGAGAGCTGAAAACTGTAGGCTTCTTTCAGCTCTGCCAATACCTCTGCCATAGTTGGTCTCCGGGATGCATCTCTTTCTACAGATCTTACAGCAACTAAGGCTGCCTTTCTCATGCTCTCCACATCAAAGCTTCCCTTTAAACTGTCATCCACTATCTCAAATGCACCAGCCTGCAAGTAGGGCTTTGCCTGCAATTCATTCAAATATGAACCAGTTGTTTGGAGCTAAGTACTACAATAGAAGTTTAAAATTTATGCATGTATAAACAAATCTATAGAATTTAAGATTTTGCACAGACCTTGACCCTTAGTTTTAGGAATTTTAGTAACATGCTTGAACTAATTTGTCATCTTAAATCCTTGATGCCTCAGCAATCATGCTGAAAATGTGCAGGATTTGAATTATAATGAACAATTAAGAAGCAAGTACTTTTACAAAATGTAAACTACTGGTTGACAAATGCTGAGACAAGTATGTCCCCCGGTGAATTGTATGCTTCATTAGAAGCAAACAATTTGACCTTGTGAACACCTGAGTGACAATGAAATGTATAAATTCCTGTGAAGAAAAAGCAATTGTGAAACTATTCACAGTTTTAAATTCCTTCTCTATTTCTTTTATTTTTTATAAAAGAATAAAAAACATATATGTGATGTAACAAGATCAAACCTTCATGCACCGTTTTATAGCTAAGATACAGAAGAAACGGGAAAAAGATAAAAGACAAAGAAAATTTTGGTTACCCATAGCACTAAATTGAAGGAATCTGGAGTTCCGGAGTGAGTCAGTGGTTCTCTTCCACATATGAGCTCTAAAAGAACAACCCCAAAACTGTAGACATCACTTTTCTCAGTCAGCTGTAGGGTGGAATAATACCTGTAGAGAAAATCACTCAATGATAAAGACATGAGAGATCATGAGTCGTTGCAGTAAAGGCATCAATTAAATAAACTTAACTAAGACTTACTCAGGATCTAGATAGCCAGCAGTGCCCTTGACAACAGTGGTCACATGAGTTGCATCTGCCTGAGTTACTTGCTTAGAGAGGCCAAAATCACAGACCTTGGCATTCATCTGACTGTCCAAAAGGATGTTACTGCACTTGACATCACGGTGTATGATTCTTGGATCGCTCCCATTATGCAAATAGTCCAGCCCTTCAAAGAAAAGGCTAATGATGGTGGGCAAGAAAAAATAATAGCAGTAATTATTCCAAAATTTTGGACCTCCTGGTGTTTCCACAGTTCCACTAATAGATGTTGAACTATACCATTGTGGCAAACAAGAAGATTATGCCAAAAATATGGCATCAATATCTAAAGAAACTCACACGTTCCCTGAAAGGACTGCTTCTGTATTGGAATATTATAATCTTATGAAGAGTATTTGGCTAAATCTTTTATCTAGAATTCCAGAATCTCATCATTGTATCGAAGGATCTTTACTTCTGAAAAAGAATAAGCTATGATATCTAGCCTAATTCATCTGGTATGAAAACTTCAAACCATAGAAATAAACCTTTTCCATTGCTAAAGTGCCTGGGACATCATGAACCTTTCATCTGCACAGCTCTTGTCTCTCCTAAGTAACTTTACATGAAGGCTAGAAACGGAATACTAGACATACCTTTTGCAGCATCAACAGCTATTTTCAGTCTCCGAACCCAGCTTAAAGAAACTTTTTGACTGTTTGGACCTGTAACAAACATTAAGAACGAACCAGGGCAGGGCATTTTGGGAGATGAGAAGAACAGATATAAAGGATATGTAACAAAAATTGCAAAATGAAAATGGTAAATCTTGTATTCAAGAAAAACATACCATACAGGTGATCAGCCAGTGATCCACCAGGTAGATATTCATAGACTAGTATCTGATGCTTTGATTCATGACAAAATCCTTCCAAGCACACAAGATTTTGATGACGAATTTGTGACAAGAGATGAACCTGCAGCCAATCCTTATGGACGATGAGGCAACTTTACAGGACCAATGAGAGGATTAGATCTAAAATGAAGCAAAACATCATACATAAACTAGAGAATTAAATTTTTTACTTTAGATTTAATCTACAGATGTACATGCATAACAGCGCAGACTGACAGCTCTTTCTAGATCAAGAAAAAATGAGTCTAATTGATATACACTTAAAGATAATCAATGATCTAGAGATGACTGTATAAAGTCTTCAGTTATGTTCATCAATAGAATACTGAGAAAATTACTAAGCTTACATTGCATTAAGGTGAGACACAAAAATTGCAGAGAAGTTTAGATGATAAACCTCATTAACAAAAGAATCTGCACCCAATTGAGTTCTATCAAACCGTACTTTTACAGCTACCAGTTTGCCATCTGATAGCTTTCCAAGGTAAACAGATCCAAAGCTACCCCGACCTATGACTTCCTTAAAGTTGTTTGTAGCTTGTTTTATTTCTTTGTAGGAAAAAATTTTTGCTGCATTCCAGTTTCTCATATCAATTGCTGCCCCTGAATATGAGAATATTGTGCACATAAGAATCAAGTTGTCAATTTTCAAGATAACAATGATGTGAATAACTATTACGTACTTGTAGCATATGTGGCTTCAGTTTTCCTTTTCTTTGCGTACAATAATACTAAAAGAGAAATGAGGAGTAGAGCAAATAAGGCTCCCCCAGCTGAACCAAGTACAATTGCTAAATGCGTGTGTTGAGTGTGCTTCCTATTGGTAAAAATAGTAACTTGTGGTGTCTCAATTGAAGTGTTTGATGAGACATCATTGCATGCCATTGTCGAGAAGGAAAGGCACAAATTTCCTGATGTTCTGCACAAAAATTGATCCATCAGGACATGTGAATAAATAGGTTGACAAAAAACTAGAATATCAGTGCCATACCTAACTTCCAAACTTTCTCTGTTCAAAGATAGGGGGAGGGTACCTTGCAATTTATTGTTCTCCAGATTCCTGAAGAATGCAGAACGCAGATTTACATCAAGTGAAACACAGAGGGCCATCACAAAGAAACTGCATATTTGGTTCTTCACCAATTGATACAATATTTATTGAAGTCACTTACAGTAGATGTAGATTCTTTAACTCTCCCAAGCTGTCTGGAACTATCCCCTGTAAACTGTTATTATGCAAGTCCCTCCATGTAGAAAAATAAGAATAATGCAGTATTAGTACAACCGTCGTTTATCATATTCCTTTCATGAAATATAGTGGAAAAACTTCAAACTCTGAAATCAATAAAGAAATTATTGTATGACAACCTAAGAAAACAATATTTGACTACAACTTACAGAACTTGAAGGTTAACCAAGCTGTCTAAATCAGAACCAAAGGATGTTAACTGATTGAAACTCAGATTCCTGAGAAATTTAGTCAAGATATATTATTAGTCCTGCTATCTGAAGATACTAATAAAGGGTGAACACTTTGAAAGACATTACAATTTCTCAAGCTGCTGCAGGCTGCCCAGATTTTGTATTGCTCCTGAAAGTGATGTGTTATGCAAATTCCTGAAAGATAGAATCACCGATATTAGCACAAGGAAGTACCTATTTTGAGGATGCCATAATGTTAAAGAGTAAAAAGAAACTAGTTTTTCAGCCAAAGACATTTACAGGATTTTAAGATCCAGCAAGTCACCAAACGTTGGACTAATTGACCTCAAGTTGATGTCCGAAAGGTCCCTAAGAGAAAATTATAAGCCCATATGAGTAGTTCTCAAAGGTAAGACAGAAAAGTCCAAAGCTACAGTTGAAATATGCACATACAATGATGTCACTATACTTCCTTCACATTCAATATGATCCCATGGAGTTGGGAAGCATGGATCATCTTGCCACCCAAGATCAAAACCAGTAGATTGCTCAATAACTTGAAGTGCTGAAACTGCAAGTCATGCAGAATGGAGTCAGCATTAGTCAGCAGGAAAAACTCATAGATTTACACAAGAAAATTCCACCTGTAGTTGAGGAAGCCTCTGGTGGAATATCGACAATTTCGTAAACCTCAAATGCACTGATTTGAGGGTAGAATATGATGCTCCTAAGTGCAATATCCAGACTGGCCATTCCCTTCTGCTTAAAATATAGAGTACTGGCTTCTGAGGTTCTTATAGTAAATTCTGATTGCTGAACATCCCCATTAATTAGTATATCAAAAGAAGCAGACACAGGAAGAATGCCCGCAAAATAGAGAACAATGTAGTAGTCCCCTAATGTATCAAGAGGTAAGTAGTAATGTAAGACGTCCCCTCGTACCAGAACTCTAGCAGTCTGCAACACTTTCAATGGAGGGCTCTCCCTTTGACTCGACAAATTGAAGCTAAGAAGAATGTCGAAACTAGGTGAGACATGAAAGGGTGTGTAACTTCGATCAGCATCCCAAATGCGGTCAAATGGATCTACAGGATACCTGTTCTAACTGAAGTTAATCACAAACGTCCTGACAGAGGGCAGAAGCCATTTACAGGGAAGGGTTGTTAAATATTCTTACCTCAGCGATCCATTGGAGTAACCACTATTAATTCGATAACACTTACGAAGTGACGTATTTGGGAAATCTTCCATGCCACTTTGGTAAGCGCCTTGAGGAAGTGGCCGTACTTCAAGTGAAGAAATAACGGGAGATCCGCAGTCCGGAATAGCAAGCAAGCAAAATGAGACTGTTTCCTTACTCACTGGCCATATGAACTCTTCAGTCCATGGATCTTTGTTGGTTAGGTTCACAGTACTAGTGATAGCTGTCCCTAGAGAAACAGAGAAAGCTGGAGGTTTCCAAAGTCTGTCATAGTTCTTATACACAAATTGGGCTCTCACAAGAATTATGGATGATATATTCTCTACTGGTAACTTATAACAATTGCGGCCTTGAGATTCTGGGAAAAATCGAAGTGGAACACTGGATGAGGAGCTACCCTCAACATACTCAACGGTGGTTGTGTTGCCTGTGCTAATGAATGTATCATCCGAGACCCATGTTATCTTTGATGAATCAACAAAACTCCTAGCTCCACCACAAGATAAGCTCAAGAAACCTATCCCATAGAATTCAAATGCAAATTAAGACAAAGTTCAAAGCCTCAACATTCTGTTTTTGAGATTTTGTTAGAGCAGGTTGTTCCATAGTGATTTGAAGATCAGAGCTTTAAAAACAAAAAAAGAACTTGAATTGTAAATTTCGCACATCGTGGTAAGAACCAAGGCAAATGTAGCTAACAGGGCAATGTGAACTGCTTTTTTCATCATTTACCTAAAACAGAACCATAATTTCAAATTCTGTTATTCCAAGCAACCAAAAAAATTTTTTTTGGATCAAATTCACCTTAACTTTACACAAGCAAAAAAAGAGCTTCCAGACAATACACTTCAGAAGAACCAAAAGGATAAAAGCAAATTGGACATACCGTCTTGATCACAGAAAACAGCTACCCAAAAGCCATAGAACAAAATCAAGCAGACCCAGAAGCACTTCAGGGCCATAGAGTCCACTAGTAACCTCCCTACCCACAAAAACAAAGGAATATCTATTCAAAGAAATGGAGAGATTTTCTTAGTAGAAACAGAGTAGACTCCCTTAAGTCCTGAATGAAACGTTAACGGAGTGGGATTAAAGGGTAATTATTAAATTTGCCTCATTGCTGGGGTGTAAATGTAAGAAGTTGAAGAGAGAAAGTGATTGAATAATGAGGAGTGCAAGTAATGCAAGGATTAAAGAGACAGGTGATGATGATTAAGGGGCAGCAAGAATGGCATTCATTATAATGGTTCTGGTTTGGTGATGATAATTGTTTGCTTTTATATACAGGCACTCTAACACCACTACTACTGCCACCATCACTGCTATTGTAGCAGTAGTTGAAAAGCAGCTCAAAGAGCAAGAACAAAAGTGCCACTTCCTCTCTCTCTCTCTCCTTGTGGACCAAAGTCGTTAAAATTTCAACTTAAAAGTGGAAAAGCATGAAAATGATGTCAGTTAACGAACTCCTCTTATATCTCCTTACTTCTATATTTCTGTGTTTGCTTGTATTTCATTTTGTCCACAGGAAATGTTAAAAGGGATTTCTTTATATGTGATCAAATTCGATATTTATGAGAGTATATCTTGACAATAAACTTTGAATTTATAAATTAAAACCGACGTGGGAGCGTGTCTTCTGATATAAGTATTATGTCTAAAAAACCCTACCTATATTACCCAAAGAAAATGTTCAAGAGCCACCTAGTCTGATTTTTAGTTTAACTTCAGGCAATTGACATTAGAATGAAACGGGAGGGAAAAAAATTATATAACAATTATTGAATCGAATGTTCGGACATTATTTGAGATGTCTTAAATTTTAAAATTGAAAAGATTATGTCATTTTGAAATACATGCAAACTTTTTTGTTTTCCATCCAAGAAAATATTTGCATTCCCTCATAAATTTACATCAGCAAATAACCTACTTAATAAATATAATGAAAGATTTTAAAATAAGAAGAGAAGAAGAAAAGGAACAAGGCTAGCCACTTCCAAATATTACAAAGATTTTATGATCTTTGATTTCAAAATTTTTTTGGTCTTCAATTGACAATAATTTAATAAAATATATATTGGGGCCAGAGACTTGACTGCATTCATGTGTTGAAGTGTTAAAGCAAAACAGCAGCTGTTGAATTAATATAAATTGGTGGATATTGCTGCAAAGGATGCTTGCCGGACCCGCATCAACACAATGATACTTTGTGGTTCCAGCTTTGCTTGCAAATGAATTCTCACTCCAAAAAATGTATCTTCTTGATAAAGAAAACCTACTTTCTTCTTCCAAGAAGCCCAAAGTCAATAATTTGACAGTTTTAAAGGAACCTGGAAAAAACAAATGCACCAATGACATGCATAACAAATGCATATAGATGGTGAAACTTTTTCTTTTTTTTTTCTTGAGAGTGGAAGAGTGTATGATTGCCGAAAGTTAGATTTGCACCGGCTATGATGAAAGGTTTAGATTTAGAGTTCAATTTACTTTTAGATTAAGGCAAGTGCCTCTATTTTCCATTTTCCTTTTCTTTATTTCTTTTGTTTCCCCTCTAAGTTTGAACTTTGTTTACATGTAGGGCAACTAGTGAAAGACCAAAGAATGTCAAGTTGGATGCTCAATGAAATGATGATCATGATTAGTTAGGAAAAGACTTGAGGAGAAAATAATCTAGCCGAGAAGCTAAACCATGGTGACCCCAATGAAGACCTTTAGTACTGGACCACAGAAATTTATCTTTGTAGTTAGGTACCCTCTCCACTCTTCAGGGTTGAGAGGCAAATCAAACGAGGCAATAATTTAGTTCAGTTGATTGATTTGAGTTAAATTTTTATTGCACTAAGGTCGATATGTCCGAGTGGTTAAGGAGACAGACTTGAAATCTGTTGGGCATCGCCCGCGCAGGTTCGAACCCTGCTGTCGACGCTGTCTGTTTTTACCCCTACTTTTAAGTTCTCAACATACAACATCAGATCAATAAAACAATTGTTAATTAGAATTCTTTAATATTTGAAGAAGGCTTCGCTGGCAAAGACAGATTATTGTTGCAATAGCCAAAAGGGTCATTTTATCGAGCTTGAATATGATTAGAATCTGATCAATGGATGAACTTTCCAATTAACAATTTTCAGGTTGAGAGTTGATCGTCTTATCAGAACATGATAAACAAAAAAGTCAACCTACTTAACTGAACAAGTTGAATCAAACAGGAGAAAAAAAATAGTAACTTTGTGATACCAATGAAAGATTTTAAGACTTCAACCCCGGACTTCCCAGGTTTGGCACTTGGGGTCCAGGGTGACGAAGCCTTTTGTCCTTTCTTTCCCGCCAGAGCAAATTTCATTACCAAGATATTCATGTTTTCAGTTCCCCATAATCCGTAAAATTTTAAACAAAAATGTAACATCTTGCATGTCAAAATGGGGGCAATGCATGAAACCAACAGAAGACTGCTCAGGTATTGCATTACTTGTTTGGAAAAAAGAGGAGTAAAAGAAGGTCCTTTGATGTATAGGATGAGATTATTTTAGATGTTACTTTTGGCAACTTGCTGACCCAAATCTTAATTCCTCCTGTAGGAAGAGAATCATATACAGGTACTCTGATTTTTATACTAGTCCTTATTTGAACTTTTTTTTTGAATAAATGATACTTTATTCATTCAAAGAAATATGCAAATCTATTAGAATGAAAACATCTGCACTATCAAGCACATTTAATTGAACAGACATAATAACAACAAAAAGGTCTTCTTTTTTTTTTGCATTTAAATTATCAATTTTTTTTTATTGGAAATAAAAATCCAACACTTTACACATGACTGTTGGCAAAAGAAGTAATCTTTAGACAAGCATATCTTGCTCCAAATTCCAGTTTCTAATAAGCATCCTACTTAGGCTTATGATCTATTTGCTAAAGGTTCTTGTGGTAGCTTTAACTATTTCTATTTTCTTGAACTAACATCACTGTATCAACAAGACTTTTTCTTCCAACAAAACCTCTGAGAGCACTAAACTAATGATAGATATTTTATTTACCAAGATTTTAGCGATGCACATGCAAAAAAATGTCTGAGCTAAAGGTAGATATGAAATCAGACATGATAACCGACTTAAACTTCGTGCACAGTATGACTATATAAGGTTCATGACAGCAATGAGAAGAGGATAAAGCAAAGACGAAAGGCAATGAATGAACTGGATGAGAATCTTCTTCCTTTATAAAACATTCTGTAATTCTGTCTACCATTGATTTTATAAGCTTTTTTCATTAGCAATTTGCAGCCGTTCTAGTCTAATTTGGTTCCTAAAATTGAATTTATTCAGATGTCACATAAAGGAAATATCAACCTTAACAATTGACATTTCAATATGATATTTGTAATGAGACTGTAAAGGAACAGTGCTTTCAAGAACTTCTACCATCAATTTTTCCTTACAAAAATGTCAACTAATTTCTTCTAAGTCTGGGATCAAATAAGCAAAAGCTTTCCACTTGAGTTTTCTCATCAGAGTACGTCTTTGATTCAGAGATCTGTTCTCACAAAATAAGGAAATTCTGTCACGTTTGCACCTGTTAAATCTGTATAGCAGAATTGAAAAGATTTGTGAACTGTTATTAAACTATAATTTAGCTTTTTTTAAAGTTAGTTTCCCTTTCTTTCACCACAACAATACTCCAGTTTCGGTGTCTGATTTCCCAACTCCTGGCAAGTGCCAGGGAGTGATCGTTTAGGAAGGGAAAATCGAATTTAGACCAGCACAGACTGCACAGCAACATTGCACTCCTTAGGAACCGGAAATTGATAACAAACCATGATTTATATACTGCCTATGGTTTTTTTTCAAACTCGGTATTGCAATGAACCCGTACACATCCATATCAATGTTCACAGCATATAAATTTGAATAGCAAACACAACATTAAGTGGTTAATGCATGAAACCATGATAGTGCATATCTGAAATATATTCAAAGAATCCTATGGCCAAAATAAGAAACAGGACAACTCAAGATTCAACAAATTTCCAGCCTCCAAATCTCAGAACAGAATAAAACAGAAACCAAAACCATACAACTAACCTTAACAAAATTGTAGGAAACTAGCTAGCCACTAGAAATTCAGTACTTAACAGGGGCAAGGATGTCTAGTTGAGAGCCAAGTTTCTCCTCCGCAGCTGTCTCAGCCTTTATCCTAAGCTTGTTCAGCTGCTTTTTCCTCTCATATGCAACCTGAGCCCTCTCCTTCCTCTTCTTCTCCAGCTCCTGGAGTCCACAGTATAATTACAAACAAAATTTGAATGGAATTATCATCTATTAATTTCACATCTTCAAGGTTTAAAAGAATGACTCGGTAGTAAATCTCAAGAGATAGCTCAGTACATAATTAAGGGCACTTCACATGAATAACATATATTGACAATTCAATCTGCATGTCATTGCCATGTTTCCACATTGATCTCAACACTCACAACACTTGCATATTTCTTACCATTAACAAAGAAAGGATGATTAAATCAAAACCCAATCAGATCCCCAAAATGGTAAAGTAGTAACGTAACAAGAGGAATCAAGGGCAGAATTCCTGACCTTTTTACTCAATGCAAGTAAAATTTTAATAAGAAATCAGTAAAGCTGAATTCATACAGCTTTTAACATGCTAATACATTACCAATTCCTCTCTGCAACATTTCACATACACACCCTTACTAAAAAGAATACATTACCAAAAAGAATACACATGCCCAAGTCCTAAAACAGAAGAGAGTGGAAAAGAAAATAAATCGATTGAATGTTTTGCTCAACAACTAAACAAGCAAGTAATATATGCTGACAAGCAAATGCAAAGTTAACCAACATTAGACTTAAGTCATACTTTAAGCCCTAAGTTACATAATACTTATCCCATAAATAAGGGCATAGAAAGATTGAAGGACGGTCTATAGCAAAGCAAGGAATGATAACATAAACTCACCCTGATGGTGTCGTAATGGTTCCATCCAACCTCTGATGACAAGCGGCCCAACAAGCAGTACTTGTGCCCCTTCTGAAGCCTCAAGACCCTAATTACATTTAAAGATAACAGTAAAGATTATAACGAAAATCAGAGGATTACATTATAATGAAAATGAAGGACAGTAGAGAAACTTACTTAAGAGCATCAGGGATGACCATCCTCTTAATCTTATCATATGGACTAGGAATACCCTCATAAGCCTTCAAACGAGCAAGAGCAGCTGCTCCACGCTTAGTCTTATGTGGTATCATTCTGCAAAAATCAGTAACCATTAAATCTCATCAAAATCAAAAAAAATTTCTACTTAGCGTTCAAAACGCAGGCATTTAACTATTTGAGTTTAGCCTCATTACTTCACCGTTTAAACAAATAAGACATAAATCTCGACAAACCCATTTCACTTTAGCTCCTGATTTTCTAAAATCAGACGGAAAGAAAAAAAAAAACCATAGAAAGAGAGAGAGAAAGTTAAAACAGACCCACGAACGGTGCGCCAGAAGATCTTGGCCGGGGCACGGAAGTGAATGGGACCATGTGAAGGCTTGGTGTTCATGCGTTTGCGGAGGAATCTCATGTACTTCATCTTCTGGCGAACGAGTCCGCCTGACATGCAAATTTCCTCACATCTGACTACCACTACTTTTTGGCCATTGAGCAGCTCCTTCGCCACGATTGAAGCCAACCTTCCCAGCATGTGGTGGCGGGCATCCACCACCACTCTTTTCGCGCATACCCCTGATCCGGACACCATTATTTTCACCTTAGAGCTTCTCTCCGTTCCTTTCACTCTATGAGCCGCAAAATGGAGAAGAAATATGTTTTATATAATAATGAGGTTGCTAGGGTTTTCAATACTATTAGAAGTATGATTTAGTGCGGTCAAATGTACGCAGTGTCTGCTACAATAAGGATATTGGCCAGTAAACTTATGCCATGTCATCAAATACGCTATTTAGTAAAATGAAATACCAATGACTTTGGGCCTTTAATCCGACAGACCCAGCCCCAAAGATCTTAGATTCAGACATTTTTGGGCCCAAAAGATCTTAATTTTTTCTTTGGATGAAAAAGCATGCAAGATTTAAGTTAAAGGTTTATATTTAATATTTTCATGCATACAAGTTTTTATTTATTTATTAATAAATTTAAATTTTTAAAGTTTTAAAATATATTTTAATTTTATTTATTATGATATATAACTTTTAAAGTCTTTAAGTTTTAATTTTATTCATTAATAAATTGGGAACTTGTAATATAATGTATAATATCTATATATAAATTTTTAATTTAATTGATAACCAATGAATATTGTTGACCGTGTTTCATTAATTTAAGTTTGCATCTAATATGACACCTAATTAAAAATTTATATTTTTAATTGAAATTAATCATGCTTTTACAATAATATTATGAGTATGAATTAATTAATTAATTTGACCAAAATAATGAATAAATTAATTTTTTCTTTGGTTTGTGTTTTTATTTTTTACTTTTTTTTATTTTATATTTTTTTTTTGTTTTTTGTATGTTGTTTTTATTTTTATTGGAAAAAAATAAAAAGCAAATTTGAAAGCATCAAACAATCAAAGCCTAAAAAGGTGATATACTAAATAATCTCTTTCAATGTGAAATTTGAGGCTTACATTGCAACAAAAATTATCACATGTCCAAATGTATTAATTAAGCTTTTCGCGACCAATTATTATTTTTAAATAAATCATTTTATTTAGTACTCTTAAACATTATGTTCGGTGAAAACTGAAAATGAAAGAAAATATAATGAACAACCAAATTAAAAAAAAAAAATAGAATAGAAAGGAATTTTTTTTCTTTATATTCGGTATAAAAAATTAAAAAAAAAAAGATAAATGTTTTTTAATAGTACAAAAAGCATCACTTATAAATGAAAATGAATGACATAAAACTCTTCAAGTTTGAATTCATTATTATCTCTACTATCAAAAAAGTTTTGAAAGCTAAATATTTTTAAAATTAAATTGTTCTCGTGACATATTAAATTAGGAAACAAATTATTTTATATTTTTTGTATTGATTTATAATTTGTGTATAGCTTACTAATAAATTTATTTATGGGTTGAGTCAAATTAAGTCAAATCCAATCGATTATTAAGAAGTTTTGTTTAAAATTCGATCAAATTCATCATATATGAAAAGTTTAAATTTGTTTTAAAAATATATTGGAATATATTTAATATATAAAAAATATGAAAATTTTATTATTTCTAAATATATTTTTAATAAATAAAATAAAAATAATTTTTATTAATAAAATAAAATTTTGAATTGAATTAGATCAAATTTTAAAACTCATATTCAAAAAATAATTCGTGAACAAGTTTATTCGGTATTGTTTGGTAAAGAGTTTTTACCCTTGCTTTTTTTAAATAAATAAATACCATAATTTATATATCTATCTAAACATATAATCAAAGATGGAAATCGCCTTTGATTTGCCTAAGGTTGTTGAATTGCATGGCCCAACCTCCTACAATGATTTCTTGGCTTCAATATTATTTGTATAAATAAATTGGATAAGATAATCACAAGGAGAGAAGTTTGTATTAGAAAAAAAGAAAAAAAAAATCATTGAATAAGAAGGGGTACACATCTACAAACAAATTTGGCACTAAACCCTCTACGCATACTAACAAATGGTGGAATATGATCACTCGTTGTGTTTATATATGAGTTAGCAACACAAATCTTTCTGAACTTAGTTGTTGTATTCTAATGTCAAGAAGAAAAGGACACTAGGACGGCCCTAATATTTTCTTCATTTTGAAACTCCCACCCTAATTTTTCCTTTATTGGGCTTGCGTATGAGTTTTGAATTTTAAACTCAATTTGATTCAAAATTTTGTTTTATTAAAAAAATTTTATTTAATTTTAATTTTAAAACATATTAATAATAATAAAATTTTTATATTTTCATACTTTGACGTTTTAATGTATTTAAAAACATCGAATCTTTTCTATTCAAAATGATGGGTTGAGTTGAACTTTAAACAAGATTTTTGAATGATCTATTAATTTTGATCCAATTTAATTTTTAGATAAATTTATTTTATAATAATGTGTCTTAAATCGCTTTTGTAATTCAAAGCCTCAAACTTTTTTGAGATTACAAATAGAAGGAATCGAACTACAATTAGAAATATATATTTTCAATTTTTTATGTTTTGCAAACTAAAGATGATTTAAACTATAGGTTCGTAACCCTAATTATTATAAGTAAAATATTATGTGTGTTATTTTTTTATAATTAATGTGTCTGTCTTTTTTTATATTTTAAGTTTATAATTGACTGACATGATAATTTTCTCTGATTATTGTAAAAAATATTTAAACCAAATCTTACTTTTATCATAGTGTAAAAAGGGAGAAAATTTACCCCATTTCACTTTGTTTTCTTCAAAAGTGAAAAAAATATTAGTAATACCACCATAATTTTACTAAGCATATTTTTATCGCAGTTATTTGTTAGATCATGTTCTGGTATTTGTTCGAGGAGAAAACATTCATATTAATTGTAAATTTGACAGTTGTAATTTTGTTATGTACTTAGAAACTTTTGTTTTCGAATTAGAAGGAACAAAAATGACAAAAATGTCAGAATCCAAAAAAAATAAACAACTCCACAAAAAAGTTCAAATAAGAAATCACAATACCATAAAGGGAAGGGGGTGGTTGGTGATACAACCATCTCACCCTCAGTCCTCACCAACCCCTCAGCCAATCAAAATATTTTCCTTTGGCCTTTACCAACCAAACCCTCTCTCTCTAAGTTTCCCTTATTTATACTGTTTTTGTTATTTGTTCTATTCCCAACGCCCGGCGGCTATGCTAACCACAAGACAACTACAATAAACTTTAGTTTAGTTTGATCAGCAAATCTCTGCTCTTTTTCTTCCTCAAACAAGCAAAAAGATGGGTGGAGAAGGAAAGGTCTATACTTTGGCTGAGGTTTCTCAACACAACAATGCTAAAGATTGTTGGCTTGTCATTGAGGGCAAGGTAGAACCTCTTTTTTGGGTACAGTTTCTCGGATGATCCAGTTTGATCTTGACCCAGTCCAGGGTTGTGGGGTTTTCTTTTTGGTCTGGTTTGTTTTGTTTATATTTTGCAAAAGTTGGGTATTTTAATTTAATTCTGGAGTTGCAAGTTTTTAGTGTTGTTAGATCTGGGAAGCCTTTTTTTTTTTTTTAATTTGATTACTAGGTGATTTTCTTGTTTGTTTGATTTTTGTTTATTTGGTTCTGATCATAAAAAATTTTTGAACCCAAGTGGGTGTATCTCTCTTAGAGGCTGACAGCTTATATTCACTGCATATTTGACTTGTCTCTAGAAGCTTAGGATTCCTTATAGTCCATCTCTCCTGTATGAAAGATAAATGAAACTGAAAGAAAATTTCATTTTCTTCTTATTGGCGGATTGATAAGTCAGATTCAAGACATTCATCTTCATATCAAAAGCAATATTTTGCTTAGATCTCAGAATTTCTTTTGATCTGGATGATTGCTAGGCTGCATGCAAGAATATACACTCTGCTATTGAGTTCCTTGGATTTGTTTAATCATTAGCTTATTCCGGATTGGTGGTGCTGACCATTGATGCGCTGCGTTACTGTCATTAGATTTAGTTTCGCATTTAAATGCACTATTTTTTATGAATTCTGCTTGATGTACTTTGTACAATGTATTCTCTTGGTAGTTGGTAACAGTTTAAATTAAAAGATATCAGCCGTTGTGTGTTTTTTTTCCTCAATTTGCAGAGTAGTTGTCGGTCCTAGACATTTAAAATGAATGTTTTCTTTTTGTTGATATACTTTTATTCCATTCCTCTGAGGAGTTCTAAATTGGCTATGCTGCTTTAAGTGGGCTGAATGATTCAAGCATTATAATAATGATTTTCGCCGGTTTTAGTATCCTATTCACTGCAGTAGTGGCTGGCTTTTGGATGCTAACGACTTGAATTTTTTGTATTTATTTCTTTCCAGTTAGTACCAACATTATCTATAGCATTCTTTTATCTTTTTGGAGGTTCAGAAATCAGTAACATTACCCTTATCCTTATTTAATAAAAGTTTTTAGAAACTGTCATGAACACTTGGTTTCTATTCATAAATTTCAAGGACCTGTCATCAGCAATACATTGGTTGTAAGAACAAAATTTATGGGGTTGAATTCTATTTGAACTTGTGGTAACATGAAGCAGGGTTCAGCTTTAGATATCAATCTACCATTAATTTGATTGCTAATTTTACTCTAGAGCCAACTTGATTTTGATTTGGAACCATTGCTTTATATTCCACTTTGAACTCCTTAAATTCCAATCTTATGTTTGAACAGGTCTTCAATGTGACTAAATTCTTGGAGGACCATCCTGGTGGTGATGAGGTCTTGTTGTCTGCCACAGGTATAACAAATACCTAATTTTTTTTACTTATTTTGTATAATCTAATGCTGGAATTATTGTAGAAGATGGAAAAATGGAAATAACCTTGCTTTGATGTATGGTTGACAGGGAAGGATGCAACTGATGATTTTGAGGATGTTGGTCATAGTAGCTCAGCTAGAGCAATGATGGATGAGTTTTATGTGGGTGACATCGATACATCAACGATCCCCACCAAGACAAAGTACACCCCTCCCAAGCAGCCTCACTATGATCAGGACAAGACCTCAGAATTTGTTATAAAGCTTCTCCAATTCCTTGTTCCCTTGCTAATCTTGGGATTGGCCTTCGGCATCCGCTTCTATACCAAATCACCAGCTTAAGCGTCAAGACCCCAAGAGAGAGTTGGAAAAATCTTCACAATAAGATTATGTTAGTTTAAATTTGTTTGGAACTCTCACATATTGTCGGATGGTTGGATATTTGCTTCTGATTGATTACATATATGCTTGTTTGTCCATCGACGAGTTGCCCCCTTTTATCTGCAAGATCTAAAGATTGTTTTCTTTTTCCCTCTACCTGTAGTTGGTAAAGCTACCTTCTCTTGCTGCTCAATTGATGATCTAAAAACTTGTTTCTTTGATTGCTGCTCAATTGATGGCTACTGCCCGTGCTCAACATGGTTGTCCAACCCTTCCAAAGCTTCCAAATTTAACGATAGCATATAAATAAATCTAAGCCTTCAAGTTGTGATGTCACGGTCTGCGCCCAGGTTCAGGTGCCTGAGGCTTTTGTCTTAGCCGTGACGTTTTGGTTGCATTTGTTACTATGCTGTCAATTAAATTGCAGGCAATTTGAACGTAGAGAAGGTAATTACAGGAAGTTAAAATGCTGAAAAAATAACATGGCAGTGTTTGGTATACATGGTAAAATGCTGATTAAAATGCAGAGAATGTAACATTACAGTGTTTGGTAAATTAGCAATTTACCGGAAATGTAATATAAATTTTCCAAATTACCTTTTGTGTATCAAAACAAGTTTGACACATTTAAATTCTATAATTTTATAATTAAATATCAATTTACAAAAACAATTATATTATAATATTTAATCTTTATAATTAAATACTAATTTACAAACGCAACCTTTGCAGTTATCACATGATACAAACAGATCCAAATCTATGGCACTTCCAAATGCTTCATGAAATTGCAAGGCAAGAAGATGGAATGAAATTCCCAATAACGGAAAACCATAAAAATTGCGCTTGGGCATAATCAATTAACAAGGTTTGAGATTTTAGATCATATTTTGATATTAATCTTTTTCTAAAATAAGCAAACAGTAGTTTTAGGTGATTGAGAAATGCTTAGCAGCTTAGGTATTTCCTTCATAAATGCACGTTTACTTACCCTTGATCGCAGTGAATTAACAGTAATATACTATTTAAATCAAGAGAAGAATATATTTTGTTAGGGTAAATTACTTAGATTAGTTATTGAATTTTCAGATGTTTTTATTTTGATCATCCAATTAGAAAAACTTATAATTTAATCAATAACATTTATTAAAGTATATTTTTATTTTGATAATCCAACAATGAAAAATTATAATTTAATCACTAACATTTATAAAATTATTTTTTTTCACTCAACATTAGAAATTAACGATATGCTGACATAACATAATTATATTATTAGATATATCACATGGCATATGATACGTGGTATTATAAATTTGAAATGAATAAATTTTGAATATAAAAAAAATGATCAATTACAATTTTTTTTATCATTTAACTTTTGAAAAATTTTATTTTAATAATCTAATTTTAAAAATTTTACAATTTAATAATTAACATTTGTAAAATTTATTAATATTTTGATATCCAAAATTAACATCTCCTTGTCAACTTGGTTTTATACCGATTTGATCATTAAAGTTAGTGAAATTTATATAATAAATTATTTTATTGTTTTTGTTATCTATATTGAACTATTTTAAGATAACACTTAAATAAATCTTTAAATTTTATAAAAAAATATAGGAAATAAGCTTTTGGTCTTTTATTGTATGAAATCAAAACTATGAATTTTTATTTTATTATAATTATATCCATTAAATTTAAAAATAAATGAATAAATCCAATTACTAGAATTATTAAAATATCATTATTTCGAATATTTATCACCCAGATGATCTAAATAAATTCAAGTAAATATTTTATATAGATTACATCAAGCTAACTAAGAAAATTTCAATAAAATATAAAATATTTCATAACATAAAAATTCTAACTACAATGAAATAAAAAATATATAGCCTTAATGTTATGTGCACCGGCAACTTCTTGACAAACGTCACCGAGCAAGTCATCTGCTGGGAGGACACTCAAGCACCAAAACCACTGCCAATCACACTGGCAACAATTTCTACACACTGGGAAGAGGTAAGTCCTGAGGAGCAAGCTGGTAATGAGAGATTCAACGGACAATCACGGTTTGAATCCCTTGCCGATTAGATAACCAAGTACCAGGGCACTCACAAAGAGTTTAAACAGATGTCGGTGACAGATTCAGCAGTCTCAAAACAGGATGATGCTCTAGGGACTGAATGTAAAAAACAGGTTACCATTTTGAAACCTTGCTTAGTGAAACAAGACAGTGCTTGCAAGTTGCTTCATCTGAAAGTTTCTTATTTCTTGCCTACAAAATGTGAGGAACGGAAAAGAAAAAGTGACAAGAGTCTAGAGCAGAATCTCCAGGTTTTTTTTTACTTGTTGAACTCTGCAAATCAATGGATTTCTCTCTACCCAAAATCTTTAAACAAACATTTGTTCAATGTAGCTTGATTTGCCCCTGATTTGATAATTTGGTAATTGTCTTTCCCCATGTGTTTGTTCGATATGTCCTTTTCTATTTCTGCCCTATCCTCAATATTTAACATGAATATGCATTCACTGATGCCATGTGTTCTTCTACGGATGTTCCTGTCATGATCTCTTCCTTTAAAGCTTGTGAACATTGGCTTTGAAAATCTCCAATGTTCCACCATGAATTCTTGATTGTTCTCAAGATCACTACAAACACCATAGTTTCTACATTCCTAACAGCAAACAGGAGCATGATAAAAAATGAAGGAAGCTCACTGATGAATGTTGGCAAATCGTTAGACTTGAGAAAACTGTTAACCTTTAAAATGCAGGTTGACTCCACTGCTAGAAAATTTCCAAATTAAAGCAAAAAACCACAAATTAAAATACAGAATCAAATTTGCTGCAAGTATGGGAATGATCAATTGAACAAATAGAGAGTCCTAGCTACTAGTTGTGATTCAGAGTGCGGAAAGGAACTTAAGAAGAGTCTCATTGCACAAAAAAAAAAAAAATTGCTGAAACTACTAGATCTGCAAATGACTTTGGAATAACTAAAAAAATTGACAAATTAAATCAAGAAAAAGAAAAAAAGGGGGGGGATGCAAGGTCGATTCAAAATTATATTTAATTAGGTAATAGATTATTTAGGAACCGCATATACCATTCAAATATCATATATATATATTATATATATATATATGAATTCTAAAATTATTAAAAGTGAACGATATAAATATCCTTACAAATTTTAAGAAATAACAAATTTTTATCTTTAAATTTCTAGCATTTTTTATTTATGTATTAAAGATTATTTTTCATTAAATATATATAATTTATTAGTTAATTATTTAAATTAATCCAAAAGTGTTAAAAGTAATCACTTAAATATTCTTATGAATTTTAAAAAATAATAAATTTACCTTTAAATTTTTAGCATTTATTTATTTATTTAATAAAGATTATTTGTCATTAAATAGACAACTTTTTATTCGTTAGTTATTTAAATTTAAATCAATTAAAAATTTACAAATAGAATTTATATCAAATTAAACTACATTAAAAATTTATTTGTGGGATATAGTGGATGTGTTATAAAAAATTAACCCAAATTTACTCTTTCTTTTTTTTATAGGATTTTTTTGTTCAATTTCATAAGTAATAATTCAATTAAATTCATTTAAAACATATTTCTCATCCTATGGGCTATGGCATACTATGAGTCATTGATATTGAACAAAACATAGACAAAATCTTTCCTCTCTTGCTCAATGAGTCATTATTTTAGTCTAAATTATTATATCATAATATTTATGCCCCAAAAACATTTAATTTTATCTTAAGTAAAACATAAATTTTTTTTTTCAAAAAACAACCTAATTTACTCTTTATCTTCTTTAATAGTACATATCATGAGTCCTTAAATATATTTATATTATTTATTTATTTAATTTAGATCAATTAAAATTAAAGTTCATACAAAATTATTAATTAAATTATCAAAATATTATTGAGAAAGAGTAATACATGTATTGTGGTAAGTTTGCATGTTTGAATTTTTTTTTTTTATGATAAATATACATTTATATGTTTAATGATTGCAATGGTTGATTTATTTTACTATAATATTTCTAATCACTCTATGCAATCATGTCTTAACATTACAATGACTAAATGAATCTTTGTTTTACGAACATAATCTCCTGTATATGTGAATTGTTACTAAACTTAGATTTTATTTTATCTTCTATAGATTGATTCTATATTACATCCAATAAATTTCAATCAATCCTTATTTTTTTATTTTTAGTTTCAAATATTTTTTGCTTAAGATATTTTTATGAAACTATATTGTTAAGAAACATTAATCTTGAAGAAGATAAATTATTTGATATAATGTTAATTGAGTTTTTTTTTAATTCCACAATTGAGTTAAAAAATTAACACATTATTCACTTATTTTTTCAATTAGGTTTTTTTTTATTATCACTCATTTATTTTTTCAATTAGTTTTTTTTTTAATATGCTCTAAAGCTTAAAGGGTATGTATGTTACGTTACTAATTTCAATTATGAAATTTAAAAACTCTACTATCAATATATTTTATAATTTTCCCTTCAATAATATAAATTTATTTTTTTCAATTAAGAATGTTCTAGAATATTTTTGTATTTTGATAGTGAAAAATATTTTAATCCCATGATTAATTGTACGTGTTTTGTTGAATGATCAAAGCTTTGTTAGTTTTGTAATCAATTATTATATTCTTTGAATCAATAATGTTATAGTTTATTTTCTGTTATTTATTTATATTCTTTAAGTATATGATTATTAATTTTTACTCTTATCATGACAGCATCTATTTAATAATTATTTGTACTTTGTAAGTGTATTTATTACAGATAAATATATTTATCATTTATGATATTTATATATAAAAGTGTAAACTCTAAATAATATTAAAAGTGATTTTTTTATTTGTTACACTCCTATTAATAATACACTATATGCCAATCATGCATGTCCAATAAATTCTTCAATTCATAAAAAAAGGAAGACTTACAATTAAACTCATTAGTTGCATAATAAAAAATTTGAAGTACAAGGATGTGAAATAAAAATACGTTTATTTATATAATCTTACAATTAAGATCATAAATTATTTCAATTAATAATGTCAAATTATATATATACAAAAATAAAACAAATGAATCAATTAATATTTCATATAGATTGTAAAATTATTAAATTAATATTTTTATTATTCAATGGATCAATGTATCATAATATATATGAAAATGATTAAAAAAGGTATTGGATGACAAATGATAACGTGACTTTTAATTTTTTTTCTCTTAATACATAAAAAGTGCTCCACTTGAAATTTAGCCAATTTGACTATAAAAAAATTTATTTAAATTTTAGCTAAATATTTAGAATACTCACAAATATATACATACTTTAGATTTTATAGCCTACCTTAAATAAGACAATCTATAATTAAGAAAATGTTTAATATATATCTATATTATATATAAAATGTGATAATTTATTAAATTATCTCTATTTATTTTTATTTAATATTTTTTAGTAAATTAAAATATTATATATTTTTCATTTATTTTCTTATTAAAATAGTTTTTCTTTGGTTAAGTCATTCATGCCCCAATTAACGCAAGCAATACGGCTAGAAGCTTAAAATAGTTTTTCTACAAATAAATAATTTAGTGTTTATAATATATTACACCTATTAATATGATTTATACAGTTATATTAATTATAAAAGATTTAATGGTAAATTAATTATAATTTAGTAGTAAATGTATAACAGTATAGTAGCAAATTTTGATAATTTTGTTATAAATTAGAGATAATTTAGACAAAATCAGTAGCAACTTTATACTAAATTAATGATAACTGTATAATAAATTATGGATAACTTAATAGTAAAATAATAATAACTTAATAGTAAATAAATAGTAATTTAGTAGTAAATAATTGATAAAATAGTGTATGATAACATAATAATAAATGCATAATAACATAGTAAGAAATAACAAATAACTTAATAGTAAATCATTTATACATAATTGTAAATGTATAACACATATTAGTAAATTAAAATAACTTAATAAAAAATGAACGATAACTTAGTAGTTAATTATTGATAACTTAGTAATAAATCAATGATAACTTAATAGTAAATTAATGATAACTTAATAGTAAATAAGATTCAGTTTAATATCCCCTTAATCCTAATAAATGTCAAATTTTGATTTTTGTTGGTCAATTTTTTTTCAATTTTAATCACCTATTGTTTTTTATTTATTATTGATAAAAATATGAAAAAATATTTTAAAAACTTTAAATGAAGTGGTTTCTAAATATGTGTTCAGTAAAATTTAATCTATTAAACTATTTAAAATAATAGATGTCAAAGTTAAAAAATTTTAACTAAAAAAATCAATTGTGATAATTTAATTTGGACATATAAATGGAGTAGTAATTAATTGACAAATTTAGTAGTAAATCATAAATAGCTTAGTAATAAATCAATGATAATTTAATAGTAAATAATTTATAACTAAGTAGTAATTAATAATTAAAAATTAAAAGTAAATCAATATAACTTAATAGTAATCATCAGTAAATTAATAGTTAGTCAGTAATAATTTAATATGGTAAATTAGAGATATCACTTAATAGTATATCAATTATAATTTAGTAGTAAATTAGTAATAATATAATAGTCAAAGCATAATGACTTAATAATAAATCAATTATAACATAGTTGTAAATGCATAATAACATAGTTGTGAATTAATGATAACTTCATAAAAAATGATAACTTAATAGTTAATCATTGATAATTTAGTGGTAAATCAATAAAAACTTAGTAGTAAATTAGTGATAGCATAATAATAAATTTAGTTTAGTTTAATAGTAATTAAATTACATATTTAGTAGAAAATCATACATAACTTAGCAATAAATCAATGATAATTTAATAGCTAATCACTAAAACTCAATAGTAAATCAATGATAACAAAATAGCAAATATATAATAGTATAATAGTAAATAATTAATAATTTAGTAGTAAATTATTGATAACTTAGTAGTAAATCATTAATAACATAATAGTAAAACATTGATAACTTAGTTGTAAATTAGTGATAATTTAGTTATAAATCAATGATAATTTAATTGTAAATTAGTTAATTATTAATAACTTTATAGTAAATCAGTAATAATATTATAATAAATTATTAATAACTTAATAGTAAATTATCAATAACTAAGTAATAAATCATTTATAACTTAACAATAAATCATCTATAACTTAATGATAAATCATGATAATTTAGTAGTAAATTAGTGATAAGATAGCAGTAAGTGAGTAATAATCTATTTGTTAATTAGTGATAACATTTTTTTATACTTAAAGTTACTAATGATTGAACCCTGGTTACTAGAAAAAGAAAAAGATTATGATAAACCTACTATGAACTTATTCATTAAAAAAAATTAATAAAAAAATTTTAAATTTAAATGAAACAATAATGTTATATTATATAAAAGGAAAATTATCTTATATATTGTAATTAATTGATAAAATTAATAGTATACCATAAATAACTTAGTAGTAATTTAATAATAATTTAGTAGTAAATAATTGATAACTTGATAGCTAACTATTGAAAACTTAGTAATAAATCAATGTAATTAGTAAATGCATAATAATATAATAGTAAATCACTAAATTTAGCAATAAATCACTAATAACGTACTAATATGTCACTTATAACTTAGTTATATATCAATGATAATTTTGTAATGAATCATCAATAACTTCATAGTAAATTAGTTATAACTTTATAATAAATTATCAATAACTTAGTACTAAATCATCAATAACTTAATAGTAAATAATTTATAACTTAATAATAAATAATTAATAACTTAATAATAAATCACTGATAACATAGTAATAAATCAATAATGACTTAATTGTTA